ATTGTTGCAACTTGCAACTGCGTTAATACGCCTGACGGTGACCGCCTCATACTTTTTCAGATATTTAGCAATAAAATAAAGAAACCTGTTATTTTTAAGTTGTTATTTTAAGCTGTTTTTTATAAATAACTATAACAGTTTCAACTGTTATCTAAAATTAACAGTTTTGCCCATCACTAATAGAAACCAACGCCAACCTAGCACAATATTTTTTGTACTCGTAATAAATTCCTTGAAATAATTATTTCTGAATATTTTTAAAACGTAACTCTCTATGAAAAAAAAATTATTGTTTTATACACAACGATAAAATTGCATTATCGTCTCCCGAAATTAATTCTTTTCGGTCTAAATAAATATTTTTCTATGACCATTTTTTACCTTTTACGCAGTGGCAATATTTGAGCCCTAATTGGTCACGAAAACAACATAGAAGTAAGAAAAATAAAAAGGTACAACGAACGTTCTAAAAGCTTTTATGAAGGCTGTTTGAGTTTAACTTTAAGGAGTGGAACTATTAAAACTTTCATTCTCCCGTGTGTTTCGATCCAATAAAAGGTTTTATTAGATAGAAATTGTTTTTATTTCCAGATACATTTACAACACGCCACAGATTAAAATGATTTACGGACTGCTGAAAGGTGTCACGTCCAAACAGTTTCGATCTTTGTAAGTATTCATTTAATTTAGTTCTTTACAACCCCAAAAAAATGCAACGGAGTATTTTTTGTAAGATTTAAATTGTTATATTTTTTTTATTTTTAATCGTCAACATTTGACGTTTTAGTATTTTACCAAACCGTTCCGTATCAAACCGATGTTTTTCAGGAACCGCTCTTTACCGTAGTTTACCGGTCTGGTTCGCCTGGTTTTGCAACAGAATAGAGCCTTATTTTTTTTTAATATTTGCTCTTCTATTTCTCTTATCTATTTCATTCACTCGTCTAGTTTTCTTATTTATCATAATTCTGCCTTTTGTGTAATTGACTTAGTATTCTCATAATTTCTTCCTATTTTGATAATTTGCAGGCGAATTGTCAACACAGGTCTACACGAAGTCCCTGAACTGTACTTCCTACCTCCAGAGAACACTCTGTTTCTTTTGTAAGTATAGTAAGTATTTAAATTATTATTTATTTATATACTAAACTAACATACCGACAAGCCTAACATAATAATTATTTTTGTTTTGTTTAAATGTTATTTCTCCAGTAAACATTGACTCCAAGTAGGTAATAATTTTAAGATGAACCTAATTAGTAGATACAATTAGTACACTTTAAAAGAATAGGTAGAGCATTAAAGAAATAAAACTATATCTATACTAATATAAAAAATCCTTAAGTGACGGGCATACTGATTAATCACGATCCTGCTCAAACCACTCAACGTAAGAAGCTCAATTTTGGCATACGGGTTGATTCTAGGGTGTAGAGGTTCGATAAGAAGGGATTTTTCGAAAGGGTGAAACCTTATAAAAAGAGAAAATATTACAATATTTTTTATTTAAAAAACGGTCAAGTTTCCTAAAAAACGCTTAAACACGTATATTTTATTTTGTTTTTTTACATATTTTAAGATTTTTTAAAAATGTATACAGGGTGTTATGAAAAATCTGGTCATTGATTAATCACGATCCTGCTAAAAACGCTTGACGTAAAAAGCTGATTTTTGGAAAACAGACTGACTTTAGGGTGTAGAGGTTCGATAAGAAGGGATTTTTCGAAACTCGAATTCTAAGGGAGTGAAACTATCCCTCAAATATTAAAATATTTTTTTATTTAAAACGGTGAGTTTTTCGGAAAAACTCTTAAACACGTATATTTCATTTTGTTGTTTTACATATTTTAAGATTTTTATAAATTTATACAGGGTGTTTCATAAAATATGACCATTGAGTAATCACGATTCTGCTTAAACTGCTTGACGTTTAAAGCTGATTTTTGGCAAACGGATTGACTGTGGGGTGTAGAGGTTCGATAAGGAGGGGTTTCTCGAATCTCAAATTCCAAGGGGGTGAAAACGCCCCTCAAATATTACAATATTTGTTATTTAAAAAACGGTTAGTCTTTTAGAAAAACGCTTGGACAAGCATAATTTATTTGGTTTTTTACATATTTTGAAATTTTTTAAAAAATCATACAGGATGTTCCAAAAAGTTTGGTAATTTCTTAACCACGATTCTGCTTAAACTGCTTGACGTAAAAAGCTTATTTTTGGCAAACGGATTTTTCGAAAGTCAAATTCCAACGAGATGAAACTACCTCTCAAATATTACCAAGTTATATAATAATATCGCCCATATTGTTTTTTCTCATGCTGACATAAATGTGAGAATTTTTTTTCCAGTTTGTATGTTAATGGAAATTCTTGCTTTGATTTATCATCACCATTACAAATGATTAATTCGACGCGAACGAAGTCGCTGGTACACGCTATTATAAATATAATAAAATGTTTATAAAAAAGGGCATTACTAGAAAAAATAAAATAATATTGCGAAAAATAAAAAAAAACAGTTAATAACTTATTGTCTCATTTTTTATACAACGGTAATTTTCGTCATCCAAAAATTGTTATCTTTTTTATCAACTGGCGCCTGCAAAAAACTGTAAATCAAGCAAAATATTTTAATTTATAACATTTTTAAAACAAACTGCATTATTATCTGATAGACCAAATATTATTATACAGTTCATATCAAATAAACTTTTAGTCACGTGATTAAGCTTGACCAGCACAGCGTTGCCCACTTTTATATTTTTTCTTTAATTCTAAATATACAGGGTGTCTCAGATTTTAATCGGGAAAATTTAATAGACGATAGAACTTGCAAAAATAAAACCAAAAGTTCATATCAACTTGTAAGATTTAAAGCTTCCTTTTCGAGATACAGGGTGTTAAAGTTACTTAAAAAGACAAAAAAATTAAGATATTTGACAAACTATTTAATCGATTTTGATATAACTTGACCCTTTTATAATACTTACTATGGGACTTAATTTGATGTAATTAGATTTAAGTATAATGGCCAGGGGCGGCGCGGCGGTGGGTCATCACTGTTAAATTATTTTAAAGTAAAAAATAGGCACGCCACTGCTTTTTTAGAAGTGTAATATTATTTTTGGATTTAGTAATTAAAAATATTAGTTTTTTGTCTCCTGACTTTTTTGTTTGTTTTACTTTTTTTACTATCTGTTATATTGTTTTAGTGGGTTTGAGTGTGTCAGCCTTATCCATTACTTCGATACCTAGATAAATCGGAACTTATAGTTATTAATGATACAAGTTCGATACGAACATCATAATGAAACGCGTGTAACGTTAAAGCCACGAGGCGTTAGCCGTGAACACAAGTTTCATTAAAAAGTTCGTATCGAACGTGTATCATTCAAAATTTAATCTACGACGAGATTTGATTTAATTTAAAATATTAGAGATATCCTCATAAAAATTAAAATTCAAAATTATCAGGGGCCCATATTAGTCGACGCCGTGGTCGTTGATTGTGTCCATTTTGACTTTGCCAACTCAATTATTGATGTTCAATTTTGTGTTAAACGTTCAGTTTTAGCAAAAATCAAAAAATAATATTATTATCGGTGATTCTGATTCTGAAAGTGTCCCTTCGGATATTGAAGGCATTGCGCAAAACGTTGTCGATTCACTACTTCCCGAAAAATCAAGACAAACGTACGAACAAGCCTATGTAAAAATTGAAGATTGGTGTAAAGGGAAAGAAATCAAGAACAGTAGTAACGAAAAGGTTCTCCTGGCATATTTTGAACATCTTTCAAAACATAGGAAGGCTTTATCACTTTGGGTATGTTATTCCATGCTACGTTCAGTTATATCAGTGAAGAAAAATACAGATATTAGAAAGTACGTCCATTTAATTGCATTTCTAAAAAGAAAATTGGAAGGATTTCGGTCAAAAAAATCGAAAATTTTAAGAAAAGAAGACATAACTCGTTTTTTGTTGGAAGCTGATGATAAAACTTATTACCTGAAAAAAGTTTCATTGATAGTGGGACTTGCGGGAGCCTGCCGGCGTATCGAGTTGACAAATCTGCAGCTGCAAAATGTTAAAGATGAAGGACAATGCATTCATGTCATTATTCCATTTACGAAAACAAAGATATCACGAGACTTTTTTTATAGCGAAAGGGAATGTTGAAGGAATAAATATGGTGGAACTGGTTCGAAGATATATAGTTATGCGGCCAAGCAACACAGAGCATACTCGATTTTTTGTGGGGTACAGAAATGGAAAATGTATTAAGCAACCCGTTGGCATTAATACTTTAGGGAAAATGCCGTATAAAATAGCATTGTTCCTAAGTCTTCCAAATCCACAACAATACACTGGACATTGTTTCCGTAGATCGTCTGCGTCGTTGCTTGCAGATTCAGAAGTGGATTTATTAACTGTTAAAAGACATGGTGGCTGGCGCTCTAACACAGTGGCAGAGAACTATATAGAAAATTCCAAAGAAAATAAGAAAAAAGTGTCATGTAATATTTTGGGTAACATTTCTGGAAATGATGGGTCTTCAATAAGTTCAAGCACTCAGGAAATAAATTTACTTTCTAAAAATTCAACTCACCTGTCATCGTCTGGAATTAATTTTACCAATTGTACTGATATTATAATTAACGTTTACAATAAATAAACGTATTTAGGTACCTTTTTTTGCTTGTTTCTTATTTTATTATAGCACTAGTGCCATAATGACATCCAAATGACTATGTTAAATGTGTCATTATGACATTGTCGTAGATTAAAACAGTAAAAGAGCTACTAAATCAGTAAAACAACAAAATAAACACTAAAAACCGTAAAACAGACATCAAACAAATAAACCTGGCACTCCTGACAGTAACAACAGGAAAAGAGCTAGCAAATTCAGTCAAAAGCTGGTGTCTCAAGTGTCCCTCAGGGTATAAGTGTGCCAATAAACGTAATTTTTTGAGCAATGTTATGTAGAAAACTTCAAGCTTTGCCATTATCACGTATTATCATCAACTTATTTACTTTTTCCATTTGTTATTTCAGTTTGCTATAACAATTAGTACCAATCAGGATACTTAGTTCTGTTTCAGTTATTTTCCAATATTGTTTTAAAGAAAAAAAAATAGTACAAAAAGATTATTAAGTACTTTACACAAATAGTTAGTTAGGTCATGAAAATATATATTTCGTAAGTTTCTAACTTTGCAGTACGATCCATATAAGTTGACTTTAGTAATACAATATTTTCAAATATTGTTTTTAAGAAATAAAATTTATAAAAGATTATACTTTTCATAAATATGCAGGTTATAAAAATATATTGCTCAAGTTTCCAAGTTTCTTGTTATAATAAGTTGTATTTTGTTTGTGTAAAATTTTCTTTAAAAAGTTTGGAATTGTAATAAATTTCAACTCTTTGCTAACTTCTAAAGTTCAATTACCAACTAAAGGGTCTTACTGAATTTGCAACTTTCTTAACACCAGGTCGGCAAATAAAATAAAATGTCAATAAAAAAATAATACAGAGGGACTACAGTCCTTCTCGTGTGATTTTTTCGATCAGGCGGATCATTATTCAATTTTGTATTTTTTTAGCTAAAAGTAAAGCTACCAACAAGAGAATTTTTTAAACGAAATGAACCCTTTATAAATGTATATATTCTGATCTATATCTATAGATCTATATCTATAGATGATCTATCTCTATACTAATATACTAATATATAAAATCCTTAAGTAACTGACATATTGATTAATCACGATCCTGCTCAAACCACTCAACGTAAGAAGCTCAACTTTGGCATACAGGTTGATTCCAGGGTGTAGAGGTTCGATAAGTAGGGATTTTTCGAAATTCCAGTTCCAAGAGGGTGAAACCTTGGTGAAACCACCCCTCAAATATTACAATATTTTTTATTTAAAAAACGGCCAAGTTTCCGAAAAAACGCTTAAACACGTACATTTTATTTTGTTTTTTTACATATTTTAAGATTTTTTAAAAATGTATACAGGGTGTTTCGAAAAATCTGGTCATTGATTAATCACGATCCTGCTTAAAGCGTTTGACGTAAAAAGCTGATTTTTGGAAAACAGATTGACTTTAGTGTGTAGAGGTTCGATAAGAAGGGATTTTTCGAAACTCGAATTCTAAGGGGATGAAACTATCCCTCAAATATTAAAATTTTTTTTATCTGAAACACGTATATTTTATTTTGTTGTTTTACATATTTTAAGATTTTTTATAAATGTATACAGTGTGTTTCATAAAATATGACCATTGAGTAATCACGATTCTGCTTAAACTGCTTGACGTTTAAAGCTGATTTTTGGCAAACGGATTGACTGTGGGGTGTAGAGGTTCGATAAGGAGGGGTTTCTCGAATCTTAAATTCCAAGAGGGTGAAAACGCCCCTCAAATATTACAATATTTGTTATTTAAAAAACGGTTAGTCTTTCGGGAAAACGCTTGGACAAGCATAATTTAGCAAAATAAAACACTAAATCACCACAATACACCAAAACACTTTTACTTTTACACGTATTGTGGTGATTTAGTGTTTTATTTTGCTGTGTAACACCAAAGGTTCCAACCCTCAACTGTAAGCATAATTTATTTGGGTTTTTTACATATTTTGAAATTTTTTAAAAAATCATACACCCTGTACGATTAGTAAGACACGAAACAATTTTGAGAAAAAAAAATTCTTTACGGAATACAATATTCTTTAGATTCTTAGACTTGTACAAACTGTAAAATAAACACAAGGAAAATATTTTCTACAAACAAAAATCAGGAAACCCAGAATCTATTAATCATTTTCCTACCGCACTATTTTCTTAAATTTCATTTCTGCTCTGAAAGTTCTCATATTACATTTTATTTTCTTGAAAACATGGAGTCAATTTTTACTGGAGAACGTAAATGTAATACCTTTATACAGATTTGAGTTGTATTAAAATTGATTTTTTAGAGATTTAGATCACAACAAGATCGCAAAATTGGCCAGCAATTCTGTTAGAGTATCAGCTCAACAAGTGTAAGTATTATATTATTCATAAACCTAACACATTTTTATTATTTTAATGTTTTCTATTACCTAGAATAATTTTTTAATGATAAATATCTTTTAAACTATGCAATTTTTTCATTTAGACACGAGTAGATATCAATTTTTTTCTTTATTTTGAAACAAATGATGTTTTGCTCTTTTTTCCACACAAACTGTTAATATTGCATTATATCTATCAAAAATAGTAGATAAAATAGTACTTTAACCGCAAGGGTAGATTAAATGATACTTTAACAGCGAGGATAGGTTAAAAACTTTGTTTCTTCTCGCACGTCTTTTAATTCCTTCCATTTTTGAAATTTTTTGTATTCCTTTTCATAAGTTATTCGGGATTTAAATGGAAGTAGTTTGGATATGGCGTTTGTCGCCTCAGCCAGAATATCTGTTGGTAATTTTACTTATTTCGTTTTGAGCCATTTCTGGCTCCAATTCAATCAGCAATCGACACGAAAGAGCATTAAAAAATATTGAGTCAAAACTCACAACTAAAGAGACAGCTTTATTTATTTATCAAAATACATAGAAACCAAAGCCAACCCAGCATAATATTTTTTCTACTCGTAATAAATTCCTTTTCCCAAAAATAATAATTTCTGAATATTTTTTAAAACGTAACTCGCTATGGAAAAAATATTGTTTTATACACGACGATAAAATTGCATTTTATCGTCTTGTATAAAAAACCACTATTAGTTACTAGTTAGTGGTAGATAACCTTTCAACCATGTCTATCAAATACATTAAAAAGGAATGCACTAACAATTACATCGTATATCTTTAAAGTTTTCAAACTCCAAAACTACTGTTTGATGAAACAATATGATTTGATTGATTTTAGCACACTCAATTTCAATGACATTACAATTATAGAAGACTATGCATTCAAAGGATCTCAAATAGGAAAGTTGTAAGTACTCAAATTTAAACTTAACTAAAGTCCAGTTTGTTAATTTGTTTATATTCTTTTCAGGCATATTACAGCTAATCCTAAGTTGACGACATTATCTGAATTCGCTTTTAGCGGGTTGCAGAATTTAAGGGAGCTGTAAGTAAATCAACAGCTATATACGGGGTGTTTATTTATATAATGTGGCTTATGGGTTAAGATTTTTACTCCAATCTTTCTTACAAAATATGGAAGCAAAATATACTTTAAAATTTCAAATAAAGTACTTCAAATAAAAAGCTTTAAATAGTATTTTGCCTTGTGGGTTTCTCCTAGAATTGCCATTTTAAAAACAACGTGAATTTATAATCTATACCAAGATTTTTTTTAAATCGAGCTTTAAATGAACATTTAAAGTTCAATTTAGATAAAAAATCCAATTTGACCAACCCACAGAGTAAAAAGTTTAATACAAAAATCTATTTCAAATCGACCATATGTATATCTGTGAAGAGTTTATAATCATCTGCTGATGATGCTAACATGGTTAGTGAAACGCGCGTCCAGTGTAAAAGTAAAAGTGTTTGGTGTATTGTGGTGATTTAGTGTTTTTATTTTGCTGTGTAACACCAAAGGTTCCAACCCTCAACTGTAATCTGTGAAGAGTGAAAATCTTACCACAAAAACCTGAAATGGAACTTTTTTGTATGCGGGTTACCTACTCTATATGTGCACAGGTCACAGAATGTTGTAATTTTAAGAAAAGAAATGCTTAATAAAATGAAACTTGTCTAAGCCAATCGCCTTAAGGCCGGGACACACCTATCATGCACGTTTCCGATCCGGCTCCGGTCCGATTTTGCACCAGAAGCGGATGTGGGATCGAAAATGGTGAGTACACACATGTCATACATGCTTCCGACTCCTTCACGATTTCGGGCTTCGGCTGGATACATTATACTATATCGCCAGTCTTGATTCAACAATCATCGCATGAAGTCGTGTGCACAAAATGTTTAATAATTTTAGCAACAGAGTGATTTAGCCATGGTGGAAGAAGCCACTTTGTTTGGAAGAAGAAGATGAGGAAAATGAGTAAGCTTTTATAGAGAACAGCCAAAAAAGCAGATTTCATGTCTTTGTAGTCGGAGTTTCGGTACTGCTCTTTGGTCTGGTCATACAGCACTGGATATTTCCTCACTTTTTTATTATTTTAATAAAAAACTAAAAATAACACAGCAAAAACAAAAATAGTTCAAAACAGCACTCGTACCAGAGCCGGCATCGACGAATAGACTGATAATCGGAACACGAACGGATACAGGAACGGAGTCGAGTAGGAGCGGGGATGAATCACGTATCGGAAAAGTGTAAACAACGCTGGTTAAAATAACGTACGATTTCCCTCTCATACAGTCGTCCGACTGTATGATCGGAGCCGGATCGGAAACGTGCATGATAGGTGTGTCCCGGCCTTTAATCGATAAAATCAAGTTTTCGTGATGCAGAATTTATATGTGACACTGTGTTAGAATTTGTTTATAAAATGATCTGAAGAATCCAGATTTAAAATACGTTATCCTGAAACACTCCGTATATAGATCAGACCAAATAAACTTTTAGCTACGTCATTAAGCTTCGCCGGCGCAGTGTTGCCCATTTTTACATATTTTCTTTTAATCAATAGCAAGCAAAAATAAATTAATTATAAATATATAAACAGTTATTATTTACATTAACAAAACTCAGCACTTAAGGGACATAAAGGGTCATTACTACCGCTTTCCCATTCAAAATATTCTAATAAGGTTGCCATGACTTTTTTGCAACGGCTATTAAGCTATCTTATATCACTTTGCACTAACGGAGGTTGTAAAAAGAACAATGTTCGACTGCAGGGTCTGCTAGTAAAAAATTTTAAACTTAAAGTATCACAACACAATTCATCTAAACCAAAAACACGTAATACAAAACTAAAGTGTCAAAAAGAATGACAATGTCAGGAAATAAATAAATAAACGTCAACTTGACATTTTTTACAGCAGAGTTACCACCTGAATCCCCAACGGGAAATTTAAATTCCAATTAGTCAGGCCGGCGCCGAATATGTCCATGGTTGGCAACAATGAATTCAAAAATCGCGCCCTCGATTACCTAACTAAAAGTTTAATTGGTATCGCTTATATGTGAAGTTTTTAGTGTGATAATTTTCCTTATTTAATAATTTTGTTCCAAAAAAATTACTTGAAGCTAATCATTTGGATTTTCTGAATTATTGATCCTAAATAAATGTTAGGGCTTTAGAACAATTAATTTCAATAACTTTCTATAAAGTAACTTTCCCTGTACCCTGTCTCCTCTCATCCTCAACATTTGTTTTTTAGTACACGCAACTGTCAGACACATACGGTATATTTTAATTATCTCAAACTGAGTGAAAAATGCCTTTTCATTGTACATTCGTTTAAAGTTCGCATTTTTCGCAAACTTTTGTTATTAGTCCAGCATAAAGCCCAACTTTATTTATTATATATACACGATAATTTTCATAAATATGTATATAAACAAACTCGTTTTCTACATACCACAAAAACTCGAGTTATTATAAGTTAAAGCTTAACTAAAAATTCCATTAATTTAAACTTGTATTGTATTATCAGATGGCAAGTCATGGTTTTGTTATTTTTCGGTTTTTTGTTTCTTATATGGTTGTTTTAGATATAACATCTTATTGAATACTAGTAATAATTTAGTCGATTTATGTTTGTACCTATGATTATCACTACTAAACACAGAAAATCTAATACCATACACAGACAGAGTCAATCTTTGTACTAGGATGTATTTCAGGAAAAAAATATGTTCACTTAAACAGAGATTGACAAAAAAATTGAGAGCGTGTAGATGGATTTTTTAAATGAGACACTCTGTATAACATGCAATCGATTTATTTCTGATTAGTTTACATAATCCTAGGTTATTATTAAATTTCTTTTGATAGTTTCAGAGCAATATATTAATATACAGGGCGAGTCTTAAATAAGTGCGAATATTTTTAGGAGTAGCATATTTCGACACCACAAGCATGTCTATGAGGTTTTTTTTTGAAAAAAAAAAATTAAAAATTTGATTTTTGTTTTAATTTTTATTTAAAAATCATAATATCTTGATAATATGTCAATATAAAAGTTATATATTAAACTCATAAGAAAAAAAAAAACAGAAAAGATTCAGTGGTTTTCAAAATTTTAGCAAAAAATCATTTTTTTTTAATTTTTAATGTAAAATAACTCGGTTATTCTGGACTTATTTGATAAATGGTAAAGAGAAAATATGTTTTTTTTATCGAGATCTACCAATTCTGAAAATATTTGCACATATTTTTGACTTGTCCTGTATATAAAACCAATATTTTTAAGCTATTCTTATGAAATTAATTAAAAATACATCGATCAAATTGACATCCTGATATCAAAACAACACTCGGTGTTTATTACAGGTGGTCTGTACTTACTTTATTACAATTATCGCAATGGTAAATTGTACAAGGTGCTTAAAATTTAATTTGAAACTTGTTAAAATATAAAGTAACTTTTTTTTTAGTTATTGTATTATTTTTAAATGGGACGCTCTGTATAATTATTTTTGAGACATCCTGTATAAATAACATATTTTCCTGAAATACCTTCTTGTATACAGTTTAAGTCTACTCTTAAACCAAATCTCTAAATCCTTTATTATAGGAGCTATGGATGTCCGACGCACTTCTGCAAGACCCTGTATAATATTTCATGTAAAACATTCAAAGATTTAGGAAGGTTAGAGTAAAATTTCGTAACTCTATGAGAGTAAAACACTTTAACACGCTATTTTACCGATTTTTCTCACATTTACCGCAATTAACCTTTGACACATTAATATACTATCATTATATCAAATTTAAAATTAAGTATTACACCGTAATGATATATGAGTATCTATGTAACTAAGATTAATCATATATAGTTCATATCAAATAAACTTTTAGTCACATGATTAAGTTTGACCGGCATACCGTTGCCCACTTTTACATACAGGGTGAGCCACTGAAAACTTACAATGGCTATAATTTTTAAACCAAAAAAGATATCAAAAAAATAAAAAATACCATTTCTATAATATCGAAGGGAATACATATGACGTATTTTTGAACCACCCCAACCTACCCCTAAGGCGGCACCACTCTACTTGAAAATCTTAAATGGCAACACCCCACTTGTGGCGCCTTTTTGGAAAGCCCATGAAAAATGCTAAACGATGATCATAAAATTTTTAGGGTGAAATTGAAAAACTACCCCTTGCACGAAAAATTAGGAGGACATTAATGAGAAAAGTGATTTTTTCAGCATAAGTTACAAATTGGGACCCATCTAAATGAGTTTTTTTTCAAACTACCCCGACTCACCCCTAGGTGCCACCCCCTCACTTCTAACCTCAAGATAGCGATACCCCACTTGTGGCACCTCTTTGGAAAGCGTATAAAAAATGCTGTACGACTGTCATAAAAAAAAAACGAAAAAAATAGAGCCTAAAAATAAAACAAAAATGTCAAAACGTGTCAAAATCAATAGAATGAATTATTTTTGTATCCATGAACCATTGCGAGAAAAAAAAGCTGGTACAAAAAAATTTATTATAACTCTTAATGAAGACCTCATACAGTTTCAGCAAGATGGAGCCCCTTCGCATTATTCTATTTTCACAAGGCGGTGGTTGGATAAATATTATCCAAGGCAATGGATTGGCAGAAGGGGTCTAATCGAGTGGCTGCCAAGGTCACCTGATCTCACTCCTTTAGACTTTTCCTTGTGGGGTTACACTAAATCCATAGTCTACAAGACAAAACCAGGTTCGTTGCAAGAATTGCGGCAGAGGAGAACTGAAGCATGTCGAAATATTCCGAGAGAGACTTTCCAAAAAGTGAGAGAAGAATTTGAAAATCGTTTGTATTTTTGTATGGAACAAAACGGCTGTCATTTTGAGCAGTTATTAAAATAAATTATCATTTTCATTTCTTTCAATTGTCACACCTACATTTCTTGTCACTAACCAGTAATTAACTTGAAGTCTGTATGACCATCGTTTAGCAATTTCAATTAGCTTTCCAAAGAAGTGTCACAAGTGGGATATCGCTATCTTGAGATTAGAAGTGAGTTGGTGCCACCTAGGGGTGGGTTGGGGTGGTTTGAAAAATACTTCATTTGCGTCATTTAGCTGGGTCCCAATTTGTAACTTAGGCTGAAAAAATCACCTTTTTCATTAATGTCCACCTAATTGTTCGTGTAAGGGTAGTTTTTCAATTTCACTCTAAAAACTTTATGATCATCATTTAGCATTTTTCATGAGCTTTCCAAAAAGACGCCACAAGTGGGGTGTTGCCATTTAAGATTTTCAAATGAGTAGGGGTGCCTCCTAAGGGGTAGGTCGGGGTGGTTTAAAAAATACGTCATATGTATTCCCCCTCGATATTATAGAAACGGTATTTTTTATTTTTTTGATATCTTCTTTGGTTTAAAAATTATAGCCATTGTAAATTTTCAGTGGCCCACCCTGTATTTTCTTTTAATCGAAATATTTTAGGAGGCAAAAATAAAATAATTTTAATTAATCACAAAAAAATTACAACAAAAACATTGATTATTTTATAAATTCTAATTCGTTACAATCTTTTACAAGGTTTAGTTTATACAAGTTTTCTGCAGTTAGTCAGTACGGAATGGTTAAAGAATCCTGGATATATGAGAGGCTTAGAAATTGTGAAAAAATTGAGAGTAGTAAATGATACTGCAGAAAGAGCTGTTAAATTGCCATCTAGAAGTGAAGATGAAAAACACTATGTGATTCAGATTTTAAGCGAGTATAAGAAGAAATATCAAAATCCAACTAAAGAATGTTTATTAAAATAAACAAGCTATACTTAAATGATGTAAACGTCATTATACTTGAATATTTCTTAATTCCCAACCTTAACAACATCAGAATGATATATTTTTACAGTAATAGATTACATTTTTCAAAAATAATCATAATTTTGTCAAAAAAGTCAAAGAATTTAGGAATTTACCGAGTGGTGTTAAATTTAACCATGAATAACTTTTGAAGCAGTAGGTTTATCGAAAAATTGCAAGAGACCTTTTTTGTAGAACGTTCAATTCTGTATGAGAATATGTGATTTCCATGGCTGCGAGAGAACAAGATCGAGAGAAAAAAAAATATTTGCAAAAAGTGGCAAATTCCTATGTAATTTAAATGGGAAATGAATTGTCTTTGGGGCAAGCAAAGGGTTTACAATGGTCTGTTATATTTTTTTACACAATAAACTAATAATTTAGAGGGCGTCGCCGTCGTGAGAGAAATGATCAACTTTGTAAATAACGGACACCCTAATACGTATGTTAGAGGTTGATAATTTAAATTTTATCCTCTGCAACAACCCCCTAATCTGATAAATATACTAAATATGTAATTATGTCAATTTAATTTTTTTTCAGTGATTTATCTCAAACTGCTATAACTACGTTACCTGATATAGGACTAGAAACATTAGAAGTATTGAAAATTCGAGAGACACCAACATTAAACAAAATACCAAGTCTATATGATTTACAGGTAATACTAAGATTTATTTTTCACTAACATTATGTTACTAATTTACGTTAAGTTTACTAACAAAAAATGCTTTTTTGTCATACGCTCCCAAAAACAGCTATTTTACGGACTCATTTCAGTCCGTAAAATGTTTCTTTTTCGGCCTAGGCCGTAAAGGTCGTCATGGCAACCTTTATGGACTAAAATGTCTAAATTCGTTATTTGGTTGTTTTATTTTGTCATTCGAAATTTGTCACAAAATCACATAAAATTATACATATATTTATAATTAAATTATTAAATACTAACAATATCAAAGCTAAGTTATTTGTTTAAAGTAAGTACCTAGGTACCTATTTAAAAGAGGCTTTTAAATTAAAATATTCTTAAATTACAGTCACAAACATTCAAACCATCGTCAATTTGGTCGAAATATTCCATGCTGAGAGCAGTGTTAAGTGTTAAAGAAGATATTATATTGACAAATTTCCAAAACTTATTGCTTTTTTGAAGAGGAATTCGGTTGGTTACGAGCCTAAAAAGTCTAAGGTTTTGTCCATAAAAGAGATCGGTGATTTTTTGGCCACGGCTAGTGATGAAACTTATTTACTTACTAAGGTAAGTTTGCGATAATGATTTTTAAAATATATAGATGGTTTCTTATTCCATTGTATTTGATTTTTAAATTATTAAATACTAACAATATCAAAAGCTAAGTTATTTGGAAAAATAAAAATGAAATGAACAATTTTGTGCATTTTGAAAACTTGCATCTGCAATCGAAACGACTCCTCCATTGGCAGGTAAATTTACTTTCTGATGAGGTGGAGTAAATGCGAACGATGATGTACTTGGTAATACATCCGTGGAAGTGGTCGCGATTTTCTTTTCCCCCATTAGCAGTTTGCAAACTTTCTTCTTTTTCTCAATAGATTCTTCTATGTAACCTTCGGCCACTGTGGACGACCTAAATAATTATTGTTGTTTAGAACAAGATCGGAAAATATTAAAATTTTTACCTCCAACCTCCTAGGCGTTTCAGCGATGTAAAATCCACATCTGCATCTGCAGCAAGAGTAGCAGAACTACGTCGGAAACAATGACCTGTATATTCGTTTGGGTTCGACAACTTTAAAAATGCTGCTACAATCGATGGCATCTTCCCAAATGAATGAATGCCGACTCGTTGCACGGTGCATTTTCCTTTACGATAAGAGATGAAGACATAATCATGTGGTACATTTTTTGGCCTAAGACAAGCATATTTTCTATACAACTCAACTGGATTGACAACGTTCCCTTCGTTCACCACCGGAAACACTCTTTTGATATTAGTTTTTGTATCCGCAAGGGTAACTAAAAGGCAGCTGTTGTCTTTTTCTATGATGTCTTGCACTCGTAGAGAGTACAATTCTTCTCTTCTACATGCTCCACAAAGGCCAATGACAAGAGCTACCTAAAAATCAAATACAATGGAATAAGAAACCATCTATATATTTTAAAAATCATTATCGCAAACTTACCTTAGTAAGTAAATAAGTTTCATCACTAGCCGTGGCCAAAAAATCACCGATCTCTTTTATGGACAAAACCTTAGACTTTTTAGGCTCGTAACCAACCGAATTCCTCTTCAAAAAAGCAATAAGTTTTGGAAATTTGTCAATATAAATATCTTCTTTAACACTTAACACTGCTCTCAGCATGGAATATTTCGACCAAATTGACGATGGTTTGAATGTTTGTGACTGTAATTTAAGAATATTTTAATTTAAAGCCTCTTTTAAATAGGTACCTAGGTACTTACTTTTTCGTGGAAATAATTTAGCAATACATCTTCATTTACAACGAATACGCCATTTTTGTCTTTCCATTCATTAAAAACATCATATTCTTTCTGGTAAATGGCACGAGACTTCACAGGAAGTAAATCCAACACGATTTCTTTGGCCTTATTAGCAATATGTTCGGGATTTTGGAACATTTTAAAATTGTTGATGAATTTGTGTGATTTTGTGACAAATTTCGAATGACATGTCAAAATGCGATGAAATAAACAAACTCGTTACTAAGATATGAATTTATAAGCCAACTTTTTCAAACATTATAATTTCAAATATGGAAAATTTGCAAATATGCGTTCTAAAAAACTGTAAAAAGCGTATGACAAAAAATAGTGTATGTAACACGTACCTAAATTATGTTTTTTAGGACTCATCTACTATTTCGGACTCGGCTAACGCCTCGTCCGCAAACAGTAATGATTCGTCCTAAAAAACATCATTTTAGGTACTAGTTACATAAATAGCTATTAACGTTTCGAGGAAAAGTATGATTCCATAAATTCTTACTTTCATTTTATTATACCTAGTATTTAACCTGGAAAATTCTAAACTTGATTGATTTCCAGAGCTTAAGGGTTGCTAAACTAACTCACCACTTCCACTGCTGTGCGTTCAAATACCCCAAGCAGCACAACCCCACAAAACACGCAGCTTTTGAAGATTATCTCAGACAAACGTGCATCCACGGTCAAAAAATGGACAAAATCAACAACTACAAAAAACGGAAAAGATCCATAGATACGAAGATTGGATATCGAAATTAGTAAGAAAATCTTCGAACAAACTAAACTTAAAATTCATCTATTATTTTATTTTTATTAGTAACAGCTCCAGTGACATTCCAGACGTAGAAATAGGAAAGGGACATCCTCAACAGCCGCTTACTGGTCAGTTTATTGGTCATCAAGCTCCCAGAGAAAGGAACGATGATGAAATCTACGAGGATATGGGGGAGTTTCATTCAAGTCCTACCTTGATCAACGATACTCCAATAGAAGTGCTTTGTGGCAATATTAGCGTTAAGTAGGTTTACAACAATATAGTATACTAATACATAAAATCCTTAAGTGACTGACTCACCGATTAATCACGATCCTGCTCAAACCACTCAACGTAAGAAACTCAATTTTGGCATACATGTTGATTCTAGGGTGTAGAGGTTCGATACGGTCAAGTTTCCGAAAAAACGCTTAAACAAGTATATTTTATTTTGTTTTTTTACATATTTTGATTTTTTTTAAAAATCATACAGGGTGTTCCAAAAGGTTGGGTAATTGATTAACCACGATCTGCTTAAACTGCTTGACGTAAAAAGCTTATTTTTGGCAAACGGATTTTTCGAAAGTCAAATTCCAACGAGATGAAACTACCCCTCAAATATTACCAAGTTATATAATAATATCGCCATATTGTTTTTTTCTCATGCTCACATAAATGTGAGAAAATTGTATCCAGTTTTTTATATAAATGGAATTTCTTGCTTTGCTTTATGATCACCACTACAAATGATTAATTCGACGCGAACGAAGTCGCGGGTACACGCTAGTAATTAAGATAACAATAGATTTAAACAAACTTATTGGTACATCATCCACACAAAGATGCTCTCTTTTCTTTTTTCTTTTCCATATACAGGGTTGCCCATTAGTGAGAAGAAATAAAACATTGCTAATCTTTCAGGTTACAAGATGTTAAATGCGATCCAGAACCAAATGCCCTAAACCCTTGCGAGGATATCATGGGTTTCACGTGGCTAAGAAATTCAGTATGGTTTGTCGTAATTTTAGCTGTGGTTGGCAACGTCGCAGTGATAATCGTAATCTGGTTCAGCAAAACAGAGGTAACTTAATTTTAATTATTTAAAAAACCACTAACGGTTCTTTAAGGTACTAACTAAAACTACTTATTAATAAACTTCAATTTTTCATTGAGGGGACATTTAGAAACAGCTTTTAGATAATAGTTTTTAGTACAAAGTTAATATTTCTGAACAAAATTATGGATTCTTCCAATTTTGTTTGATTGGTAACTCATTTCTTTTCTTACAGGTTAATGTTTCTAGGTTTTTAATGTGTCATTTGGCCTTGGCCGACTTGTGCATGGGACTGTACCTCCTGCTAATCGCTAGCATGGACTACCACTCCGTAGGGACTTATTTTAATTTCGCATATAATTGGCAATACGGTGAGTGGACCTTTTTTTGGAACATATAGCAAAGAGTAAATTCAGCGTTTGCGTTTTTTTTATATAGATCATACTAAATAAACTTTTAGTCACGTGATTAAGCACTTCACTCCTTAACAGCACTCTTTAACAGCAAACTCACCTCCTAAACAGCACTTAAGGGACATAAAGGGCCATTAATACCGCTTTCCTGTTCAAAATATTCTAATAAGGTTGCGATGAGTTTTTTGCAACGGCTATTAGGCAATCTTACACACTTTGCAGTAAAAGGGGTTATAAAAAGAGCAATGTTTGACGGCACAGTCTGCTAGTAAAAAATTTTAAGCTCAAAGACACATTCGCAATACAAAAAAAAACAGCGCTTTATTGTACAAAAAGCCAAAACAGCTTTATCGACAAAGCAAAACAAAAAAAGCACAAAAACAAATATACAAATAATACAAAAAATGTCATACAATACAAATCAATTCAAAAAAAAAATTACGTCATAAAATTACAAATAAAACATATATGGACATTGCAGAACACAGGCGTATCTAGAAAATTTTACAAAAGGAAAACTGTAAATGGATAAAATCATGTTATAATAACATAAAATCAAGAGTTATAAAATATTAAATACTAGACCTTGATGTATTGATGATTGTGAGATGATCAAAATATTAAAATTAAAATTCTAAATTGTTCATGATTAAACATCAACAAAAAAGTCGTTTACCGCATATAGGGCTCTCTCCAGTAAGTATGATTTCAGAGCTTTGCGAAATGCGGGAATGAATGAAAGTGACTTGATATTCGAAGGCAAATGATTGTACATTTTCTTGGCATTGTATAGTATTGAGCCCTTAACTAGTTCTGAACTCGGGGTTGGCAGATAAATATCGTGCTCCACATTCCTAAGTGGATAGTTGTGAGAAGGCCTTTCCGGAATAGAGAATATGTGCTTGCGGATTAAGCAAACGGATTCAAAAATGAGTAAGGAAGGAAGAGTCAGTATTTTGAAATTTTTAAAGAAATTCTGGCAGTGAGTTCTACTGTTTAGTCCCAATAAGTATCGAACTGCTCTCTTTTGAAGTTTGAAAATACGATCAAATTTTGTCGCGCAGCAAGTACCCCAGAATGGAAGGGCATAACGAAGATGCGACTCAAAAAGGGCATAGTAGACCATTCTAGAGGTTGATGAGTTAAGTTCCATAGACATCAGTGTCTAAAAATATTCCTTAAGATCAGTCTTAGCGCAAAACAGGCAGAGCTTAGTTTCTTTGATAAGGCTTCGATGTGCAAGTCCCATTTTAAAGAGTTGTCCACAACAAGTCCTAAGAATCTCACAGTCCTAAGAGTCCACGACGTCAATAGTGGTGTTATTAAGTACAAAAGGTTGTATAGTACTTTTATATGACAAAACTTTAGTTTTTGAAAGGTTGAGGCATAGGAGATTAGAATCGCACCAAGATTTAATGGTGCGTAAGTCACTGGATATAGTATCATATAGTGCCGTAACATCTGGGCCGCTCCAAGTGAAACAAGGAGATTAGATTTGCAATGTCGTTGATAAACACCAGAAATAAAATAGGGCCAAGTACTGAACCCTGAGGGACACCACAATTCAATTAAACCAAAAACTCGTAATACAAAACTAAAGTGTCAAAACGAATGACAATGTCAGGAAATGTGGCGACTTGACATTTTTTACAGCAGAGCTATCACCTGAATTCCCAGCGAAAATTTAAATTCCAGTTAGTCAGCCAAAAAAATATATTAAAAAATCAAACGCTGTATCTGAGCCATTTTTTTTTAATTCTAATTATTTGAAATGCATAAATTTTATTTTGAACCCCCCATAGCATCCACTATACTTTTTTTGAAGCACCCTGTATACTCAAAATAATTTTGAACTTTCCCTAAAACTTTCCTATTTCATTTTTTGGCGTAATTCTGATAACAAACGAGATATAATACCTATGAATTTTACCTACTCTATCGTTGACTCACTCTGTACGAAGAAGTCTAAAAATAAAATTATTGAATGGGATTCAACGAATACTCCTTGTTAGTTAGTAAAAACGCCCTATTAATACCACAACATGACCTAAATATGCAGGGAATGATACACAAACATATCAATTAAAAAGAGGGAAAAGTTGTTTTGACGTTTCATCCCACTCACTAATTATTAAAAAGGCCAATTAAAAATCATGCATGTTTATACCGGGTGCGCACAGAGGTCATTTCAATTTTTTTAGGAATTAATAAATCGAAAATAAATCGAAAAAATAAGGTATCAAAAAACCTACGATTGATGTTGTATTTTATTGTTAATAAAACATGCTTAAACAATAATATTTTTTTTTATCTCAACATAGGTTGCTTAGGCGCAACGTCAAAGTTGATTTTGTCTTAGGTTGTTTATTGATGATACGAGGTACTGCACTGTATGACCCTCGATAAACTAATTATAAAATAATACAGTTTATGTAGAATTCTACAAGAAACACAAAAATAGTAAAAGAAATAGGGGTTGCTATTTAAAATTTTAGGGTTAGGTGCCCTGAGGGTCAAGGGGTTGAAAGTAACACAACAAATGCCTCAAAAATTGTCCCCCTTGATATGTAAGTTGATATGTAAATTGACGTGTTTCGCCAAATTTTCATACTATCATCGGTAGAGGCAATATTAAATACTGTTCGTTTTCAAATTGTCACCCTGTATGTCTTGACATATTATGTTTTGAACACAATCTATGTAGTAAAATAGGGAGGGTGACCTAAAATATAATTTTTTTATTTTAATTCTTATATTTCTTTTCGGAAAATTTTTCCACCCTGTATCTTAAAAATTTTAGCAGAAATTTTTAAGGAAAATAAGAAAAATCAAACACAATAAATAAGCTCTTCTCTTATTTCCTGAAAACACTTCTGAAAATTTACTCTAAAGCGTTTAAATGATTTATCTGTTTACTAATTTTTTTTCAATAAAAAAAAATTATTTAACGACAAACTGTATAATTTTTTTCTAATCGCTTTCATGTTTATTCGCGAATCTGAAAGAAGCAAACCTCTCTAATTAAGCTCAAAACATAAAAAAGTTAAAAATAAATGATACTGTAAAAGAAGTCCGTATTGATTGCGTTCGGAATGCCCCCTTTATGTTGTTTATTTTGCTTGTCAGTGAAATGTAAACCATCAAAGATGTTTCAGGAACATTTTTTTCCATTTTTAAAAGATTTAAATCAATTTAATTACCTGAAAGACGAATATTTTTTGTATTTAAAAAAACTGTCTAAATATAAAATTAAACTCGCTCAAAAATATGTATAAAATATAATAACTTACAGCTGCTGCAAAAAGTATATTTTAAAGTATATTCGTATTGTATGAGTTACCATAATTCTTATGTTTGAAACATGTTTAGTGTGCAGGTGTTTTTTCTATAAAAAAAATAAGAAAAACTCTTTCTTTTTAACAACTCCCTGTTTGTTCTGTTTTCTTGAAATGCACAGTAATTATTGGGACTTTTTAGAGCTGCTTAGTACTCGTAGAATGTATGCATAACTGAATAGTCGCAGAGCTTAAAGCAACCTGATGGTCAAACATCAATAAAATATTCCTTATGTTTGGACCAAATTTTCTCGAAAATATAGACACAATTGAAAATTCCGTTTCTGTACGGAAATAGATTGAAGTTTTGTGATTCCAGTGATATATAATTTATATGGTTTTGTAACAAATTGCTCGCTAGTTTATCGCAAATTCTAAAGCTCTGCAAACAATCAAGCCTTAATTAAAGCACGTTATATATATATATATAATATATATTTCCTTCGGCCACACCACCCGCTGTACCCGACCCCTGGGAGCGACCCGAACAATACAGCATAATAGCCTCTTAACAAATTCCCAAGCAGCATTTGGACGTCGGGACAACGTTGTGTCACGCGACCAACGTCGTCCCGACAGGCACAACCTCGTGCCAACCCTAGTCTGTATTAGTTCGGAGAATCATTTTTGGGTCGAAACGACGTTGGATACCGACGTTGGCTAGAAGCCTAATTTAGTACAAACTGCAACGTTGTTTAAAATCCTAATTCACAGAAATACAAAACTAATATGGCGTCTAAGTCGCGTTTTATCCTAAATTGGGATAATTATAGTAAAAATATTATTTTTATGATTTAGTTAGAGACATATGTCAGATGGCAGTGAAGGAAAACGAAACAAAAGTATTTAAGTGTGGAGGATGTTTGAAGATCATAATTATTGAAACACTTTAACCGACTCTGTAACTCGTTACCCAAGGCAAAAAAGTTAAACGCAAACAACTTTATTAATAAATGTATTGTTTCTACTTTGAAAAATACTAATGGGTCTTAAAATTAAAGAAGTTTTAAAAATTTTCTTGAATTTTTTTTTTTAGTAAAATGAGAATAATTTATTCGCAGTCGAAAAAATTGTTTCCGCGTGTTTTTTAGGGTCAAATATTTCAAGTTAATGTATTCAAAAAGCAGGAATTGCTATTTTAGGAACGAAACATTTTCTTATTTAACAACATGGCGGCTTTCACTTTGTTGTTTTGGAGATTAAGATGGAGTAGTTCGAGTAGTCGCATACTGGACTAATAAAGTCGCAGTTCGGCCTTAACAGGTAGTATACTAGTCGCAAGATTGCCTAATTTAGTCATCCTAGAGTCTAGCTTGTGCCGCCCTCTATAATCTAAATAAACGAGGGAGTGGATAAACTATCGGTAATATATATCGATGTATATTTAAATTTAGTTTTATATGTACCTTTCTTATGTCCCATTTTAATTAAGTTTTTTTTTATAAAAACAAAAACAGCACTGAACTGTCTGACTGAACAGAACAATGAAGTGAAAATTTAAGATTTAAGGTTAAGCCCCGTTCTCAGAACTGCGACTGTCGCCAGCGACACGACAAAAGAACCAATCAGATTTGTACAAAATTCAAACAGCTGTCAATTTTAAATTTAGTACAGCTCCCATTGGTCGTTTGAAGTGTCAATCAGTGTCGCTGTCGACACGACGCAGTTCTGAGAACGGGGCTTTATGGTTCAATACAGTTGCAAAAAGGTAGTGACTCGACGTCCTACCAACGTAAGAATAAGGAAATCTAAACAACGTTGGAATTAGTAAAACAGACGACGTTTGCATAACGTTGGAATAGGTCCTGAAACTGACGTCGGAAAACTCTATATTGTCCAACGTTGTAACTACGTTGCCCGAATCACCTAAAGATCACTTAAGCAAAAAAGGTTACAAGACAACGTTTATTCGACGTCGCAGAAGCTTCTACTTTGCTGTAGTACTAGTCCAACGTCGGCACAACGTTATAAAAACGTTTAAATTTATTTTAATACCCAAGGTAGGGAGCTAACTATTATTTGTAACTAATCCAACGTTGTGTTTAGTAAACATGTGGTCGCAAGTCGTGAAAATGCTACTTGGGTGGTCTCCGTTAGATCAGCTCAGTGGTGTTTATAAAAAATAGTTTCTTTTTTATTTTGTATAGATTTTCTTCTTGTGGCGAAAAACCTAGTCTTTTCAAGGAAGCAGACTTTGTTTTATTTGTTTACATCTTCTTATTTTTGAAAAACCAAACACATTTTTTTTAATAGAAGACGTTTATTTTTAAAAGTGACCTGTAATGAATTTCTTTTCTAGGTATCGGCTGTCAAATCGCAGGTTTTTTGACAGTTTTTGCCGGTCACCTGTCAATCTTCACGCTAACCATAGTGACTCTCGAACGATGGTTTGCCATAAAATACGCCATAGATCTCACGAAGAGAATAAGACTGAGAGCCGCCATTAACATCATGATAGCCGGATGGTTATATTCTATTTTAATGGCGGCATTTCCGCTATTGGGAATCAGCAATTACAGCAGTACTAGGTAAGCTATACCGGGTGCTTCTCAAAAGTGGCCCACCCCTATAACTTTTCGATACCCCTTTTTGTTTTTTTTTTCATGTAAAAAACGAGATTTGGTACGTTAGTATATGACATAATTTAGGACTGATTGACGTATTCAATTGTTTTGGTCACTTCCTACTGTTTCACCGGAAATGACTACAACTTTTTATTTTTAAATGACACTCTCGGTATTTTTTTACTTATAAGATTTTCCAAGACTTTTTGATTAAAAATTAGTGTTTTTAATATAGCCATGGAATTAATGAACACTATAAAATGAAATTTAAAATTTAATTTCGATTTTTTTAAGCAAAGTCTGGTTTCGTTAAGCGAAAATGTCAAAAGTTGACATATGATATGTCATTATATTCAGAGTGTCATTTTCTATCGAATAAAGTAAAAATATACCAATGGTGCCATTTAAAAATCAAAAGTTGTAGTCATTTCCGGTGAAACAGGAAGTGACCAAAAACAATTGAATACGTCAGTCAATCCTAATTTATGTCATATACTAACAAACCAAATCGCTATATTTTTAGTAACCCGTGTCTCAAATAGTTTCTTAATAAAAATTATTTTTTTTTAAATGTCCGATTAATTTTATATCTCCGAAAAAAAGTTTCAAAAAAAGTCAAATTATATCTACAAATTCATTTACCCAGTAGTAGGTATAAAAGACATTTTTAGTAACCAGTGTCTCAAGTAATTTCTTAATAAAAATTATTTTTTTAAAGGTCCCATTAATTTTATATCTCCGAAACTAAAGCTTCAAAAAAAGTCAAACTATATCTACAAATTCATTTACCCAGTAGTAGGTATAAAAACATTTTTAGTAACCAGTGTCTCAAATAGTTTCTTAATAAAAATTATTTTATAGGGGTGAGCCCCTTTAGCCACTTTTGAGACGCACCCGGTATATTGTCATATTTACAAATTATTATTTGCATTTCCTAACTATTTTCCATTATTCTTTCTACCATTGATAAAATATATTTTTTTGTTGACCACTGTGTATATGATTTTTTTATTATTTTGTACAGTGCGTCGATTTTTCGTCGATTATCTGATAGTCGGCAATTCATGGGCGTGCCATAAATATTTTAGATAACATTTAAAAAAATTAAAAATACCCTATCATTTTTTTTCATGTTTTTCCACGTAAATGAGACATAATCTTTATAAAAATTTAAAAATTAAGAAAAAAAAACAATTTTAAGAAACAATTTCCATTTGTTTCCAGCATTTGTCTTCCGATGGAAGTCAAGTCGATCCTAGACAAGACCTACTTGTACAGTATATTCATTATAAATGGAATGTCACTGGCAGTGATAGTCTTCTGTTACGCTCAGATCTACTTCAGCTTAGGGAAAGAAACAAGAAGATCAAGTCACAAGGGCGAAATGACCATAGCCAAGAAATTTGCCCTTCTTATATTCATAGGTGGGTACTTTCAAAGCTTACAGATTTACATACAGGGTTCTTAAACAAAAAAAAAAACATTAGTACTCTAGACAGTTTACTTATTTTAAATAGTATCATCTATGTAAAGTCTATCCTATGAGAGGATACATGACAGTTGTTGTGTAAAATCAGTAGAAAGTTTTTTCTCATGCAAGCTGTATCTACTCTTTTTTAATAACTCACGAGACGCCACTGCATAATACAGGGTGGTCCGAACTGTATTCCGGAAACTTCGGCAGCATATTCTGCAGATAAAAGTAAGTAAAAAAGTTCGTATAAATGTATGTCCTTAAATGCTTAGTTTCTGAGATATAGGGTGTAGAAAGTTCATTTCTATTTCGATTTTTTTCAAATAATTTCTGAAGCAACGTCAATATTTGGATGAAAATTAGTTTAGTTTAATTGGCTAAGTGTTTATCTAACAAATTTGTTGGATAAAAGGCAAGAAAAACACTAGTTACTAGTTAATAAAACTGATTTCTGGATGAGTGGCTTATGTTATTACAATCATGTTATTACAATAAGCTCTTCAATTGTTTTGTGCCAAAAGTTAACTTTTTTGAAACAAAGTACCAACAGAAACTGTTTTATTATCATTTTTTTAAAGAAAAATTTATGATTAATTAAAAAAATAAAAAGTTCTAATTATATAAATTCAGAGTGATTTTTAACCTATACGCATAAACTTGGGAAATTATTGCTGATGACAAATAATGACTAATAATGAAAAAAAAAAGTAAGTAAAATATTTTTATTTACGGAGATAACAAACTATTTGAAATAAAAACAAACATTTACGGATAAAGTTGAAAATTTTTGTGAAAAAAAATACTCAAATTATTTCAGACTCTAAAAATATTTTACTAACTTTTTTTTTTCATTATTAGTCATTATTTGTCATCAGCAATAACTTCCCAAGTTTATGTATATAGGTTAAAAATCACCCTGTATATTCTAAAATATTCTAAATATCTTGAGAACGATGGCTCGTAGTGATTTTTATCAGGAGACATTTTTTACGTAAAAAATCACGGAAATGTATTTTTTTTGCCCTATAGTTTTATACAGGTACGGAAGAAAAGTTATTACTTTTCAAAACAGTTAAAACACATGTAGGTGGCGTCCCCTACAAATAGGAGTCATATTGACATCAAAATCAAATTTCTCATGGCAAAAAACTCCCAGATACCAATTTTCATCCAAATATTGACGTTAAACTTCTACACCCTGTATCTCCGAAACTAAGCATTTTAGGACATACACTTATACAAACATTTTTACTTATTTTTATCTGCAGAATATGCTGCCGAAGTTTCCGGAGTACAATTCGGACCATCCTGTATATTTTGTATTTTTTTGTAGATTTTGCTACGTATACGCCAGTGGCATTCTTTGGATTGTGTGCACTGATAGGCTACCCTCTAATCAACATAACAAAGTCGAAAATACTTTTGGTATTTTTCTACCCTTTGAACGCTTGCGCTAATCCGTACCTTTACGCTCTGATGACGTCGCAGTACAGGAGAGACCTCTTCATGATCGTTTCAAGGTACTAAAATCGTTTTACTATCAAATTCAAATAAAATAGCTATAAAAGAAGTTATGCTAAATAGATATAAATATATTATTTAAATGAAAAGTACCTATAAACCTTTATTTAAATGTACTACCTGTGGTACTACGTAGATTATTGTAAACTTTAATGTAGTATTTATTATTTTAAAATGTATTTAATTGTATTTTATTAGGTGTGGATTATGTAAACAAAAGGCAGCAAGGTACTGCTTGAGTGAAGGCATTCCAATGACAAAACCGTCCCCCCTACTTCCAAAACAGGAGAATTCGTCCCCATGTTGCAACAACAATTGCAAAAACAACGAAAACGGTGTGGCAGTGCCAATAGTATCGAACACTTTTGTATAAATCATATTGATACATGATACAGTCTAAAAAATTTAGATCTAATGCCGGGTCCAGCCCAAGCAGACAAAACAGGACAAGACAGAAACATTCATGTTTTACGACTAAGTTGAGACAAATCCAATACATTTTTGTTTTGTTTCAAAATTCGCGGACTTTTCAATGTCCCGTCTCGACTCGGTAAAGATCAAAGTGTCTATGTTTTGTTCGTATATTTTGCGACAAGATATCGGCGAAGTGTGGATGGCGTGTGCCGCCAACAGTAGGCGAGACCAGTGAAATCATACACGGTTAATAAAACCCAAAACTCATTCGCAACAACTAAACTTTTGACTTTGTTGTGCTTTTGTCATTGCGGTGTGGACAATTTGTCTCAAGTTTGTCTTCTCAGAAGTCTCCATTTTTTGTTTGTCTTGTTTTTGACTCGAAATTGTGTTTACTTTTGTCGCCTTAAGGTTGTCGCCCACTAGACCGCGGCGCGACGCGGCGCGGCGCCATGTGGGAATTTCTTTTGTCTGCTTGCCATGTATTTAAATGGACCAACGCACATTAGAGCGCGCAGCGCAGAAGCGCGCCACGGAATTTCCGTCAAGAAGTCGGAAGACTTCTCTAACAACTTTTTTCCGTCTCCCGCGTTTCGGCGCGTTGCAGTGTGCGTACTCACAAGGGAGATAATTTTGCATTCGAGTCTTTTCAGTTGGCTTTTTGACTAGGAACTAGTGATATGTATCAATGGCAGAATTGTATTTTTAAAGGTAAATTAGAGACAGATGGACGAAATGCCTTTCTATCAAAGATTTAATATAATTGAGGGGTGTAGAGGCAAAACTGGCAATCTCCACTTTTTAACAAAAGTGACAATCTTCAATTTTTAAATTCTAATTACCTAAATATATAAAAATGATCAGGGTTTTTTTGACCACATAACTAATATACACATCAGAATAAATAAGAATTATCAAAAATATTAGTAATTTCTCTCTTCTGAAAAAATATGATGAGTAGATATACCCGGTGTTTTTTCTTCTAAAACCTTCAATTGAAGAGTGCGTAAAATGTTTCCTTTATATTTTGTAATACTGAAAAAAATGATTTTGCCTTTTATTAAATCTGGAAAAAGATGGTAAAATTCTTCAAACTTCTTTCTTTTTTTGTTAATCGTATGAGTCCAAACTTTTCCTCACACCCTCTTCCTCTTCCTCTGTTAGAAGAGCAAAAAAATACGCTTTCGTCCGTACTTGAACTCATTGCTTTAAAAACTAAACTACAGTAAGTAAAAAACACTTCGACTATAACTAAATAGCGTTGCCGCGTTTCAAAAGCGCGCTATAGTGGGCGCAGTCCCTTCGCAGCCGGAAAAAATTCTCTTCCCAGCGCCGCGCCGCGCAGCGGTCTAGTGGGCGACAACCTTTAGTCTGGACCCGGCATATGAGATCTAAGATTTAAATAGATAAATCTTATACATTGTTGTTCACCACATACGACACGGAGTATTGTAGCTAAACGATTAGATTTTTACAAATTGTAAGTTTTGGGTTCGTCGAAGGATTATCGGAGCTACAATTTAAAAATATTTTTACAAGATACAGAGTGTCCCAAATAAGTAAAAAATATTATAGTTGTATTTTTTTAAATGGAACACCCTGTATATTATTCTATTTTTGGATTCTACGATTGAAATAAAGGTAAATTTGATTAAGGTTTATCACACTTAAACCTTACCGTTTTTGAAATATTTTCAATTTTATGAAACTGCAGTAAAAATTTTAAGGCTTCATTTCTCCAAGGGTATCAAAGTTTTTAATATTAAATATTTACTGAAGATTATTTATTGATCAGATATTGTATTGCGATAATACAAATTTTACTGCCTTATACAGAGTGTCCAAAAAATTATATTAAATAATTACTAGCTTTAAACGGCAGTAACCTGTTTAATTTAAATGGAACACCCTATATATTTTACGTGAATCAGATGAACAATGTAATTGTCTATCAAAATGTATTATGCCATTTTTTACCCATCTCTTCAAGTTTTCGTAGAAAATGCATTTTCTTATAATTTAGACCTCATTTATCACTATACCCATGGAACATTGACATTTCAGATTTTTTATAGCACTATACATGTACAAAATGTACAGGTGGTAAATATTGCAAGCCCATTGGCATAGAAAAAAAAACTATTTAAATCTTTGTAAAAGAGTAAATCAATTAAATATACCACCATTATTTCCAACCAAAAATTAGTTAATTACATACTTTTAAATTGTTAATTAATAAAGTATTCTACATAAACGTGGATTTGGCTCAGAAATCAATATAATAATAAGTTATGAAAATGAACGTCTCTGTTTTTATAAATAAGCATTCGTCAAAAAATGAAATAAAATTGGGACTTTTACCACACCCTCTAATACACACACAAAATTATTTTTTTTAGTATTTGAAGCAATTATTATTAATCAACGTAAACAGTCAATTAATGTAGTTTGAATACTGGGATCATATTAATTGGTCCTCTTTAACAAAAAATATTTAAACTTTTTTTTAATTTTTTTAACTAAATAAGCGAACAATATCGACACTATTAGTATATGTACCCTTTAAAAATTTATTACATCTTTAAATATAAGCTAAAATGTCAATATTCCATGGGTATAGTGATAAATGAGATTTAAACTATAAGAAAATGCAGTTTATACGAAAACTTGAAGAGATGAGTAAAAAATAGAATAATACAATTTGATAGAAAATTACATTGTGCATCTGATTCCCGTAAAAAATATAGGGTGTTCCATTTAAATTAAACAAGTTATTGCCGTTTATAACTAGTAATTATTTAATATAAATTTTTGGACACTCTGTATAAGGTAGTAAAATTTTTATTATTGCAACGCAATATCTGATGAATAAATAATCTTCAGTAAATATTTAGTATCAAAAACTTTGATACCCTTGGAGAAATGAAGCCTTAAAATTTTACTGCAATTTCATAAAATTGAAAATATTTCAAAAACGGCAAGGTTTAAGTGTGATAAACCTTAATCAAATATACCTTTATTTGAATCGTAGAATCCAAAAATAGAATAACATACAGGATGTTCCTTTAAAAAAAATACAACTATAATATTTTTTACTTATTTGGGACACTCTGTATCTTGTAAAAGTATTTTTGAATTGTAGCTCTAATAGTCCTTTGACGAACCCAAAACTTACAATTTGTAAAAATCTAATCGTTTAGCAACGATACTCCGTGTCGTATGTGGTGAACAACCCTGTATATCTTAGTCTTAGATCTTAAATCTTTATGCTCTAAGATCTTAGATCTTTATACTGTGGTATTAATTTCCTTTTAATGTACAATTTTCTAGTATTAAGAACGCAAGTCGTATTTTTAAGGATAATAGATATAGACAAAGAAATTTTTCGTGGAATTACAGTAATAAGAATAAAATATGAAATAATCATAGTTTATCCAAAAATAATTGGCTACTGTATTGAAAAAAATTAAGAACTTGAAATAGTCGTTTTGTATTTGTCATCTTTTATTATAGACATACTTGTATAAGATAAAACGTACACATAATGCGTACATTCAGGGTGTCTCAGATTTTAATCGGGAAAATTTAATAGACGATAGAACTTGCAAAAATAACACAAAAAGCTCATATCAACTTGTAAGATTTAAATCTTCTTTTTCGAGATACAGACTACCATTAGAATACCAATTATAATATTAATTACCAATTAGAATTTAATTTTTTTCGCAAGAAGTAAGCAAGATAGGCAAAAAAGTCAGGAGATAAATAAATAATATTTTTAATTGCTAAATCCAAAAATAATATTAAACTCCTAAAAAAGCAGTGGCGTGCCTATTTTTTCCTTTAAAATAATTTAATAATGATGCCCCACCGCGGCCCCTGGTCATTAAACTTAAATCTAATTACATCAAATTAAGTCCCATAGTAAGTATTATAAACGGGTCAAGTTATATCAAAATCGATTAAATAGTTTTTCAAATATCTTAATTTTTTTCTTTTTTAAGTAACTTTAACACCCTGTATCTCGAAAAGGAAGCTTTAAATCTTACAAGTTCATATGAACTGTTTGTTTTATTTTTGCAAGTTCTATCGCCTATTAAATTTTCCCGATTAAAATCTGAGACACCCTGTATATCAAACATAACAATGTTTTAATTTTATTTTATTAATTTTGTTTGATGCTTTTTGCTCACCCCTATAACTTTTTTATTTTTTCAGATAAAAAAAAACGAGATTTGGTATTTTAGTATATGACATAAATTAGGAGACTGATTGACGTATTCAATTGTTTTGGGTAACTTCCTGTTTCACCGGAAATGACTACAACTTTTGATTTTTAAATGGCACCCTCGGTATTTTTTTACTTTTTATTCGATTGAAAATATCACTCTGTATAGAATGATATTTTCTCATATTATGGTTTATTTGAAATTGTAACACGGGGTTTATAACTTATTGATTGATAATTATTCGCAAAAAAATGTTTTTTTTTTCAAATATGCTAATGAGCCACCCTCATTCCATTCGAAAAAATTGAGATATTATTAAAAATATGATTTGAGGATGTTTTAACAGGCCAGCACAAAAGTCACTAAAAACATTAGACAATCAAATTTATGTTTTCAAGGCTCCTTGATTAAAAATTAACGTTTTTAGCAAAGCCATGACACTTTAGAATGAAATTTAAAACATATTTTTTTAAGTAAGAATGTCAAAAGTCGACATATGAATGTAATTCTATTCAGAGTGTCATTTTCTATCGAACAAAGTAAAAAAATACCGAGGGTGCCATTTAAAAATCAGAAGTTGTAGTTATTTCCGGTGAAACAGGAAGTGACCGAAAAGAATTGAATACGTCAATCAATCCTAATTTATGTCATATACTAACATACCAAATTAAATATAGTTTTTTATCTGAAAAAATAAAAAGTAATAGGGGTGAGCCACTTTTGAGACGCACCCGGTATAAGATGACCCAAAATCAACTTATAAATATAATCGCTTCCATTTAAACAAACAAAAAAAAACGGTAAATACAAATCTAAATGAAGCATGATTATGCGTCTGTTATGTTAATATTGGTGATCTATAGAGAATTAAGAATAGATATGTGACAAAATATGTACTTAGATTTTTGTTTATGACAAAATAATGATTGTATTATGCCCATTACATGGGCAATTTTTTTAAGTATGTACCTAAAATAAATTATTAGATTATAGTAATAAGTCGTTTCTACCAAATAGTATATACCTAGATAAATATTTGAACATTCTCAAACACTATACGCGTTAGATTATTTTAGTAGACCTAATAAGTTTGTCGAAAAAGACTGTTTTTATGTAAATATTTAAAATATATACGTAATAAAATCCCTACAAACTCAATATCTGTAGTTTTACTTTGTAAAAAAATATAACACACCTACCTGTATAACATTATTAAACAGTTATTAGTAAATCTTAATACCTTACCCATATCCTTATTTTATCAATGTATTATCTAAATAAAATATATATTTTACTTAATTCACTCTAAATTCACTGATTTTAGTGATCAGTATCACGTTTATATTTATTAAAAAATATATTTATTTTTAACTATCAATTTATAGTATAAAACCGAAAAAACTTTCTAAATACAAATACTTAATCCAGAAAAGTAAAAAGACCTACCTTGTCAAAAGTTTCTTTAAAACAGCTGTCCAATGCACTTCACTTCTTCACTAATATTACTTTACAATAACAAATAACTTTTTCAATAAATATTTTTATATAACAATTTTCTAAAGCGTCAGTTCAGGAAAAATATACAAAAGACGCCTTTTTATTTTTATATTTCTATTTTTATCCAGCGCACACTTTGCAAAATTTACTAATTATTAAATTATTTGTCTTGCCAGAATATTTTAACAATTTTAATCAGCGTCACTTTGGAAAAAATATACATAAAAACGCTCTTTTTATTGGATTTTATCAACGCACTCTATGTAAAATTCTCTTCTTGTTTTATGATGAAGAATTCTCTGATTTTAGTTATTAGAGCCAAGTTTCGCTATTGTCCACCAGGAGAAATTAAAAAATTCTAATCAAAGACCTACGTTGCATACGGAAAAAGCACGTCGAAGCTTTTGTCATAGAAATGTCACGAAAAATTTAGGTTATATTTACATTTGATATTCCGAAAATGTTAATAAAGAATTTATTTAAATCAAAAAACTCCAAACTTTTACAGGTAACGTTCCGTTTTTACTCGAAAGGAACAGTTTCCAAACATTACGATGTCGTTATTGCCGGAGGGGGCATGGTGGGAACATCTCTGGCTTGTACCTTAGGTAAAAAAATATGTTACACAATTTCAGGTTTTGTTTATTTAAAAAACACTTTTTAAAGGTAAAAACACGAAACTGAGAGAAAAGAGAGTGTTGTTATTAGAAGCATGCCCAAATAAAGCATGGGGTAACCCTGAAAAATACAGTAACAGAGTTGTTTCTATCAACCCATCGTCTCAGAAATTATTTAGTGATCTTGGTGCTTGGAAATTTATTGAAAAACACAGGTTTGCGCCAGTAAAACAGCTACAGGTATTACAGAAAAACCTCAGTATTATTATGTATTATTTCTTTTAAAATATATCCAGGTCTGGGATGCACTTTCTGATGCATCTGTAACTTTTGGAAATGCAGAAAGTCAAGAAATAGTATCATATATAGTGGAGAATGACTTATTACTTGCTGCTCTGACTGAAGAAGTAAAAAACTGTGATAATGTAAACGTCCTTTATAATGCCAAAGTTACAAAATATGGTTTGCCTGATTACGAAGGCAATATTGTCAACATTACCCTTGATAATGGAGATGAATATACGTGTGACTTACTGGTAAATATTACAACTTATTACAAACTAATCTGAACTATTAAAACTTACATTATTTTCATCATTATTATTAGAAAAAGAACGATCACTACTAAACCGATCGAATTTTTCTTTAATAATTTTATTTATCTCTAAAACAATTTCTTTTTCAATTTGCAACATGGATGCCGCACAATTTTTGTCATATCTGTATTTTTTGTATAATCGTTTGTTAGAAAGTTGAGGGGCGTAGAAGCTTTTCCTTGTCGATCTTTGTCTCTTGTTTTCTTTTTTGTTCCAAACCAACTGATAAATGCTCTTTATCAAATTTTTTGGTATTTTTGTTTCTCTGGGGTCATTAGGTCTGATGTCCATTGTCCAATTTCTTTGAGATCTCAGTAATAAAGCTTGATCATGTAGAAATGTCATCAGTTTTTCTGGAGCCCATCTGAGTAATTTTGAAAACAGCATACTCTCTAAATGAGCTGTTAAAGTTGCTTGTCTCACTAATCTATGCAGAACCGCGCTTTTTTGAAGTCCCTGTATATCGCTGACAGCCAGACCTACCATCAGGTTTGTTAGGATAACTGTAACAAGTAATACAAAGCCTAAATATGCAAAATGTGCTGTGACTGGGTACTTTATGTCGAAGGTATCAGAGAAAAAAACGTCTTCATATTCCAGTTCTCCAGACATCATTATTATTACTTTAATAAAGACCCATTTTAGGTCTCTGAAAGCTGGGTAGTTCGGGAATATTACTCCAAATGATAGAGTGAATGCAACAAATAAGGAAAAATATGCACACATGCATTTTGTGAAATTTAGTGAAACTGTCGTTAACATTTGGACATATATACCAAAGGCTGGGAATCTGCCAACTATCATCATGAGTTCTAGCTCACTGAGGAAGATACTGATAGCTGCCACATGATGTTGCCAGTTATAAATGTCTTCTTTTATTTTCATGTCTGGTACAGGCTGGACACAACAAAAAACTGTGATTATTGTAGCCCACTGTAACCAATTTTCCCATTCTTTAATATAAGTCTTCCAGTCGTGAAAAATCTGGAACATTTCTTTCAAAACCAAGAGGGTATTCAGAATCAAAACAACGTAACCTATGTTAATAGCGTAGGGAGAAGCAAGACAGGTTTGTGGTTGCTGTCCTCTCCTAGCTGAAGGACAGTCCTTCAAATATATCGCTATGATATACGCTGCGAAGAATATGTTGAAGATCAGTTTGTAGAAGAAGATGAGGAAAAAGAATTTGCGCATAACTTGCCATTTTAGGAGAAGAAAGGTTTTGCAGAGTGGATGTTCAAGGACTTCTTTGTGTCCGACTTCGATGAAATTGACCAATAGGGCTGTTTCTTGGTTGCCCATGGTCGGGACTAAGATGCGGAAGTCAAGTTTGAGTTGACAGTCTACGTCTCCGAGGTCGTGTTCATTCAGACGAATGGAGTTGTCAAATCTGAAAGAAAATAATTGTAATGAAATTTAAAAAATAATGTATATAGGATTTTCAGAGATTTTTAGTACTATAACTATTTGACAGTTTATATAATTTTTAGTAATGTGTATTAAAATTGTTATTAGAAACCCTATAATATATTTTATTCTTTACATGCTCGCGCTGCCCACTTCCCTGCCCAATTCCATACTCACTGCCGCGGAAGTGGGCAGCATGTAAACCCGCATGAAAAAAGTTCCTATAAACATGAGTATGGAAATGCATAGTTTCAGAGTTACAGGATGTTAAGTCTTTTTAAAATTAGGTTTTTTGTAATTATCTTAAATATCATTATTTTTTTATTTGAAATTGCTGTAGGTTAGACTAATAGTAATAATATTTAATAATAAATTAGGCAGAATATATAATTTATTAATTTTATTTTTATTAATTGGGATTAATAAAATTGCATTTATCCCATCAAGGAGGCCGAATTCGACAAAATATCAAGAGATAACTTTTAATTGGCATTAAGCGGTCTAAAGAAAAACAGTCAGTGGCGCACATGAAAAATAAATCTTATCTTTACTTGAGGAATCTCCCCACGGGAAATGGCACATATTTTTTGAAACACCCTGTATATGTGTCGTAAAATATAAAGCTAACACTGTACAGAGTGTCCTATCTTTAAAACCAAAAAATAAACACGAAAATGGGACACCCTGTACAGACTACACTTATTCTTATTAAGCTCACTTCGAAATATACTGCGGTATTACTTCGGGCGTCTTCTTTGTGACAAAATTTAACACCGAAATACCACCTTTAGTCCTGGCCGTGACGTCACCACCATACTCTAGCAACAACGTCACGCATTTGGAGAATTCGTGCAGCGCAGCCAAGTGCATCGGAGTGTAGCCGAATAAGTCCGATCGATTGGGATCGGCTCCTGCGCTGAGGAGGCTGCGCACGAGGTCGCAGGAACGCTGCACGTTGACCACGGAGCAGTGGAGGGGTGTGCGACCGTCCACGTCGGGTGAGTTGGGATTGGCGCCTAGAATCAGGGGGCGGTGATGTCAAATTGGTGTTTTTTTCCTCGAATTCAGGGTAAAATATTATGCCGGGTCCAGACCAAGCAGACAAAATAACGACAAGACAGAAACGTTCATGTTTTACGACAAATCCTATACATTTCTGCGTTATTTTTCTTTCATTTTTGTTTTCTTTCAAAATTCGGAGACTTTTCAATGTCCCGTCTCGAGTCGGTAAAGATCCAAGCACAGCTTATACAGATTATAAACTTTGTTTTTTCTTTATTGTTTTTCGTGGTTCCAATTTTCGGAATCGGGCACTAGTTAGGTTACTAGTTTGCGCACATAGCACGCCCACTTATGGCCTCTAAAATTGTGCACAACGCCTGACCGGCACAGTTATTAGAGAGATATCGGAAAACCGAATAGCGTCATGCAGTATTTACGCCTCTGTTTACGCGTACCTTATCATGGTTACGATATGCGCGAGTCAATTTTTAACGCAACACCCGCTAATAACATTACCGCCTGCCGTAATTTGCGGATCCATTACACCAAGCGCTATTTCTAAATAACGTTTAAAAATTGCTTAAATTGGCATGTGCGGGTATTTGACAACCGGGGCCGGCCGGTGAGATCTTTTATTTTAGGTTATGTTTGAATTGTTTTGAATTATTACTTTAGTTTTATTAGGTAATTTGATATTTAAGTAGCTCGGATTAGTTTTAATTAAGTAAATATGGCCCAAAATATGGATTCCACCTCTTCCAATACTAAAGAACCTATAAAGAGTCTTAGGTTTACAGCAGATGACGACTTAGCCTTTCTAAGAGAATTTGTTGCTTGTTGCCCTAAACCCATTGGCAGACGTTGAACAATAAAGCACTGGAAATAAGCACTTTAGCCCTTTAGTTTTAAAATACCTAGTAAACAAAACAATTTCAAAGTTTTAAATTCAAAGTTAGGTTAAGTTTAAATAACGGACGCGACGCGATCAGAATTCTTTCCGATCCGATAACTATAAATGAAGAGAGTTAATACCACCTCACGTAAAGGAAATAACACCTGGCCTTATTAACGTCCATGCACGCTATTCGATTTAGCGATATCTCTCTATTACGCTGTTTATTGTTATTTTACGCGAGTTTATTTTTGCTCACAGGAAATTTTACTCGTTTGCACATCGTCATAAAAAACAATTTTCGTACCACGAATTAGGGATAAGATTTTTGTCTGTATACATATAGTATACCTAATCTGTGATCCAAGTGTCTATGTTTTGTTCGTATATTTTACGACAAGTTGTCGACGCAATGTGGATAGCGTGTGGTTCCAACAGTAGGAGACCAGTGAAATCACACATTGTTAATAAAACAGATTCGCAACAACTAAACTTTTGACTTTGTTGTACTTTTTTCTTCGCGGTGTGGACGATTTGTCTCAAGTTTGTCCTGTCAGAATTCCCCATTTTCTGTCGCAAGTTTGTCTTGTTTTTGTCTTAAAATCGTGTTCACTTTTTGTTGCCTTGGTCTGGACCCGGCATTATACTGAAATTTTTTTCAGTTTCTTTTATTGATTTTTGTTCTCAAAAAACTTACAATTCTTTAAAAGTATATCCACTGTCTCCACGCACTGATTCAACGCAGCCAAGTGTAGTGGAGTCTGTAACTTCCGGTTCATACAATTCGCCATTCCCCTAGCTTCGACCAACAGCTTGATGCAGCTGTTATAACCCTGCTCGGCGGCTAGATGTATCGGTGTCATTCTGTCGGGACCGCTTTGCACGTTGACAGCTGCTCCGTAGTTTATCAGCAGCTCTACGCTTTCGTGATTGCCCAAAGCAGCTGCTATATGAAGAGGGGTTTCACTATAAACCTAGAAAAATTGAAATGTAAATCTCCAAGGTTGACAGTTCGAGGGTCTGAATTTAGAGAAATTTTAATAAATAATCACTTGTTTGCAGAAGATATAGCAGTAAGTGCTTATTGTCTGCATGAGAATTATATTTAGTGAATATTTTCACGTTGTCACGTATACCTGTTTCTGAAGATTTTGTTTTCTCTACTATGTATAAAGAAGGAAAATTATGAAAATCCTAACTGTTTTTTGTGAAAAATAAAGTATTGTGGTCAATGGTTTGATAGCTTTTGGAGCTAAGACCACTTCTCTGCAGCTCAGTCCCTGACTCTTGCTTGGGAAAGGAAGAAATTATTTGTTTTGGAAATAACTAAAGTTATCAGGTTTGTCTGAGATGGGACCATGATATTAGGAAATTAGCAGGGATAACTTGGGCCCGCATGGCCGACAATAGACGACAATAGTCTCAACTACAAAGAGAGTATCTAAATGATGATGATGATGATATCAGAGTACATAGACCGACGAGTAGCGACTCTTCGATTTTCAATTTTCACTGCAGCTGCGCGAAATAGACTGTCCATCTGTCATATGAAGAAGCGAAGTTGCCACTGTTGCCATTTATCAAGTATCTCTATTAGTAGTGGGAACTATCGAATGAATACTATCGAAACATTCGATAGTTGCAATTCATTCGAATAATTCGATAGTTAGTAAGAAAACATTCGTTGAAAACTATTCGAATAAAAATTATCGAATAGATCCGTCATCTGCCTTGAAATATTGTATTCTAGTAATTCGGCAGCACAAACCATTCATTTATAAAATTCATTCATTTATAAAAACCATTCATTTATAAAATTCATTCATTTATAAAATTCATTCATTTATAAAATTCATTCATTTATGAAATTCATTTATTCGTCAGGATCGATTATAATAAAATATTAACTGAATTTTAGTTGTCGCCCGGCGACGTAGGTTTTTTTCCGAGAAAGCGGTCGGTGGCAATGCTATGAAAGAAGCCGGCATCTTTGATTTTTGCGGAGTCATATATAGATAAGGACACATTATTTTTTTATTGAGGTGCTAGTATTTACACAGAAAATACATTATGAAGGGCGCTGTTGCCATATTTTGTATTAGTTGATATTAGCAAAGAATATTATTGTTTGGCTTTAGTTAGTTAGGGATAGTATGTCTATATATTCTGCATTTTTTATTAATATTCTGTTGTTACACTGCAATAATACTTGTTATTTTGGATGTAGGAAAATTATTTTTAATGTTTTTAAGCAAAGACTGGTTTAATAAATAATAATAACAGTAATAATTTGTTATACCTATTAACAACAAAATTTAAAATCATTTAATATAAATATTTTTTTTAAGTAGTAGCAAAATATAAACAACAAATTAGATGTCAAAATTATTTATATTAGATCCTATTTAAAATAATATAGTCTCTAATTTTTTTTGGCAACGTTGGTTTATTAAATAATAATAATTACAGAACTAATTTGTTATATTAACAACAAATTTTAAAATCATGAAATATAAACACTTATTAATTTTCTAAGCATTCAGTGTAATGGAAGGAAAATATAAATAAAAAATTAGAAATCAAAATTATTTATATTAGGTGCTTTATATTACTATTTAAAAATTATATTTACTTTTACTGACATTTACTTTAAAAAATAAATGAAATATTTTTTCTTCGCAAAAAACTACATGTAAGAGAATTAGCATAAACAAAATATAAACATCGTTAACTTTTTTTTTTTGAATTGGCACGTGTAAAACTTTCATTTTAATTTTTTCACCCCATAGTTTGAGTTCGATAACCATTTACTTAAATATGATTATACAACCACATTACTTAAATATGATTATTAAATTCAACTAATTCATATTATTAAAACATCTAAAATACAAATATGTATTTTTAAAATTAATTGTAAGTCATCTCATCTCTCTTAAAAATTGCTACTTCTCAAAATTTCCCATTAAAAAATAGACCATATACCATATAAAATTAAATAATTGAAAGATCGGACTACGGAAAACCACACAAATTATCGAAAAAATTTTGACCACCTGCACATGCACACAATCGTCAATAAATAAAATTAAAAAATAACTACTATTTTAGTATTTTAACTATTTTAATAAACGCAAAAATAGCACAGTATTTATACGGCGAAGTTATAAAAATTTGGAAGAACCAATAATGCACTGACGCATACAAAAATCAAACGAATACTAAATTTCATTTATCAAAAGCATTCGATAGTCGTGGCTCAACGATAACCATTTAGTCGCACGGCGAGGTTGTCACATATGCTTTAGTTTACAAATGAATGAATGATTTTATTCGAATAAAACCATTCGATAGTTGAAATCATTCATTCATTAACCATTCGATAGTCTAATTCATTCGATAGTTCCCATCGCTAATCTCTATACAGAGAAGACCAGGCTACTAGTAACATAGCAAGTTGCCGGACGAATTTACGTTTACCCGATTTGTACTCGAGATTCACTGCCGGCTAGTCGGCTGGTCAGGCAGTACGCAGTTGCAGTTGTGCTTGGACGGGTCGGTCGTGACGGACTAGGAATACGACGCGAGGAGTGCCGAGTATTTATTATTTTCATTTTAAGTGTTTACCTTCACTTAAGATAATATTTAGAATAAAAATACATAAATATTTATTATTTGAGTGTGTTTACAAGGTGTAAGACAGAGCTGTGTGCTGTCACCGCTCTTACTTAATATATATTCAGAGGCTATCTTCAAAGAAGCTCTAGAAGGAATCGAATGTGGAATTAAGATTAACGGGAAAGTGATCAATAATATCAGGTATGCCGACGATACAGTTGTGCTGGCCGAGAATGAACAAGATTTGCAGAGGCTAATGAATGAATTAGTTCGGCATAGTGAAAACTGCGGTCTCCTCATACATACCACAAAAACGAAGGTTCTTGCATTCACCAAAACACCTGTGCAGATTCACCTGGATATCAACGGTGACCCAGTAGAGCAAGTGTCTTCATACAAGTATTTGGGGTGTATTGTAAATGATCAATGCGACCCGAAGAAAGAAATTAGAAGCCGCATAGAACAGGCTAGAAAAACATTTATAAATATGAGACAATTTTTCACAAGGTCAGATTTGAGTTTGGAGCTACGGGTACGCATGGTCAGATGCTACATTTTTTCAGTTCTCCTGTACGGGTGTGAGAGTTGGACTCTTGACATATCGTTAAAACTAGATGCCTTCGAAATGTCTAAAACTAGATGCCTTCGAAACGTCCAAAGAGTTTCAAATGTGGAGGTTCTTAATCGAATGAGAAAACAGAAAGAACTCATGCTTACCATCAAAGAAAGAAAAACACGCTACATAGGCCACAATAATTGAAGGCAAAGTCCAGGGCAAAAGATCTATTGGCAGACGCCAGAATTCCTGGCTAAAGGACATTCGTAAATGGTTTGGTTGCTCATCAATCGACATATTTCGTATGGCTGTATCTAGAATGACGTTGGTTATTTGGATCGCGAACCTTCGAAAGGAGACGGCGTCGTAAGAAGAAGACAAGCCAAAACTAAAAATAAATAAATTCTCTAAACCCCAAAAAAAACTAAAATATTACTCTAAATAAAAAAAGTTATAAGAAGTGTTCAAAAAGTCCATCTTCTTGTGCTAGACTAGGCGGTCGTAAAATCCCCGTCTGACATTGGCTAACACATTAGAGCTAATAGTTTGGAAAGCCCTCGTATTTTTACTTGAAGCTCATCCAGAAGCCAAAACTAAAAATAAATAAATTCTCTAAACCCCAAAAAAAAAACTAAAATATTACTCTAAATAAAAAAAGTTATAACAAGTGTTCAAAAAGACCATCTTCTTGTGCTAGACTAGGCGGTCGTAAAATCCCCGTCTGACATTGGTTAACACATTAGAGCTAATAGTTTGGAAAGCCCTCGTATTTTTACTTGAAGCTCATCCAGATTATTAGCCCTATTATGACCATACACTTTGGGTTTTACATATGTTTATAAGACCACTTCATAATTTGGCCAGTTATTTAGAGTGTCTATCTGTCAAACACGTCAAAAGAGAGAGAGAAGGAAGCGACAGTTTCTGTCGCTACTCGTCGGTCTACGTACTCTGATACTCTGATGATATACTCACCTGTGGCGTATTTGGTATAGCCTTGTTCTCCAACAGTTCCTTCACGCAGTCCACCGCCATATTTTGTACTGCGTAGTGCAAAGGGCTTTTCTTCTCTATCCCCGCGTTGACGTTTGCGCCGTGTTTGATGAGCAGCTTCACGCAGCTCAAGTGACCCATCGCAGCTGCGCAGTGCAGGGGAGTGAGTGAGCCTTCTTCGGTTTTTTCACCGATTTCTGCGCCGTTTTGTAGTAAGAACAGAGCGCATTCAGCATGGCCAGCGTACGAGGCAAAATGTAGAGCTGTACTGTGAAAACAAAGAGCAGATATTACCTTCCAAATAGTAGATACCGAGATATGAATTTTTTCTTTCGAATAATAAGGAAAAAATAGAAAACTGAAAGGCAGAGGACGTTCCTATTAAAATTAAGAGCTCATACTTGGAGATAATTTTTTTGAGTCTATATTCGGAGTATAAGGTGGAAAAAATAGTCGATTTTTTTGACCCACCCTAATGAACATAGAACCTTTTTTGGGACATGCAGCATGGCTCATTGAATTCGTTTATGGAAAATAAGAAGGATAATCTTTTTGGAGAATTCATCACTCAGACTTTTTGGCAATATCACGCTTCAATTTTTATTACCTACCGATTTAGTTTATCTTTCACATTAACTGACACGCCTTTACTGAAAAGAGCATGCATTATATCCAACTTTCCAGCCCATGCTGCCAACAAAAATGCAATATCTTTATTTTTTAATAAAGTATTTTCTAAGTCATCTGAAAGTATTAGTTCTTTTAAACCTTCTGTATTGGGATACGCCTAAAAATTAAAAAAAATGATTGATAGATGAAATGGAAGAAGTTGATGAAATCTCACCTGTAATTCCTTCCATACGTCATCTGGGTTCCATATTTCTTGGGCAGGGGTCACTCGAATCCTGGGTTCGTTTTCATATTGACTGGAAGCGCTGTCTTCGCTAGAAACATCCAGAGATGTGTCTTCTATGTTTATTTTGGCGTCTTTCCATCTCATTTGTTCGTCGTCCAGTGTGAATATTCTGGATGCTTTGTCCATAATCATTGCTAAAAAATATTGTTATATTAATCTCATCATCATCATGTTTTGCTTATTAACCCTGTCTCACAATGTACCGTTTGTGTCCAGGAAGGGTTCATAGTTTCATAGTTGTCGATTTTCGAAAGAAATCAGTACATGTATATTATTTCGTATATTTTTCATTTTATTGATTTTATAAAAGCACTGTTCATTAAAATGTTGTATCCTATGTTATAGGGCTTGTTTCTCTCTACAATTTCCTGTCTCACAATGTACCGTTTGTGTCCAGGAAGGGTTCATAGTTTCATAGTTGTCGATTTTCGAAAGAAATCAGTACATATATATTATTTCGTATATTTTTCATTTTATTGATTTTATGGAAAGCACTGTTCATTAAAATGTATCCTATGTTATAGGGCTTGTTTCTCTCTACAATTTCCTGTCTCACAATGTACCGTTTGTGTCCAGGAAGGGTTCATAGTTTCATAGATGTCGATTTTAGAAAGAAATCAGTGCTTGTATATTATTTCCTATATTTTTCATTTTATTGATTTTATGGAAAGCACTGTTCATTAAAATGTTATATCCTATGTTATAGGGCTTGTTTCTCTCTACAATTTCCTGTCTCACAATGTACCGTTTGTGTCCAGGAAGGGTTCATAGTTTCATAGATGTCGATTTTAGAAAGAAATCAGTGCTTGTATATTATTTCCTATATTTTTCATTTTATTGATTTTATGGAAAGCACTGTTCATTAAAATGTTGTATCTTATGTTATAGGGCTTGTTTCTCTCTACAATTTCCTGTCTCACAATATACCGTTTGTGTCCAGGAAGGGTTTATAGTTTCATAGTTGTCGATTTTCAAAAGGAATCAGTACCTGTCTACCAATCTTTTTTTCAGAGTATAAAGTGAAAAAAAAATAGTCGATTTTTGTTGACCCTCCCTACTATGTCCCTATTCATGACCTTAGACTATTAAGAATAAAAATATTTCGTCATTTGTAAAATCCAGAAACGTCACAAATATTTCACAGTAGTTTTTCTTTTTGTTCATCTCATTTTCATAAATATTTACTGTTATTCTCGCTCTGGAAAATTCAAAATTTTCAATTAAAAAAACTCTTAAGTATCGACAGGATATGTTTCACAAACTGATTACATTAATGCATACATGATAAACATCAAAACATGTTCGTCGAAATATCGATTTTGAACAAATTTCTAAATATATTTGAGCTCAATTTTAGGTCTACTTTTAGATTATTAAATAAACAAATAGATTTTTTAGACGCCGTATAGTAGTCCAGAAAACTTGACCCATTATTTCTCGATTTTTTTATTCAATTCAGCATTGAAATTTAGTATCAATTCATTTATACAGTGCCCCCCAAATTTAATACCTCTTTTTGAGAGAAAAAAACTTAATTTAAATTTGATCATTCTTACATAAACTTTATTTGTTCCAAAAAGATCATCATAGATTTTAAATTTATACAAGAAAACGTATAAAGCTCCCTCTACACATAAAGACTTACCGGTCAGTCTTAACTGTTCAATCAAAACTATCGAGGAAAAGGACCTTGTGTGTAAACCCATGACTAAAGAATACAAGACACTTAACTCCCATATACGGGCTAAAGCAGAATTTGTGTTGTTAGACGCCATTTTTTTGGAGGAACGGATGTGTCACCAGCGACAATTCTATTTTTAATAGTTTGTAATGTGTATTGAACTATGTATAAACTTTATTACAATGGTGATTTATTCAGCTTTCAAGTGTAAATGTTGATACGATAAGAAAGAGCCAGGAGTTACGTTTCATTGGTAATTAAAAAGTCCACCTCGCCTTTTTAGCGTTTTCTTATTGAATTTGAAAATTATTTTTTCTGATATATGATTACTGAATGCTTCCGAGGTTTTGGTGAGTTTTAGTGTCGTCTCCACATAAATCAGCAACCCAAAAAGGCGTAGCCAAAACGTTTATCAAAAATATTATTCAAAAAAAATCATAAAAACCTTTTCAAGCAGCTGAGTTAAGAAAAATACCTGGGACGGCACTGTTTGGAGGTAAAAAATGACATAGATACGATACAAGTATCACGTCGTTTTGCCTGCACTGAAAAAATATTAGTGAATTTACCAAAAATAATACGGATATATGGTAATCTCAAATCAATTTCCGATGCACGTCATCAACTTTGAGTGACAAGCGATGGAGACAGCGCTGCTAGATTGTGATGGATTATGAGATGAATCTTAATTTAGTTTTGACAAACAACATATTTATTATATCATTTTTTACAGAGTTTTACGTTTTATTTTTAATATAATAACTAATATTTTAGTGAGATTAATAGATTTATTTGTTTTATAGCTTATTTTACTTATTACATATTGGCAAAAACTAGTCCATTATGAAGATTATTATAAGCGTTATTATGGGTTATTTATTTATTGATGTAAATAACAAGTTCTTACAACGCCATAAATGATAATAAGTAAGAGGGTGCTATTAATGCACAAACTAATAATCACAGAATTTCATAAAAACTAACTTTGAAAGTGGTATAATGTTCTTATCAATCAAACTTACTTTTCTGACTGCAGTCAAGGGTAATAAAGGATCTTTATTGTCACGTTCTTGTTCAAAATAGTTTTTAAAAAAACAGGGAAGCTACAAGCTCTTTGCTTCGACTGTTCAATGCTTCGGCATATTTTTAACACACAAATTTCAAGAAATGCAATACAAAAACTCAAAATTTAAAAATTAAAGTGCAATTATTAAAAAAAGAATATGAAAATAGGCAAAAAAACGAGAATTGCTCACAAAGATTCAACAACAACAGGATATACAAAATAATGACTGACACTATGATATGATTGATGATCTTAGTGATGTGCATCGGGAAATGTTTTGGGATTATATTACAGTATTTTTAATAAGCGCCTTTTAAAAATCTAATATTTAGCATTGTTTCTCAAAATAGTGTAATTTTCAAAATTGTTTAAATTTATTTAATTATTATTACCAATACTACTTTCACAAGTTGTTTTGTGTGTCGGGAATGAAATTTAAACCATAAATATACAATTTTATAGTAAAATTTGATGTTTTTTTCTTTTCAACTTTATTAAACACAACCGCTATAATTGATAAAACCACAGGCAAAAGTTTCCGTGTGTACGTTTGTTTTTCATCCGTCTTGCCTGACAGGCAAAAACGCTACGTGTAGGGGGGGCTTTAGGATCTAAAATTAGTCGATTTTCAATGGAAAGTGAAGCATTTTGTAAAAAATACCTGTTTGTCTTGCAGTTTTTTAATCCTATTTGTTGTATTCTATTGGAATCACATCACAAAAGAAAACTTATCAATATTAAACCAATTTCACACTTCTATTACACTTTTTCAATTGTTTGATAAAACTTTTTTATGAAAAAAATAAATGCCGCGCTTTATTATGTGTGTTTTGCGTAGAGCTGTTGCGTTCGTTGGAAGCTTTAACCGGACTGAACATTTTTCAAATAATTACTCAAGAATCCCTTGCCGTCTTTTTTCATCTAATTATAGCTTTTTATAAACTTTTAAATTTCCCAGTAATAATAAGTCAAATAACTGGTGCTCTCTGCGGATTTCTAATAATTTATATATTCCGGATAAGTAATTGTGAGCAAATAAACAAAAGAAATATTTTGGCTGTATGAAAATACACAATTTTGATGTAACGATTTGTTTGAATATATTTTTTTCATATTGATTTTTGATTATTTTTTTATTACTGATTTGGGAAATTTGTATTCTCACGGTTTCTTAGATACCAATAGAAACAACCAAAATGGTCCATTCTGTACAGGGTGGGTCAAATTCGACGCTTTTAAATGGAAACACCCTTTTCTTTAGGAGATAGACGAAAACTAATATCGGTGTCTGGAGCTCAATTTTCATCAAAAATATGATGGTGAAAACCGCACATCAATATTTGTTACCGTTTCGAAGTTACGGGGTGTTTTTCAAAAATGTGCATTTTTAACAAATCGCTGTAACTTTTTTGCTATGAAATTTTTTTATTTCTATAAAAACATTTCCAAAGCACCTTTTTACATAGAATTTAATGGTTTAAGTATAATTTTTTTAAAATTAATAATTTAGGAGTTATCAACAGAAAATTTGATTTTTTATTTGGGACACCCTCTATATTTTTAATTAACTGAAAAAAATTTAAAATTACCTTTCCAAAAATATAGCACACTTGATATTTTGTTATAATCCCCTTCGAAATACAGAATTTTTAAAAGTTTGCCACTTTTAATTAGTAGGCTTTGGACCCCTTATTGATGATATGCCCTTATTGGAACTCGAAAACATATTTTTCCAGGAAGACGACGCACCGCCTCTGAGCCCTGAAGTTATCAGCAAATTTTTGCAGCTAATTTCAAAAATAATTGAATAATTAACCAAGATCCCAGCCGTTTGCCGTCGAGGCCACCTGACTTAGTGCCCATGGATCTAATCCTATGGATATATTTGCAAAATGGTTCCTTATTCTTCCTTATAATCTAGACAAGAATTAGAAATACTTCGCAGTTATGAGGGGGTATTCACCCCCACTTCACTCATTCTTTCACCCCTACTGAGTTAATAAATTCCGCGAGAAATTTTCAAAAACTGCGCCGTATGTCCATAACAGAAGACGGTCGATATGTTGAACACCTGTAGCAAAATCTCATGTCTTGGTTTGCTATTTATTTTTATTGTTATTAGATAGTTTAAATGTGTTGATGTTGGTTAAATATATTTTAAATTGTTATAAAATTCTGCATCTCTCATAGCAAATATTATTTTCGTTTTAATTGATGCTCACAGCTAGACTTTTTTTGCATTACAGCCTGTGCCGTTCAAAGCCTACTTATTTAAAGCGGGCGAATTTTTATATACTCTATATCTCGAAGAGGAATCGAGCAAAACATCAAGTGTGTTATATTTTTGGAAAGCTAATTTTAAATTATTTTCAATAAATTAAAAATATACAGGGTGTCCCATATGAAAAATCAAATTTTCTGTTGATAATTCTTAAATTATTAATTTTAAAAAAATTATACTTAAACCATTAAATTCTACGTAAAAAGATGCTTTGGAAATGTTTTCATAAAAATACAAAATTTTCCATAGCAAAAATGTTACAGCGATTTGTTAAAAATGCATATTTTTGAAAAACACCCCGTAACTCCGAAACGGTACCAGATATCGATATGCGGTTTTCACCATCATGTTTTTGACAAAAATTGAGCTCCAGACACCGATATTAGTTTTTGTCTATCTCCTATAGAAAAGGTTTCCATTTAAAAGCGTCGAATTTGACCCACCCTGTACAATAGTTACTATATCTGTACTATTTTAAAATGTGTTAATTACAATCCATTTTAGAAATAAAACCAAAATTTTATTTTTAGAAATTAAAAACAATTCGATTAGTACATTGTGAAGCTTTATTTGTTTTGTCACTTCCGATCAAATTTTATTTTCCGATCAAATTCTGCATCTCTCATAGCAAATATTATTTTCGTTTTAATTGATGCTCACAGCTTGGATTTTTTTTGCATTACAGCCGGTGCCGTTCAAAGCCTACTTATTTAAAGCGGGCGAACTTTTATATACTCCATATCTCGAAGAGGAATCGAGCAAAATATTAAGTGTATTATATTTTTGGAAAGGTAATTTTAAATTCTTTTCAATAAATTAAAAATATACAGGGTGTCCCATATAAAAAAACAAATCTTAAATTATTAATTTTAAAAAAATTATACTTAAACCATTAAATTCTACGTAAAAAGGTGCTTTGGAAATGTTTTCATAAAAATACAAAATTTTCCATAGCAAAAAAGTTACAGCGATTTGTTAAAAATGTATATTTTTGAAAAACACCCCGTAGCTCCGAAACGGTAACAGATATCGATATGCGGTTTTCACCATCATGTTTTTGACAAAAATTGAGCTCCAGACACCGATATTAGTTTTTGTCTATCTCCTATAGAAAAGGGTGTTTTCATTTAAAAGCGTCGAATTTGACCCACCCTGTACAGTGTTTTGTCTATTAATATTATTTGTCTGAATCTTTGAATAAAGTCTGAATATATGGTACTAACTGGGTATTATCACTGTAATTTCTATTTTAGTTGGGATGTGATGGTGTTAATTCATCAGTACGGAAGTCAATGCAAGCAGATTATGTTTCGTGGAGCTATAATCAAATGGGTGTAGTAGCAACTCTTAAACTAAAGGAGGTACTGTTTTGATTTTCTTTCAAATCTTTTATTTCTTTAACTCGTATATTTTAGTGCATGAAAAACGAAATCGCCTGGCAAAGGTTTCTGCCAAATGGACCAGTGGCATTACTTCCAGTAAGTAGTTTATACAGGGTCGCTGATATGCCAACGGTCGATTGTTAGGTATAATCCTTGTTTATATATTAATAGTTAGTCAATGAGCCTGTATAAGTCGATGCTGCCAACTGGTGGCAGAAATTAAAACGTAAAAAGGGGCGGAGACTATTGAATTTGGCAAAGAAGTAGGGACTAGGAATTCTTCGAATTTAATTCTCGGTAAAGAATAAAAATATCTTATCTGATTCGAACCGAATTTATACCTCAAAGCGTTATTTACATTTTTTATTTTTGGACATGGATTTATATTTATTTTGATTTTCATAGCCACTTGTTGGATACTAAAGTATTATATTAGGTATATAAATATTTTATTTTTAGATGGATAATTAAAGAATATAATATGAAACTATACCTACCTACGTCTGTAACTTTGTAAAAAGTGTGGCGGATTTAACATAATGTTTTTTTTAAATGTAACATCCTATTTTATTTTAGATTCTGCGTAAAATTCTATTACTTTTTTTACGTATATTTCTTGTATAATGGTGTAACCTAAAACTAGTTTTATAATATTTCAATTTGTTGATGAAGAAAAAATATTAGATATTTATATGTAGATATTTAAGGTAGAGCTACAGGGTGTTCAATATATATTTTTGAAATTCGACTACGTATTTAAAATAGAAAAATATCTGCAGATTCTTTCAATGACGCAGCCTATACTGAGTGTTTTTTCAAAAGCGGTTCACCTCTATAACTTTTTTATTTTTTCAGATAAAAAAATTAAATTCGGGGTTTACCAATTCGGAATGTTAGTAGGTATATGACATAAATCGAGATTGATTCGTATTCCGTTAGTTTCGGTCACTTCCTGTTTCACCGGAAATGTATACGAGTACAACATTTGATTTTTAAATGGTACCCTCGGTATTTTTATACTTTATTTGATAGAAAATGACATTCTGAATAGAATGACATATATCATATGTCAACTTTTGACATTTTCAATTAAAAAAAATAGCATTTTAAAATTCAATCTAGTGTCATGGCTGTGTTAAAACCATTAATTTTTAATCAAGGAGCTTCGGAAAAATTGATTTGATCGTCTAATATTTTTTGTCTTTTCCTTTTTGGTACCTGGTAAATAGGTAATTTGGTACCACACACTTCGTATATCGAGTCAAACTGTCGTTACCTTTACAACCGGTTACATGTTGTTTTTTATCATGGCACTCTAGATTGTAATTTAAAATACAATTTTTTTGAGTAAATATGTCAAAAGTTGACATTAAATCATTCTATTCACAATGCCATATTCTGTCAAATAAAGTAAAAAAATACCGACGGTACCATTTAAAAACCAAGTTGTAGTCATTTCAGGTGAAACAAGAAATAACCGAAACTAATTGAATACGTCAATCAAGCCACGTTTGAAAAACACCCGGTATATTATAATTTCTTCTGATAGATTTTACAAAATTCTTCAATTTCTATTAATAATGTCATATAACTATATAAATTACTTTAATGCTTAATAATAAATAATTTTTGTTTTGTCATGGCAAAACTTGTTATAGTGTAAATGAAGTAAAAGAAGGATAAAAGTTGAAAAATTCAGAACAGATTGCAAGCTGTATAGAGTATAGATGTACTTAATATACTTTCTTAACAAATGTTGAAAGGTTTTGTAAAAGCACTAGAAAAAATAATAATATATAGGATCAGCCAAAAAAATCTGTTTGAACACAGTGTAGCATCTAACTCCAAGTATTTTTACATATATCTTTTTTCTTCACCTCTGTAAAACACTCCTACCAAATTTGGGTAGCCCAACTTCGGGAAACAACTGACAATTATGTAACATAGGAATAATTTTTTTTGCAAATACTAACGTTATTTATAAAAAAAAGAAAAGTTATAGAATTTTAGGCAGAATCGAAAATAAAATAAAAGTTAAAAATAAGAGTTTTGCATTAAAAAACATGTTACATTATATCCGCCACATTTTTTTTAAAGCACCCATTATACTCAAAAATAATATTTGAACTGTGTCTCTTAAGATTCTCTATACCCTTTTTTTTGAATTCCCATAACAAACGAGATAATTAACTTTATTTATTTCCTGATATCTCATTTTATAATATTTCGGAAGAATCAATCATGTATCTTATTTTTATAATTATTAGAAATAAATCGGATTTAAAGGATAAGGGATATATGTAAGTGTATACCATACGACAAAAAAAACGGCGTCAGAGGTGGCTTGGAAATGAATATCGATATCATATATTTGTACGTAAACAAATAGACGCCGTTTTTTTTCGCTCATACCGTATAAGAAAACAAATTTAATAAAACAAACGCATTTATTAATATATGTATATAGATTTACATAGTATGAAAAATTCGCATTATAATCTCTTAAGGTCCTACCATGGTCCCACCAATGGTTGGTTAAAGTGGCGAGTACGACCACTTAGCAGTCACACCTATAATAATTTAATAAAATATGAATATAATAAACAAACTTATTTCTTTTAGATTTTTTAAAAGCGAGTTATATGTGTTTTTGATTATTTTAGACTAAATTCTTTAGACATATGATTATTTTAGACCAAATTGTCTGCCCACTCAAACGTCTTTCAAAATTATAATGTAGGAAATTCTTAATATGTTTTAATTGGGAATACTTTTAGAAAGTTTCATTTTCACCAAACAAAACTACGTATGTATAATAAATTGCAGTATAATCAACTATAATGCATGATATATACTGGTGGCGTCAAAACTAGATGTTGGGTTTTTCTGGATTATTTCAAAGAGAACTCCACATTTTATGACATAAACGTAGTTTTTTCCAACTTTGTTTTGAAAAATAATTTTTAAATCCAAATAATCGATATTTATACAGTAATGTCCTCTTTTGGAATACATAATTATTTTCAGCTGCAGCGATAAAATAAATAATATTTACTGATACGCTAAGTAAAAAAATAATTAGGAAATTATTTTAGACATCTAATTCTTAATTTTTGTCGCTGATAAATATGTAGATGCATCACTTTTAACGACAAACCTACTAATAAAAATTGCGAAAAACAAATCATGTTTATTCTCAAAGAGACAATTATTGAGAACAATCCAATAACTATTAATCTGGGATATAGATCTTAACAAAACAAAAGTTGGATAAAAGATTTGTTGATTTATGATATAAAATACAGTGTTCCATTTGAAATAGCAAAGAAAAATATAATATATAGTTTTGACTCATCCTGTATATAATACAAAAAAATAAATATAAATAATTTAGGAATTTAGCATATTTTTATATAATTATATGAAGAGAACATTACCTTAAATTAGTTCCAGTAAAAAACTTCCATATTACTTATTTTTAACTTAGAAAGGGCTTTAAATATATATTTTATTATATAAACAAAAAAATTTAATCCAAAAATGGTCAAAATGAACTCTATACGATTACGACATTATAGTATTTTCTGGAATGACAATTTTTTGACAAATTCACCAAGAAAAAATAAAAAATATAGCTTTTCTTTTGACAAACTATACAACTCTAAAGTAAATATGTATTTAAATCTACGAATCATCCTGTATATCTATAAAAATACCTCCCTGTCAAATTTACGCTACTTTTGCATGCAAGCATACCTATTTTACAAAAATATGATTTGAGTGAAAATATAAAATAGGAAATCTGATATGAAGCTTTATCTAAACACAGGGTTGAGTGTAGATAAACAATATTTTACGTTATTAATTAAGAAAAATTATAAAATACACAATATATCTGACAGTTCCAAAAAAGCAAAGTAAGAAATGAAACATAATTTATAGCATAAAATCAGTATTTTTTAAATTTTTAAGTCAACTGGCCATTATCGTTTAATCTATCTATCAATCTATCAAATTTAATGTTTATTATTAAACTTATCTCAGACTCTCTATGAGTAAAACTCTAAGATAAAAACTCTAAAAACCAAGAGTGATTTAAAACAAATTTATATGAATTTAGAAATAAATATGAACAGTATTTACTCACCTGTAATACAGATGCTTTTTGTTTAATTAAATATGTTTCAAAATATTATCCAACAGGTACAAAATACACATTACACATCACGTAAACACAACACATAAAACTCATAAAATAATAGTTTGTAATCCAAATATTCAAAAATACTGTTTCGTTTCTTCGCGAGGGACGAAAAAATTGATTTTTTAATTATTTAGATATGCATTAAGGTATATTTCAACTCAAAAGACTATAAATAATTATTTTTTAAGACATAACCTAAACGAAACGAAATCAGAAGTCGAGAAAGATAAACAAAACTGCCGAATTTAGAAACGAATATGACTTTTTTTTCCTTTTTTCTTGTCACAGTTGAAACAAACAAGGATAAAGCTATTTTCGTAAAACATGCGTGAAACGTGCTAATAAGTAGCCCAATAGATGTGACCTCGCGCCCTTCCATTTTTGAACGATGGGCGGGTTTAACGGATTCCCCTCAAAGAAAATCGTAGGGGAATACAAAAATTCAGAACGGGCAAGGCGCCACCTAGAAGACGGGCTTGTACTAAGCCCTCATTGTACATCTATTTATACATAATCAAGGGTATAATCCTTGTTTATATATTCTTAAAGTTGTTCAACCGACTAGACAAATTGTGCTGCCAACTGGAGGACAAATCGTGAACCTTTCGGGGCGGAGTCAAAAATATCGATTATTTTCGTTATTTTCCTCAGAGTAATGTAATAATATAGCCCCGGGTTTCTGCGAACTTTAATAGTGATCAGCTGATTAAGAAATTTAAACGAAACTTTAATTTTATTGTAAATTGTGGATTATTTTTGCCTGTTATTTTAAGAATTCTAAACCGTATTAACAAAGAAATTATTATTTGGATATGTTGGTACATTATTTATAATTTATGATAATGCTAATTGCTGTTAATTAATATTTTAAAAAAAAGTTATATACCTATTTTAATTTGATTTAATGCAGGTTTATAAAAGAATCATTTTCATTCTTAGATTATTTTATTCTAAATTGAGTGCTTTACCAATTTTACATTTTTTTTTGAAAACATAAAACTTTTTACTTTTTGATGACAACTAATTGGCGTGGTATTATTGGTATGGGAATTAGCCAAGAAAGAAAAGAATTGGCTATAACTTGTAATTTTTCGAAAAAAACATATTATACCTATATCGCTGAAAAGCTCAAAGAATGGGGCTCTTTATGAAGTCATGTCCAACTAGGGTTTCCATTTAAAAAAAACATAATGGTTGTGTCATATGTCAAAAATGACAGGCTTTAGAAAAAAAAACAGAAAACACAAACTCATTAGGTATGTGATTATCTACAACTTTTATCTGAAAACTTTTTGTCTAAAATACCGTATGATCGAATAAAAACGGCGTCAGCGATGGCTATGAAATGACGATCGATGATATTTTCCATATAATTTTACATATAAAATGACAACGATCTTCATTTCATAGCTATCGTTGACGCCGTTTTTATTCGATCATACGGTAAATTATAATGGAATTAGAGACAAGTTTTAAAATAGCCAAAATTTGTTTTTTTTCGTAATATCTAGTAAGCCTTGAACTTCACCGAAAAATCCGAAAGGCGCATATTTAAGACCCCACAAAACTGCAGTTCTTTCCCCATTTAACCGACTCTCTGTCTCCAGTAGTTTCCGAGATACCCATAGCGAACATCGTAGGAAACTCACCCTGTATAGTATTTAGAAACTAACTATTATTATTATTTGACTAGATTTATTTGATTAATAAGACTCGATTAATTTATTTTAAAATAAATTTGATCAGATTTTTTTTCGTATATGCTACTACCAGAAAACCAAAATTATATGATAAGCACTTTTCAACGAAGTTGAAAGAAGATATAGTGTATCTATCACAATACTTAATAGAATTACTACAATTAGAAGAAAAACAAAAAGAAAAAATACCCATATACCTTCACCACTCATCTACAAAATAAACGAATATAATCTCTTATAAAAACACTACACAACTACTTCTTGTACTTTACACTGAAAAAATGATCAAACTTACTAATTAACCAAACAAAAAGAAAAAATAACTAAATTATCCCTTCAATTCCATCCTACTACTTAACTACAAAATAATAAACTATAAAAACACTACTAAACTAATTCTGGTATTCTATACTAAACATTATAATAAAACTTAATAAAATTAATCTAATTTTACACTACAACCACAACAGCTACAAAGAAATAAAAACATTTTTTAAAACTAGAAGAAACAGAACTTCTATACGTGCGACCAGTATAATAGATCAAGCTGACAAAGAATATAAAATACTTTAAAAATGTGCATTCAGAAAGAAAAAATATCTCGAAAACTATCTAAACAAACAAGTTTTTTTCTTATCTGTGAAAAGCATCGGCCTCGTCGGCCTTGCGGAATTTGTCGGGTATTTACAATGGTCGAATTGAATAATTACCAGCTTTTATAGCATATCTAATAGACAAAAAGTATCTGGTCGATTAGTAACCAATTGGCACAGTCCGAAAATTATCGATTTTTATTTTCTCTGTTTTTATTGGTCGCTTCAAAATTCAGAGTAACAAAAAAGATTTTTCTGTACTAAAAGACTGTGAAATACGCCCCGCCATCTGGTGCTTTACATCCATAAACGTCTTAGGTTGAGCTACTTTAAAAATTCATATACAAGGGTATAATATAAGAGGTACCGCAAAAAGTTAAATATAAAAGTTATAAATCGAATTATTGTCTAAGTGATTTTTTCAAAAGTCAATAACTCGGAAACGGTTGGTTTGAGGTACAGCTGGTTCCAATAAAATTGAATACGATTTAAAACACATTTTTAATATTTCGGGCAGTATATTCTATGATACCAGTCCCCCATTTCTCTATTCATGTCATGCTGACGTTCTGAAAAATTTATTTGCCACTTTGTCAAAAGAAAAGTTGTTTTATACAATGTCACAATAACCTTAACATATCAAAATACTTGACACATGCCCAAATATTTGAAAAAAATGTGTAAAGAGTCGTATTCATTTTTTTTTTGAAACCAGCTGTACATTGTGTGTATCTCGATTTTTGCTTAGAATTGAAGGAAGAACCGAAATATACAATAATATACAGGGAGCTCTATTTAAAAAAATGAAACTTTGATGTGCCACGACTTTATGAAAGACCCTGTATACTTAAATTTATTACCCGTTAATAGATATTTATAAACCCTATAACTTTTATATTTAACTTTTAGCGGTATCTCCTATATTTTACCTAATAATCGACCGGTCAGCGACCCTGTATAATAAATAAGATAATATTAATTTTTCAGAAAACTTGTATTTTAATTTACAAATTAATAAACAATTCTCCGCTTTATAAATTTACAAATTGAAGAATTAAGTTATAAGCAGTTGGCACTGTTAGAGCTTAGTTATATCCTTAAAAAATTAGATATACTTTAAATAAACAAACAAAAAAGATTATAAACTAGATATTATTAATAATGCTTTTTTTAATTTTTAAATATTTATGAAGTTGACAGATGAACTGTCGTCTTTGGTTTGGTCTACATCACCGGAAGAAGCAAGGAGACTGTTGAGTGTGACAGAAGAAGAATTTGTAGAAGCATTAAATAAAGCTATTGTAAGTTTTTTGTTTATAAATTTCCATTCAAGTACCTATATCTACCGTAATTAAATCTGTACTTGTAAGAAATATATACAGGGTGGTCCGAACTGTATTCTGGAAACTTCTGCAGATAAAAACAAGTAAAAAAGTTTGTATAAATGTATGCCCTAAAATGCTAAGTTTCGGAGATACTGGGTGTAGAAGTTTCATTTTTCTTTCGATTTTTTCTAAATAATTTCTGAAGTAACATCAATATTTGGATGAAAATTGGTGTCTGGAAGTTTTTTGACATGAGAAATTTGATTTTGATGTCAATATGACTCCTACTAGTAGAGGGCACCACCTACATGTGTTTTGACTATTTTGAAGCGTAATAACTTTTTGTCCGTACCTGTATAAAACTACCGAGTAAAAAAATATACATCTCTGTGACTTTTTACGTAAAAAATATCTCTTTGTAAAAATCGCTACGAGCAACCGTTCTCAAGATATTTAGAATAGAAATAGTCAATACATGTCATTATTGACGAAAAATAAACAGGTTGAGTAGATAGTTATTTCACTCAAATAATAAATTTGGGAAATGTTTATTTTTTTAATTAATCATAAATTTTTCTGCAAAAAATGACGATCAAACAGTTTCTGTTAAACTTTTAGCACAAAAACATTTCAAATTTATGATCTCAGTCTAATAACTATTTAGTCAACATCATGTTTAATTTATGTCAATAATGACAGGTATTGATAATTTAGATTCCAAATATCTCTAAAACCATTACTCGTAACGATTTTTACCAAGAGACTTTTTTTACGTAAAAACAGTCGTAAATGTATATTTTTTACTCAGTAGTTTTATACAGGTACGGACGAAAAGTTATTATTCTTCAAACCCTTTGAATAAGGAAGGAGCATATCAAAAATCTTAGGTACACCGCGATGGGCCTCAAATATGGCCGACTTAAATTCCGGTTTATCAGTGTCGTTCTAATTTTATTTAAAAAATGTAAAACTATGATGTAAAGTAGACGTGGGGTAGACTCAATAATTTGTTGTTTTATTTTACGTTGTGAATAAATGTTGGTAGTTATTAAAATTGTTATAAAAATATATAATTCTAATAAAAATAGATAAGTTATAATAAGTATTTATTAACACAAACATCCGATACGCTACTGAAGCAGGTAAGTCAAATTAACGTATCTAAGTTCTTTGACATCTAATCTTTGACAAGTAATAAATAAAAGCTAAAATGCAAGGAAAATATATAATTTAGTTGATTTAAGTGAATTTCATAAATGATCGGTTTACTACACGTATGTATATTATATAGTCACTTACTAGCGAAAAGTTGTTCCATTATTTCACTCAATTTTTGCCGAGATCTACCGCACGCTACACAACCAACTATTTTAGAGTCTTTTTCGATAAATCGCGATAGTGTCACTGTTAATTTAACTTCTGCCACAATTTCCATCTAGATTTACTACCTTTATACAACTATCAGTAGTAGAATAAATAATAAATAACATAAAATCAGCTTCGTAAAGACTGACAAATCCACAAAATTTCAAATCAAATTCAAATGTGTCAAGAATCCCCACCCTAGAGAGCTTTTATGGTGCCTTTTCCGCCCACCATGCATGAATACATGGATAGCATTATGCTCCTTCCTTAGTCTTCTTATTCAAAGTTCAAACCAGTTAAAAAATATGTAGGTGGTGCCCTCTACTAGTAGGAGTAATATTGACAACAAAATTAAATTTCTCACATCAAAAAACTCCCAGACACCAATTTTTATTCAAATATTGACGTTACTTCATAAATTATTTGAAAAAAATCTCCGAAACTAAGCATTTTAGGACATACATTTATACATAATTTTTTACTTATTTTTATCTGCGAATATGCTGCCGAAGCTTCCGAAATACAATTCGGACCACCCTGTATATTGAACTATTAAATTTAATAAAGAATAAGTAATGTCCAACATTTGTGACTCTACATTATGAGTTGGAAGTTTGGTTAGGAAATATAATCAGTCAATATTTCATGATTATTAAAATGACTTAATTTCTTCTAGTGGTCCAAATATTCTTCCTCTATAATAGTACAACAAGCCACCAGTATTTTTGACACATTTCTACGCGTCTTGAACTGTTCAAAGTCCGAAAAGAACAACGTTCCTCCCACGGTAAAATCCATAGAACCCAATAGTAGAGCAGCATTTCCCTTAGGATTCGGTCATTCCAGTCAGTATATAGGCAAAGGAGTCGCTCTAGTTGGGTAGAAACAAATATATTTCATTCTTTTTCTCAAAATAGACAGTTTTTTTTTATTTTTACAGAGATGCAGCTCATAGAGTGCACCCGTTGGCTGGCCAGGGAGTAAATCTAGGTTTTGGAGATGTAGCCTGTCTGAGTAATACTTTAGGAGAAGCTGTTTACGATGGTAGTACTATAAGTAAGTATTTTAAAGTCGATGTGGTGAGAGTATAATTATTTAAAACACCCGGTATATGATAAAATCTAAATAAACAAAATAGAAACTTTTTATTATAATTTTAGATTGAATTATTTTAATTATAATTACTCCTATATGAATTTATTTTAATATATTTGTTTTTATATAAAGGCCACCCTATATCTACCCTACAAGAGATTTCAAAAAATATTTTTTATAAATTTCGAAATCAATTAATATCGGATATTTAGAGCTATTTTTGTATCATCCGGTTTATTATAATTATTGTTTTCCTTGTTCATATGGTATGGATATATTTATTCTCGATTAATTTCAAAATATTGTTTCGGTAAAATTGCGAAGGCGCCGGGATTTATTACTTCCACGTTATTTTGTAAACATCAATAATTTGTCGAATGATCTACTATGTTTATATAATCTAATTATTCTAAAATTTACGGTTATTGACAACAAACACATAAATTAATCTTTAATTTTTGGACTCAAAGAAAAAATAAAATTAAATTAATTAACGGGTCCATAGGCGTACCATAATTATTTTACACTTCTTATAAATATACAGGGTTGTTCACCACATACGACACGGAGTATTGTGGCTAAACGATGATATTTTTACAAATTGTAAGTTTGGGGTTCGTTGAAGGACTATTAGAGCTATAATTTAAAAATATTTTTACAAGATACAGAGTGTATAAATAAAAAATATCAAAGTTGTATTTTTTTAAATGGAACACCCTGTATATTATTGCATTTTTAGTTTCTACGATTAAAATAAAGGTAAATTTGATTAAGGTTTATCACACTTAAACCTTACCGTCTTTAAAATATTTTCAATTTTGTGAAATTGCAGTAAAAATTTTAAAGCTTCATTTCTCCAAGGGTATCAATGTTTTTAATACTAAATATTTAATGAAGTTTATTTATTGATCAGTTATTGTGTTGCAATAATAAAAATAATACTACCTTATACAGAGTGTCTAAAAATTTATTTTAAATAATTATTAGCTTAAACGGCAATAACTTCTTTAATTTAAATGGAATGCCCTGTATATTTTAGGAGAATCAGATGCACAATTAAATTGTCTATCAAATTGTATTATACCATTTTTTACCTATCCCTTCAAGTTTTCGTATAAAATGCATTTTCTTATAATTTAGACCTCATTTATCAATATATCAATGGAATATTGACATTTTAGATTGTTTTTAAAGCAACAAATGTACAAAATGTACAGACTAGTAATATTATCGTTTTTAGCAAAACGATAATATTACTAGCCCATTTGTATGCAAAAAGAAAACTATTTAAATCTTTATAAAAGAGTATACCATTAATTAAATATAACACCATTATTTGCGCCCATATACTAATTAATTACATACTTAATTGTGTTCGTTATTAAATTATTATAAATAAATGTGGATTTGAGTCAGAAATCAATATAATAATAAGTTATCAAATTAAAGTCTCTGTAGTTATAAATAAGCATTTATTAAAAATGAAATATCATTTTTAAGGTGTTACTTTTTATCACACTGTCTAATGCCCATACAAAATTCAGTTTTTTAGTATTTCGAGCAATTATTATTAATCAACGCAAACAGTCAGTTAATGTAGTTTGAATACTGGAATCATATTAATTGATCCTTTTTAACAAATATTTAAACAGTGTTTTTTTTATTTTTAACGAAATAAACGAATTATATCGACAATATTAGTATCTGTACTCTTTAAAAATTTGGTACATCTTTAAAAATAATCTAAAATGTCAATAGTCCATGGGTATATTGATAAATAAATTCTAAATTACAAGAAAATGCATTTTCTACGGAAACTTAAAGAGACAGGTAAAAAATGGTATAATATAATTTGATAGACAATTAAATTGTGCATCTGATTCTCGTAAAATATAGAGGGTGTTCCATTTAAATTAAACATCTGATAATAATTGTGCATCTCTAATAATTATTTAAATAAATTTTTAGACACTCTGTATAAGGTAGTATTATTTTTATTATTGCAACACAATAACTGATCAGTAAATAAACTTCAGTAAATATTTAGTATTAAAAACTTTGATACCCTTGGAGAAATGAAGCCTTAAAATTTTTACTGCAATTTCACAAAATTGAAAATATTTCAAAAAGGATAAGGTTTAAGTATAATAAACCTTTAATCAAATTTACCTTTATTCTAATCGTAGAAACTAAAAATGTAATAATATACAGGGTGTTCCATTTAAAAAAATACAACTTTGATATTTTTTACTTATTTGGGACACTCTGTATCCTGTAAAATTATTTTTAAATTGTACCTCTAATAGTCCTTCATCGAACCCAAAACAATACTCCGTGTCGTATGTGGTGAACAACCCTGTATAATAACAATAATACTTTAAGCTATTATACAGGATGTTCGAAAAATACACGGCCAAACTTCAGGTGATCATTCCCTATCAATAAATATGGAAAAAGTCCTTATCAATATGGATTCTGAAATGCGCAAAATACCTTCTAGCCGACTTTCTTGTCAATGCTCGTTCTAGTAAAATAATTACATAGTTTAGGTCTAATTAATTTAAATTTATTAATTTCAGTGGCGTCCCTGGTAGACACCTTATCGAAAATAATTGAGAAAAATGTACGCCGCTGACTTTTCTTGCAATTTTTATATTTCTAAACATGTTTATTTTTTGTCAGCGATGACATGTATTGATAATTTCCATTCCAAATACCGTATAATCGAAAAAAAAAACGGCGTCCAGTTAACTGGGAGATTACGATCGATGACATTTCCCATATATATTTACATATAAAATGACAGCGATCTTGATTTCATAGCCATCGCTGACGCCGTTTTTTTTTACCATAAGGTATCTAGAGAACGATTACTCGTAGCGCTTGTTACCAAAATACGTTTTTTTTACGTAAAAAACAGCGGAATTTTTTTTTTCAGTCAGTAGTTTGATACAAGTACAGTCGAAAATATATAACTCTTCAAAACAGTGTCTGGGTGTTTATTGACACGAAAAATTTGATTTTGATGTCAATATGACTCCTACTTGTAGAGGGCGCCACTTTTAACTGGTTTGAAGAGTAATAACTTTTCGTCCGTACCCGTATAAAACTACTGAGTAGAAAAATATACATTTACGACGTTTTTTACATAAAAAGGGTCTCTTGGTAAAAATCGCTACGAGTAATGGTTCTCGAGATATTTGGAATCGAAATTATCATAATTGACATCGAAATTATCATAATTGACATAATTGGAATCGAAATTATCATAATTGACATAATTGAACAAATTAAACATGTTGACTAAATAGTTTATTTTTTGTCAATAATGTTTTGACTACTTCCATTTTAAATATCTTGAGAAGGGTTGCTCGTAGCGATTTTTACCAAGAGACATTTTTTACGTAAAAAATCACGGAAATGTATATTTTTTACTCAGTAGTTTTTTTTATACAGGTACGGACAAAAAGTTATTACTCTTCAAAAGAGTTAAAGCACATGTGGGTGGCGCTCTCTACAAAAAGGAATTACATTGACATCAAAATCAAATTTATCATTCAAAAAACTCCCATACACCAATTTTCATCCAAATACTGATGTTACTTCAGAAAATATTTGGAAAAAATCGAAATAAAAATGAAATTACTACACCCTGTATCTCCGAAATTAAGCATTTTAGGACATATATTTATACGAACTTTTTTACTTATTTTTATCTGCAGAATATGTATTTTCCTGTATTTTCTTATTTTTATCTGCAGAATACTGTATTTTCTTATTTCTCTATGATGTGATTTTTTTAATGGATGATTTAAGCAGCTGTTAAAGTTAAATCATTATTTAATTTTTAAAAAATGAGTTCAAACTTGAATGGCCCTTTATAGTATTTTTTATCTCCCTCATTAAATTTTATACCTTTCCTAGATGACCTGAGCTACCTGAGAAACTACGAAAAAGACAGACAAAGGCACAATATCGTTACCATGGCTGGAATCGAGGGTCTGCACAGGCTTTACAATACGGACCTGACCCCCATTGTCCTTCTGAGAAGTCTGGGCCTGCAGGCTACGCAAGCCCTGGAACCCCTCAAGGTAAAAAAGTCCGTTATATTTATTTTGTCCCTTTCTATTCATTAACTGTATTCCTTTTTGACTATAATAATTCTATGTTTATTTTATTTTTATTTCAGAGAGCTATTGTTTCCCAAGCTTCATGAAAACGGTATGATGCTTTTTTCTGTTGAATTGTATTTTGATATGTTGTAAGTTATATATCTATAAATAAAGGTATTTATCTTAACAAAGTATTAAATATTTAGGTGAATTTTTAACAGCAGAATGTTTATTAAAGATTACAATTTTAACTAACGTTGATCATTGATTTTATTGAAACCTTTTTTTTGTTAATTTACTTGTCAATATATTTATACAGGGTGTTTCAAAAAACATGTGCTATCTCTCGTGGGGAGATTCCTCAAGTAAAAATAAGATTTATTTTTCATATCAACATAGGTCCGATTCTGTTTTGTTTCGTAGCTACAGGGTGTTAAAGTCTTAATAATCTTTCGATTTATTATAATTTTTTTCCAAGTACATTTAGTGATTTGAATGAAATTTTGAGTGTAAAAGTTACTATAAGGGCTACATTTTTTAATGCTAAAAAAGTGTCGATAAATTCATCGGGGACGTACATATTATGGGTTATCACTGGAATATTTTTCAAAAAAAAACATGTGCGCCACTGACTTTTTTTCTTTTGGTATCAAAATTGTATAGGTAGGCCGTTTTAACGCCAGTTAAAAGTTATCTGTTGATATTTTGTCGAATTTGGCCTCCTTGATGAGATAAACGTATTATTAATCACAATAAGTATATGTTAATATGAAAAATAAATCTTATTTTTACGTGAGGAATCTCCCCACGAGAGATGGCACATGTTTTTTGAAACACCCTTATATTTAATTATATTTTTTACATTACCTATATTATATATTTTAATATCTAGTACAAATATTTTCTGTAAATTAAATGTATATAAATAAATTAGGAGGGTAAATAATATACCTATAAAAGATAAAAGTATTTTTTTTAAACCCTGTGCTTAATTTACACTCATTAATATTAAAGTAATAAATATATTTATGATTATAGAAAAAATATAACGTTGTACCTGAATTTACCATTGTTATGGTTTTCAGTTGATTATTACAGGTACCCCTATTAGGTATAATAATTTAATATGCACATAAAATGTGCATAAATTGTCCTTATTGGATTTTAAAAGTTTTTCAATAGGTATCTTTACAATAATACTTGCTTGAAAATGGTTTATAATTATTTATATGAATGGAAATTTTATATTAGTTCAATTTTATATAAAAGCTTTTGAAATTATTGAAAAGCCAATTATTTCCTCGAAAAATTTACTTTAAATATCGAATAAGAAAAAATATTTTTTTCTACCAGGTAACAGAGAGTGCAGATTACAGCTGTTTATCATTTGATATGCGTATTATTTGAGAGAAAAAAGATGCTGTACCGTTGGAATTCCCTATTGATCCAAGAGAAAGTCATTTATTGTACAGGGACTGTTCAATTTATGTACATACTTTTTTATTTATATAAACGTTTGTTGTACGTTTGTTTGAACTTGTCGAACTTCCTGATTTTGTTGGCAGCAGATTATGTTTTTATCAATATTTTGTATTTTTTAAGGATTATAAACATCATTAAACAAGTAAACAAACTGTTTGAGACGGCCGTTTACTTTAGATATTTTGAAAAAAATATGTTGAGTAAGAAATATTACTAGGATAAGAGTTTCTCAAAGTGAATTTATGAAACTCTTTTGGCGGTTTGCTGCTGTTAATTGTTTTTTGTAGCCGAAATTTCCAAGAGATATCCAAACTCATCACTCAAAATGGCGAATTTGATTTTTCTTTTGAATTATTTTAGCAAATAGCCAGCAAGTAATTTTTATGACAAGTTAACTAAGACTGTTGAAAAATATAAGTTAAAATATTTTCTAAAAGACTGCAAATGTTATTTTTGATTTAAAATTTAAAAAAAGGTTAAATTTATAGGTATCCATAGAACAATTACATAAAATGCATTTAGAATTTGCTGTAGAATCCAAAAAAAAAAACAAAATATATAAGGCGCTTTTATTTAAAATAGAAAATAGGCAAATTGACAGTCATTTTTGTTTAGACCGGAAGTGGAAAATATTTAAAAAAGCAACAATTCAAAAAAATCAGATCAATTTTTATTCCTAATAATTCAATAAACATTTTGTGCTTTTGTAAAATAATAATATTGTTATATAGCATAAAAGTACATAAAAACAACATTTTTAACTGGAATAATAAGGCATCAACTTGAAATTGAGTTAAAAAAACATAAAAGTTATTAATTAAAAAATCAAATAACCACATCATTCATATTATTAGTTGTTAGCAAGCAGTATTTTTACTATTATTTGTTAAGTTTGAAGTTGAGGTAGATAATCACAAAATTATATTAGTTTTACTTGAAATTGAAACATTTTACAGGATATGCACTACACCTAATCCTACACACATCTTAATACTAAAATATATTTAAATAACTATTTTTGATTTTGTGTGCATTTCATTAGAAACGTCTTTAGAAACAGTGAGCCAAGTTATTTTATTTAAAATTTTGGAATTTTAAATTTAAATACCAAGGTATATATTTTGCTACAAACTAGCAAATGGACCTACCTATTACAAATGTTAATTTTATATTATAAAATTAAAAAAAATTCTCCCAAACTAAATGAACAAGAATTATTATTTATATAGAAAAAACAGAGATTTATTTTAAGTGGACTATTCTATTATTTATAGGAAAACATATTTCACATCATTCTGCATCATTTGTCTTGGTTGATGAATGAAATAAATGTTTTGCATTATTTTATATCCTTCCCTGTATATCTGCGTCATGGCCTTCGCTTCTGACGCAAACGTTCCAGTGGGAATCGTCTGGAATAATTTTCTTTAATTCAAAGAAATTTATATATTTTACGAAATAATTTCTATTCATCCAGTAATACTCAAAATTCCAAGTACAGTAGATTAAAATTTTTAAGTATTATTCAATTTTAAGACGAACTAAACGTATTTAAATTCGGTACTACTTTGCGCGGGACGCGTAGGAATACGACTCTCGAGATGACCTCTGTATAAAAGCGGAGCGACGCCATTTTGCGCGTCAGTTCCGAACAGTCAGTTGCCGAAGTAGTTTGTGCCAGTTAAATTTTGTGCTCTAGTCCAACCATCTTCCATCATCATCCATCCTACAGCGTCGAGGACTTCCAGAACGGGTCAAAGCCAGTTCCAGTTCACCTAAAACTAAACCCAGGTGTGTTTTTGATATTAAAACCTCTCTCGATCTATCAATTTTTGACATTTGATTCAAAACGAAATTAAAAGTAAAACAAAGATGGGCGTCGCCCTCATTCAAAAAAGTTCCTGTAAAACGTCCGACTTGTCCAGTTGGATTTCCAAGATTAGAGTAAAGAAATTCGATTTCAAATGTCAAAAAAAGAGAAATCTTTTGGTGCAGGCCGTGTTAACGAACGCGCTGGCACGTGCAGAGAACGAGTTAAGACAGAAACAGCAAGAACGAAGACTGAGGTGGCATAATTTAATGTCGAAAAATGCCATAGATCCCGAACAATGCGGTAGTAAGGTTCCGTCCACTTGGGATATGCAGACGTACGAAGAAATCAATTCCGGTATAGACGCCTTCATGAACCAATTAAAAACCATCAAGGCCAATAGTAGTTGATGCGTATTTAAGCATGCGCATCTCTTTAGAATCAATATGATTTCCCTTTTCATTTATCTCATTGCAATTTGAACAAAGGCTGTTGTATTCTATAAGTTTAATTTTAACTGATCGTTATTAACTGACTGTGATATTACGTATATTTTTCTATTGCAGTGGGGAATGTATCGACTGTTGTGTGTTGGTCCTCCAAAGAGCAAGCGTGGGACACATTTGGTTTGTAAAAATTGTATCAATTTTTTTCTATCTTTTTTGTAGATAATTCCTCTTTTAGCAGTAAGTAATAACTATTGTTATAATTCGAAAAGACTAGTCTTGATTTTTATTTGAATAAATTTAAGAGAATTTATCAGTAATAAACGATTTTTTAATTTTGAAAACTAATCCCCATTTTTTTCCTTTTTGTTAGTGTCTTAAGACTAATTTATTTTAACTTTACATGTGAAGAGAAAGGTGTGAAAAATATGAGAGGACCAGGGTTATTAAGTCTCGTTGACAAAATCGTCTCGAATAGCAGATAAGCTGCAACTTGTAAGAGCAGACAGGCAATCTGGGTCTTCGATGAGGAGAGGAGAGCTATTTACGGTAATAAAACCACAAAAATGTTCGAATTGACTTTATTTCCTCATGTTTGTAGTTATAAACTTATTTTGTGTGTTTATAATAACATTTTTCATAGGTTTAGAACATGACCAAGGGTAAACACATACATATATCATTCATAACATGATGCTGTTCAATCCATTCCAGAAAACGTATCTATATTGATTTGTAGTGTTTTCTCTACATTAATTTCTTCCTAGGATCACAGTTTGTTTATTTTATTTTTGCAAAAGGATCATTAAGTGAGCCTTGGCAGTCAACCGGTTGCAGGGGCGTAGAATTCAGGTATTTTCTGCAACTTTTTGATAAATTAATATTTTAAATTTCTGAAAAAAATGTATACATTTGCAAACTAACTAAACCAGTAACATAGGTACTAATTCCTATTGGTTCCTCTATCACTATTTCGATGGTTTGTAAATGTGAATGTTTTTTGCCTTTTAGTTTTGTCACTTGTGGTATATGGGGCCAAGTTCAGTCGACAACTTGGACCATGCCAATAGAGTGTATTATATAGCAGTACTCTAATAAATAGCAATACCATGCTGGGTGCAGAACGAAGTTTTTCTGCAGATAGCTGTTAAGTTTTTTGTTTTGGACATTTGGACAATGTTTCGATCCTCCCGATAGAAAAAATGTGAGCTTGCGGCGCCGGCGTGTCATTTTTAAGAGCTGTACAACGTATGTTTCTGATGTGAAGGACATGATGCTGTGACTGCTGTGCAACTGCGTCTACAGCTTGAAAAACAGGTATTCTTTTATGAAGTTGATATTATTTTTATTCTGTCAGTGTGAAAAAATTGTCTATGAATTCTGAAACTTATAATTTGGTTTTTAATTTATGAGAAATTACATGAAGCGTACTTCACTAATAATATTGACGTTTTTTTTTCGAAATTTGAATTTTATCAAGGTGAATCAATACAAAGTGGGTCACCTTGTATGATTCATCATTTATGAATCACAATATTATGAACTGCTTAAATGTGCAGACATTTTAGGAAAGTTAATAGTAGTTTTTAAGTAATTTATTATTGCAAAATATAAAATTAATAAAAATATTTATTAAATTAATAAACTATACCGGGTGCGTCTCAAAAGTGGCTCACCCCCTATAACTTTTTTATTTTTTCAGATAAAAAAACGTGATTTGGTATGTTACTATATGATACAAATTAGGATTGATCGACGTATTCAATTGTTTTTGGTCACTTCCTGTATCACCGGAAATGACTAAACTTTTGATTTTTACATGGCACCCTCGGTATTTTTTTTACTTTATTCGATAGAAAATGACATTCCGAATAGAATGCCATATCATATGTCAACTTTTGACATTCTCACTTGATAAAAAATCGTATTTTAAAATTCAATCTAGAGCGCCATGGCTTTGTTAAAAACACTAATTTTTAATCAAGGAGCCTTGGAAAAATAGATTTGATTGTCTAATGTTTTTAGTGTCTTGTCCTGGCTAGTTAGAAAATGTTCAAATCGTATTTTTAATCATATCTCAATTTTTTCAAATGGAACGAGGGTGGCTCATTAGCATATTTGGAAAAAACATTTTTTTTACGAATAATTTGATACCACACACTTGGTATTTCGAGTCAAATTTTCGTTAACGAACCGCAAGTTATAATTTCAAATAAACCTTATTCAGAGTGTTGTTTTCTATCAAATAAAGTAAAAAAAAATACCGAGGGTGCCATTTAAAAATCAAAAGTTGTAGTCATTTCCGGTGAAACCGGATGTGACAGAAAACAATTGAATATGTCATATAATAAACATACCAAATCTCGTTTTTTTAATTGAAAAAATAAAAAAGTTATAGGGGTGAGCCACTTTTCAGATGCACCCGGTATAAAATTGACTCTTGTGTTTATTATTAAAATGAAACTTAAAAGTAACGCAAATTTATAAACATAACATATAGTCGGTAAATAACTATATTATGTATTACAAAAATATTTGTTCTTGATTAGATATTTCATTATATCAGAAATTTTAATCATACTAAAAATTAAAATTCAAATATTCCTGAAAATTTTTATCAACAGTAGTATAACGCTTTTTTATTGAAGGATACATTCATTTGAACGTATATCCTGGCAAAAAATCGCGAAAATATATACCGGGTGGTGCCTCGGGGCGTTAGAAAGAAAAAGTCCCATGCAAATTTAAAATTGTCCAGATATTGGCTTTCCTGTTGATTCTACAGCGAAGTCGCAAGTAGGTTTTTTAAAGGTCTGCGTATGCTGAATACATGTGCCAAATTTGAACAATTTTGGACAAGCCGATTTTATGTCATTTAAGCAAAAACTGCATCTAGTTTTAAATTAAAACTGAACAGGTAAAAATTCAAAACCAAACAAATGCCAACATACCTTAAGTTTTCCTATAATTTTGTCAAATTACAAAAATACATTTAGAAGACACTAAACGTAGTAGTGTAGGTAGCACAGCAAATTACATTTAACAATGATAAAATCATAGGTGATAACTTAAGATATCTTGCCATTTGACTGATTTTGTATTGTTACTTGTTCAGTTTTAATTTAAAAATAAATGCAGTTTTTTCAGCATTATTCTTACCTTGAAACCTGAAAAGTTGCTAGGGTAACTAAAAAAATAGAATTTGTTTATTTGTCGTTTTTGTTGACAAGTAATTCAAAATGTTTTTTTATATTATCCAAAGTGATCGAGAAAGTAAAATTTCTTCAAGCTGAAAACTGTGTAGTTGCCAATAAAATTGATTCTTAATTATTGCTTAGTAAGTAAGATCAAAATAGTATATTTTTTTAACAACGTGTATTTTATATCAGTATATAATATATCAGTATCTTTTACTGCAGTTTGTTGAAAAACGCTTTTACAAATTTATGGAAACAGGCATAGAAATGCGTAATTTTTTTTTAAATACAAGTCAAACATGTTCCCAAAAATCAAAACATGTTTGTATGATAATATTTCATTTTCATTATTTGCTAGATGGTTATTATTAATTTTGAATAACGTAATATTTTTCGCTGTTAAAAGAAACACAAAATTTATTTTGTTTAGTGCTTCGGAAAAGGTGATAAATTTTCTGCTTCGTAAACTGTCAAAAAATATGAAGTTAATCAAAATTAATAATAACGCATCTATCAAATGATGAAAATGCAATGTTATCGTAGAAACGCGTTTAGATTTTTAGGACTTGAACAATATTTTCATATTTTTTTATATTTCTCTAAAACGGTATCGAAATTTGGAAAAATATAAACGTTATTTACTATTTTAGAACAAGTAAAAACTTTTATGAAGAATGCATTTTTCACAAAAAGTCAATAATAAAAGTTTTTCCTCTTCTAAAAATAATCCCTTGCTAAAAAGATAAAACATTGCTCCTTGTAGTTTGGCTACATACAGTATAGCATACTATTACATTTGTATAAAAAACCTTTATTGGCATATTATTTTAATAAAAATAAACATGGCCAAATATATAGTGTTGAATGGTTCCTAACCTGACTTTTTTCTTAAAACAACTGTTTTATTATTTTAGTTTTGCGGTGCCGAGCCAAGTTCAGTCGAAAACTTGAGCCGTACCACCAGAACTACCACGCAATGGTACCAGTACCGCCGTTGAAAACTCGGAAGCAGTTCACACACTCAGTCCATCATAATGCATATTCTAGACGATTTTGTCAATTCGCCCAGTTTGTCCCAGTGTCGAACCTTGGTCTTCGTTAAGAACCCAAAACACCAGAAAACCTTTACAAAATGAACCCAGTGCAGTTAGCGGTTCAGCTGGTTCATCCCCCCTGGTCCATGTTCGAACAAATATCAGTTCTACCACTACACGCAAAATAATAGAAAACTCGAAAGAAATACTAGTTCCTAGAAATATTCTGCATCCTCTGAGGTGATTCAGGAGAACATCGTGCTAGGAACAGGTAAATTTTGTTCATTCACAATCTGAACGTACTGTATATAAATTTGTGTTTGGAATTTTCAGAGAAAAACTTCTAGTAGCTGAAAAAATCAAACAATAAGTTACATAAAAAGTAAAAATTATAGTAGTATTCATATGAAGTATAAAATTAATAATAATGTTCCACAACGATTTGAAATAACTTATTTATATGAAATGAAGATTTTAAAGAAAAAACAACCCCATACCAGGCTCAAAATTCTATCACCAAATACATTTTACGGACGCTGTTGATTTACAACCTTTTTATTTCAGAAAAGTTAACTAGCTGAAGGATAGTATTTGAGAGGCGCCAGAATGATTCTTTTTGTTTTGTTCGAACTATATGAAAGTGATTTGCTTATAAAAAATATTTAAAAAAAGGATTTAAACGTTGTATAGTTGAAAATCGTTTCGTGGGAACCAAACAGTAAGAATTTTAGGTTAGAATTTAAAGTTCTTTTTCAGATTTAGTCGCTAATTTTCCATATGAAAAACTGATGACACATAGTAAGCCATAATACTGTCTGGAGATGTCAGTTTTATAAAAAATATGTGCGAGTCTTAAACAAGTTTATTTGAAACTGCTTGATGAGCTAATATTTTTTTATCAATTTATATCAGTTAAAAAAAAAGAATACGCAGTCGTTTCGTGAGGATGCGTACTTAAATGCACTAATGCTTCCTGAAATTTAAAAAAGCAGTAAGGATTTTGAGATAGATTTAAAGTTCTTTTTCAGATTTAGGAGCTAACTTTTCCATACGAAAACGTGGATAAAAATATGCCCAATCATGTTTACACGTTAATTTTTATTTGAAACTTTACTTTGATGAGTTAAAATTTATTTAACTATATATAACCCAAAAAAAAGGAATGCGCAGTAGACTTTTGAGGATGCGCACTTAAGTTATACTTCATGAAGTTTAAAAAAACAGTAAGGATTTTGGGGTAGAGTTTAAAATTCTTTTGCAGATTTAGGAGCCATCTTCTCTGTATGAAAACCTGGATAAAAGTATATTTAAAAAATAGAAATAGTGTCCAGCAATGACAGTTTTATAAAAATATATTCGTTCAAGTCTATAAACATAAATTTTTAATTGAAACTTTGCCTTAATTGAAACAGCCAAAAAAAAAAGAACACGCAGTATTTTTTCGAGGAGATGCGCACTTAAAAAACCAGTAAGGATTTTGAGGTAGAATTAAAAGTTCTTTTTCAGATTTAAGAGCCTACTTTTCCGTATGAATACATGGATAAAAACATAAAAATTCGAAATAGTGTCCAACGTTGCCAATTTTATAAAAATCCTCTCCAATGTGAAATTTACACATGAATTTTTTCTGAAACTGCGTTTATGAACTAATTTTTATTTAACTATTAACTGCAAACTAACAGTTACAAAAGGAATAAGCAGTATTTTGCGGATCTAAACTTTAATAATGCCTGAAGAAGTTTTAATACAAAAAAAAACAGTAAGGACTTTGAGGTAGAATTAAAAGTTCTAGTAACTACAAAGATTAATCAAAAAATACTATTCGTAGAGGATTAAAATTCGAAAATACGTTTCAAGTTCTCAGGGAGTATATAATTGATATTTTATTAATATAACTTATTTAAATACCTTCTAATTTTTCAGAAAGCTCTCAATCTCAGTGGCCACCCTAATTTTTTGCTAATAACGTTCATTATAGAAGAAACACAAGAAAGAAAACACCTATAGAAGTTTCAAAAGATAACTTTTTATTTTGTTAGGGTGGCCATTGAAAGACATTGAGTAAAAATAATTAAATCAACATGATAATTTGCCAATAAGGAAGAAATTTAAAAGTATATTTATATGCAAGTGATCTAGATATTGATAGACGATGTGTCCCATGATTATCTACCATTCCTTAACTACCAATTATGGAAGAATGCTTTGCAAAACCAGCGGTGAAAACTTAATTTTAGTGTGGAAACCCAGTATATATTTTTTAGTCTTCCATGGCCCCTATGTAACTCAATAACCTACAAAACCATAAAATTATTTTTTAAATATTAGCGTCTGGAGATTTGGTACATCAAACAGAGAGGAAATTTTCGTTTTTACAATTGTGTCAAGTTTAAATTCTTAGGAGACTTATATTTTTGGAGGATTTCTTTGGAGCAGTATATTATTTAGGAGTTGCAGAGGGAGAGAATTTCTTCTGAAAAAGGTAAAAAGGTAGTTTTCTTTCTTTGTTTTAAGGAACAGCCTGGGACATCACACTGCGTGAATACCTGCGTTTCAACCTCTGCATACAAAATAGACTTCCAATTTGCTACGTTTTATAAAAGTCTTGAATTCAGAATGACATTCTTTGTGGACAAACAAGGGGATGATATTCCAACAATATAAAAATTGTTTAATGTTTGTGTCCTGTAATGACATCCAAATGATATTTAATACTCGTAGGATCTGTTCTATCAGACGCCAATGCTTGACAGTAAGATTTTATGTTTCTATTTGTGTTTTAACACGTTTTTTGCAGAAACTGTTTAACGTATTTTTAAAGAAGCGTTTATCACTTGAGTCCAGATATTTAGAGCATGTAAATGGTATTCATCATTTTAAAAAAGCTGTAAAATCAAATTTCAGTGATGACATACAGTAAGATTGAATATTTTTCTATTAGTTTTCTAACAATTTTATTGCAGAAATTATTTGGTGCATTATTTCAAGAAGTTTTAAAGCTTTATGAATCCATATATTATTTCAACATGTTCTAGACTAAATATCAGATATCAATGATTGATAGTAAGATTCACTATTTTTATATTAGTGTTTTAAAACATTTGTTGTAGCACTTATTTAATGCACTATTTCAAGGAATCTAAGAATTTAAAAATCTGGGAATTCAAATCTTATTCAACATACAAAGAATCTGTAATATCAGACGCCAATGATCGACAGTAAGATTCAATATTTTTCTGTTAGTACCTTAACACGTTTGTTCCAGCAATTATTTAATGCATTATTTCGAGGATTATGTTGTATGATTTTTAAAAGTTTAGGAGGAATTTCAATATTAATGAACCAAAATATTATTCAATACACAAAAAATGATTGGCAGTAAGATTCAATACTTTTCCATTAGTGTCTTAACACATTTGTTGCAGCTGTTAAATGCATTAATTCAAGAAATTATAGGAATTTAAAAGTTTGGAAATCCAAATATGAATCCACTAAAATAATATTCAATATACAAAGCAACTGTAATATCAGATAATAATTATTGACAGTAAGATTCAATATTTTTCTGTTAGTACCTTAACACGTTTGTTCCAGCAATTATTTAATGCATTATTTCGAGGATTATGTATGATTTTTAAAAGTTTAGGAAGAATCCAAATATTAATCAACCAAAATGATATTCAATACACAAAAAATGATTGGCAGTAAGATTCAATATTTTTCCATTAGTGTCTTAACACGTTTGTTGCAGCTGCTATTTAATGCATTAATTCAAGAAATTATAGGAATTTAAAAGTTTGCAAATCCAAATATGAATCCACTAGAATAATATTCAAAATACAAAGCAACTGTAATATCAGATAATAATGATTGACAGTAAGATTCAATATTTTTCTGTTAGTACCTTAACACGTTTGTTCCAGCAATTATTTAATGCATTATTTCGAAAAATATGTATGATTTTTAAAAGTTTAGAATGAATCCAAATATTAATCCACTAAAATGATACCCAGTACACAAAAATGATTGACAGTAAGATTCAATATTTTTCTGTTAGTCTCTTAACACGTTTGTTGCAGCTAATATTTAATTACTCTTAAGAAATATTAAGGAATTTGGAAATTTTACAATCCATATGTTAATTTGGTACAGAAAGTGTTAATATCAGATACAAATGCTGATAGTAAGATTCAATATTGTACTATTTGTGTTTTAACACATTTGTTGCAGCAATTTTGAATGAAGTCTTTAAGTTTCTGCAATATTTAAGGGCGTGATAAACCGTGAATACTCTACAAGTTCAACTGATGTAGATGACTATAGAGCTGTTCTAAAGTAAGAGTTCTTATTTTTCTATCAAAACCGAGCGTTTTTTTCTAGACAGTTTAGAGATAAATTTTGCTGCTTTTTACATCATCACGTACTGCAATAATCAAGAGAGTAGTCAAACCGTGCATCATCTGCAAGTTCAACTATTATAGACGGCTGTAGAGCTGGACTAAAGTAAGAGTTCGTATTTTCTATCAAAATTGGAAACATTTTTTCCAGACAGTTTGGAGATAAATTTTACTGCTGCCCACATCATTGGTGATCTAGAAGTTCTACAGTATTCAAGAGAGTGGTTAATCCATGAATCCTCTAGAAGTTCAATTGTTATTGATGGCTATAGAGCTGTTTTAAAGTAAAAGTTCATATTTTTCTATCAAAATGGAGCGTTTTTTCTAGACACTAGAGATAAATTTTTGCTTTGATCTACATCATCCCTCTATAAGTTCTACAATATTCAAGAGAGTGGTCAAACCTTGAATCCTCTATAAGTTCAGCTGTTATTGATGGCTGTAGAGCTGTTTTAAAGTAAGAGTTCTTATTTTTCTATCAAAATGAAGCGTTTTTTCTAGACACTTTAGAGATAAATTTTGCTGCTGTCTACATCATTAGTCCGAAGTTTCTACATTATTCAAGAGAGTGGTCAAACTGAATCCTCTATGAGTTCAACTGTTATAGACGGCTATAGAGCTGGTTAAAGTAAGAGTTCTTATTCTTCTATCAAAATGAAGCGCTTTTTTCCAGACAGTTTAGAGATAAATTTTGCTGCTGTCTACATCATTAGTCCAAAGTTTCTATAATATTCAACAGAGTGGTTAAACCGTGAATCCTCTACAAGTTCAGCTGTTATTGATGGCTATAGAGCTGCTTTGAAGTAAGAGATCTTATTTTTCTATCAAAATGGAGCATTGTTTTCCAGATAGTTCAGAGATAAATGTTGCTGTGGTTTACGTAATCAGTCTAGAAGTTCTGCGATATTCAAGAGATTGGTCCAACTATGAATCTTCAGTTCAACTATTATTATTGATGGCTATAAAACTTAAAAGTAAGAGTTCATATTTTTCTATCAACATGGAGCGTATTTTCTAGACACTTTAGAGATAAAATTTGTCGCTGTCTACATCATCGGTCTAGACGTTCTACAATATTCAAGAGAGTGGTCAAACCATGAATCCTCTAGAAGTTTAACTGTTATCGATGGATATAAAGCTGCTCGGATCGGAAAGGAGCGTTTTTTCCAGACAGTTTAGAGATAAATTCTGCTGCTGTCCACATCATTGGTCCAGAAGTTCTACAGTATTTAAGAGTGGTTAAACCGTGAATCCTCTAGAAGTTCAACTGTTATTGATGGCTATACAGCTGCTTTAAAGTAAGAGTTCTTATTTTTCTATCAAAATGGAGCGTTTTTTGTAGACACTTTAGAGATAAATTTTGCTGCTGTCTACATCATTAGTGAAGAAGTTCTACAGTATTCAAGAGAGCGGTCAAATTAAGAAGCCTTTACAAGTTTGGCTGTTATAGATGGCTATAGAGCCGCTCTAAAGTAAGAGTTCTTATTTTTCTATCAAAATGGATCGTTTTTTCCAGGCAGTTCAGAGATAAATTTTACTGTGGTCTACATAATCGGTCTAGAAGTTCTACATTATTCAAGAGAGTGGTCAAACTATGAATCCTCTATGAGTTCAACTGTTATAGATGGCTATAGAGCTGGTTTAAAGTAAGAGTTCTTATTCTTCTATCAAAATGGAGCGTTTTTTCTAGACCCTTGAGAGATAAATTTTGCTGTTGTCTACATCATTAGTGAAGAAGTTCTACAATATTCAAGAGAGCGGTCAAATTAAGAAGCCTTTACAAGTTTGGCTGTTATAGATGGCTATAGAGCTGCTCTAAAGTAAGAGATCTTATTTTTCTATCAAAATGGGGCGTTATTTTCCAGACAGTGCAGAGATAAATTTTGCTGTGGTCTACATAACCGGTCTAGAAGTTCTACATTATTCAAGAGAGTGGTCAAACTATGAATCCTCTACAAGTTTAACTATTATTGATGGCTATAAAGCTTTAAAGTAAGAGTTCATATTTTTCTATCAACATGGAGCGTTTTTCCAGATATTTTAAAGATAAAATTTGTCGCTGTCTACATCATCGGTCTAGACGTTCTACAGTATTCAAGAGAGTGGTGAAACCATGAATCATCTGTAAGTTCAACTGTTATAGATGGCTATAGAGCTGGATTAAAGTAAGAGTCTGTATTTTCTATCAAAATGGGACACATTTTTTCCAGACAGTTTAGAGATACATTTTATTGCTGTCCGCATCATTGCTTGTCTAGAAGTTCTACAACATTTAAGAGAGCGGTCAATTTATGAGTCCTCTAGAAGTTTAACTGTTATTGATGGCTATAGAGTTGCTTTAAAGTAAGAGTTCTTATTTTTCTATCAAAATGGAACGTTTTTTCCAGACAGTTTAGAGATAAATTTTGCTGCTCTGTCCACATCATCAGTCTAGAAGTTCTACAGTGTTCAAGACAGTGATCAAACTACGAATCCTCTACAAGTTCTGCTGTTATAGATGGCTACAGAGCTGCTCTAAAGTAAGAGTTCTTATTTTTCTATGAAAATGGAGCGTTTTTTACAGACAGTTTAGAGATAAATTCTGCTGCTGTCCACATCATTGGTCTAGAAGTTCTAAAATATTCAAAAGAGTGGTTAAACCGTGAATCCCCTAGAAGTTCAACTGCTTTAGATGACTATAGAGCTGCTCTAAAGTAAGAGTTCTTATTGTTCTATGAAAATAGAGCATTTTTTTCCAGACAGTTAAATAGATAAATTCTGCTGTGGTCTACATCATCGGTCTAGAAGTTCTACAATATTCAAGAGAGTGGTCAAACCATGAATCCTCTACAAGTTCAACTGTTATTGATGGCTATAGTGCTGCTCTAAAGTAAGAGTTCTTATTTTTCTATGAAAATGGAGCGTTTTTTACAGACAGTTTAGAGATAAATTCTGCTGATGTCCACATCATTGGTCTAGACGTTCTACAATATTCAAGAGAGTGGTCAAATCCTCTAGAAGTTCAGCTGTTTTAGATGACTATAGAGCTGCTCTAAAGTAAGAGTTCTTGTTTTCTATCAAAATGGAGCGTTTTTTTCTAGATAGTTCAGAGATAAATTTTGCCGTGGTGAACATCATCAGTCTAGAAGTTCTTCAATATTCAAGAGAGTGGTCAAGCCATGAATCCTCTACAAGTTCAACTGTTATTGATGGCTATAGAGCTGCTCTAAAGTAAGAGTTCTTATTTTTCTGTCAAAATGGAGCGTTTTTTCCAGATAGTTCAGAGATATATTTTGCTGTGGACAGATCATTGGTCTAGAAGTTCTACAATATTCAAGAGAGTTAAACGGTGAATTCTCGACATGTTCAACTGTTATTGATGGCTATAGAGCTGCTTAAAGTAAGAGGTCTTAATTTTCTATCAAAATGGAGAGTTTTTTTCCAGACAGTTTCGAGATCATTTTGCTGCTGTCAATTATCATCTGTCTGGAAGTTCTACAATATTCAAGAGATTGGTCAAACATGAATCCTATACAAGTGCAACTGTTATAGACGGCTATAGAGCTTGTTTTAAGTAAGAGTTCTTATTTTCTACCAAAATAGAGATGTTTTGTAGAACTGGTCTAGAAGTTCTACAATAATCAAGAGAGTGGTTAAACTGAATTCGCTACTGAGCCATGAAGTAAGGGCCTTGTTTTTGTTTCGTAGATGATTTATTTTTCAGATAACGCTCTTGTAATTAGAAGAGATCATCCAACAGAAAAAAAATAATCAAAGAAGAATCTACCTAAAAAATTGTTCCATTAGAATCATAATGTAAGCAATATCTTGTGGCTGAAAAGTGAACATTAATAATATAGCTATCAAATGTAGAAATATATCCAAGAATTATGCCCTTAAATATGAGGATTGCAGAGTTTTTTAACCAAGTAGTAGTTTTTATTTTTATACCAATTTAAATCATTTTCAGCCAACAGACAGATTTATAATAATTGAGGATTGAACAAGAGAAAAAATATATGTTTTGGGGGAAATCAAGTCAGCTTAGTTAGAGAGGTCATCGTCAAGGTTTGTTTTTGCTTATAAACCTCCAACGTTTTTTTAGAATTGTTTTTCACTCAAAGATATACTCTTCTATGTAATGGTTGAAAATTAAATGCGAAGTAGAGAAATTTAAGAAATATATACGTTTTTTAAGTAGTTAAATACAATTATTAATATTCAAAATTACAAGTCTTATGAAAAGAGAAATATTGTTGGAATCATGATGAGATTTTGGAACTAAGAAGACAAAACTAATGTTTGGAAGGTCTGGAGCATAACGTATATTTTTTAGACAAAATAAACATTTTTCAGATATGGAAAGAAGCGGATTAGCGTTGTAAAATGACAGTGTCGATGTCAAAATGGTCACTGTTCCTTCTCATATTTATGCTTTTTTCACCGATGATGCTGAAGGCGGGCAACTACCGTGACGGGGAACTAGTGCCTTAAAAAACGATTCGACATTGTCATTTGATAGCGCCAGGATTTTTTGAGTATGTATGGAGACACTAACAAACTAAAATGCTAATTTATAACGTAATATTGTCTCGTTATCAGTAGTGTCAGGTACCATTCTCTAAAGTGGTTTGGAAATTTTGGTACCATTTTCTTTTGTCTTTTTTAGGATGAAATACATAATAGAAATACCATAATATTTTCCAGTATCAGTTATAGATATCCGGTCCATATATAAGTCAAAGAAATCTGGAATATTATTAAAAGAGTATAGATGTCTACTATTGAAGACTACTGATAACGACTAATAGATGAATATATGTGAAAGAATTATATAGAGAATACTATGAACAGTTCAGATGGGAAACCAGGAAGAAGATGTGAAAATGGCCGATAGGGAAGAATACGTGCGAGTGATACAGAAAAAGACTGGTGAGAAGAATAAACTCGGTGACCGGGAAGAAGACGGAAACCAGAATGAAGACGGGTCACTGGACAACATCGGCGACTGGGAAGAGGAGCGACTGGAGAACATATGCAGCCGAGATTGAGGGTGACAAGGAAGAAATGGAGACGGGGACCAGGAGAAGAACATAGGCTGGATGGTAGAGACGGGGGACTAGGAGAAGAAAGAAGACGTGCTACGGGAGAAGAGCATAGATTGCAGGGTAGAGACGGAGTGCCAGAAGAAAGAAGACGGGCTACTGGAGAAGAACATAGGCTGGATGGTAGAGACGAGGGACCAGGAGAAGAAAGAAAACGTGCTACGGGAGAACATAGGCTGCAGGGTAGAGACGGGGACCAGGAGAAGGCGATGGTCTACAGGAGAGGAAGACGTGCTACTGGAGAAGAACATAGGCTGGATGGTAGAGACGAGGGACCAGGAGAAGAACGTGTTACGGGAGAAAAACAGGCTGCAGGGTAGAGACGGGGACCAGGAGAAGACGACGGTCTACAGGAGAAGAAGACATGCTACTGGAGAAGAACATAGGCTGGATGGTAGAGACGAGGGACCAGGAGAAGAAAGAAAACGTGCTACGGGAGAAGAACATAGGCTGGATGGTAGAGACGAGGAACCAGGAGAAGAAAGAAGACGAGCTACTGGAGAACATAGGCTACCGGGTAGAGACGGGACCAGAAGAAGAAAGAAGACGGGCTACTGAAGAAGAACATAGGCGGCCAGGTAGAGACGGGACCAGGAGAAGAAAGAAGACGAGCTAGTGGAGAACATAGGCTGCCGGGTAGAGACCGGACCAGAAGAAAGAAGACGAACTACTGAAGAAGAACATAGGCGGCCAGGTAGGGACGGGACCAGGAGAAGAAAGAAGACGAGCTACTGAAGAACATTGGCTGCCGGGTAGACGGGACCAGAAGAAGAAAGAAGACGGGCTACTGAAGAAGAACATAGGCGGCCAGGTAGCGACGGGACCAGGAGAAGAAAGAAGACGAGCTAGTGGAGAACATAGGCTGCCGGGTAGAGACGGGACCAGAAGAAGAAAGAAGACGGACTACTGAAGAAGAACATAGGCGGCCAGGTAGACGGGACCAGGAGAAGAAAGAAGACGAGCTACTGGAGAACATGGGCTGCCGGGTAGAGACGGGACCAGAAGAAAGAAGACGGACTACTGAAGAAGAACATAGGCGGCCAGGTAGAGACGGGACCAGGAGAAGAAAGAAGACGAGCTGGTGGAGAACATAGGCTGCCGGATAGACGGGACCAGAAGAAGAAGACGGGCTACTGAAGAAGAACATAGGCGACCAGGTAGAGACGGGACCAGGAGAAGAAAGAAGACGGGCTACTGGAGAAGAACATAGGCGGCCAGGTAGAGACGGGACCAGGAGAAGAAAGAAGACGAACTACTGAAGAACATTGGCTGCCGGGTAGAGACGGGACCAGAAGAAGAAAGAAGACGGCCTACTGGAGAAGAACATAGGCGGCCAGATAGAGACGGGACCAGGAGAAGAAAGAAGACGGGCTACTGAAGAAGAACATAGGCGGCCAGGTAGAGACGGGACCAGGAGAAGAAAGAAGACGAGCTAGTGGAGAAGAACATAGGCGGCCAGGTAGAGACGGGACCAGGAGAAGAAAGAAGACGAGCTAGTGGAGAACATAGGCTGCCTGGTAGACGGGACCAGAAGAAGAAGACGGGCTACTGAAGAACATAGGCGACCAGGTAGAGACGGGACCAGGAGAAGAAAGAAGACGGGCTACTGGAGAAGAACATAGGCGGCCAGGTAGAGACGGGACCAGGAGAAGAAAGAAGACGAGCTAGTGGAGAACATAGGCTGCCGGGTAGACGGGACCAGAAGAAGAAGACGGGCTACTGAAGAAGAACATAGGCGACCAGGTAGAGACGGGACCAGGAGAAGAAAGAAGACGGGCTACTGGAGAAGAACATAGGCGGCCAGGTAGAGACGGGACCAGGAGAAGAAAGAAGACGAACTACTGAAGAACATTGGCTGCCGGGTAGAGACGGGACCAGAACAAGAAAGAAGACGGCCTACTGGAGAAGAACATAGGCGGCCAGATAGAGACGGGACCAGGAGAAGAAAGAAGACGAGCTACTGAAGAACATAGGCGGCCAGGTAGAGACGGGACCAGGAGAAGAAAGAAGACTAGCTACTGGAGAACATAGGCTGCCGTGTAGAGACGGGACCAGAAGAAGAAAGAAGACGGACTACTGAAGAACATAGGCGGCCAGGTAGAGACGGGACCAGGAGAAGAAAGAAGACGAGCTACTGGAGAAGAACATAGGCGGCCGGGTAGGAGATGGTGACTAGGAGGAGAACGGGCTACTGAAGAAGAACGTAGACAACCGGAAAGATACAGGCTAGTAATGGGTGAACCCAAAATACATGGACCATTTGAAAATTGGAGCGATATAAAATTGGGATAAATGTTGCTAATGTCGTCATTGCTCTAGATACTACAATATTCTAGCTAGTGGTCAAACTGTGAATCTTCTACAAATGCAACTGTTTAGATGGCTATAGAGCTGGTTTAAAGTAAGAGTTCTTATTTTTCTATCAAAAGATGGGAAACGTTTTTTCCAGACAGTTCAGAGAAATTTTGCTGCTGTCTACATCATTAGTCCAGAATTTCTACGATATTCAAGAGAGTGGTCAAGTTATGAATCCTCTTCAAGTTCAACTGTTATCGACGGCCTATAGAGCTGCTCTAAAGCAAGAGTTTTTATTTTTCTACCAAAATGGAAAACGTTTTTTCCAGACAGTTTAGAGATAAATTTTGCTGTTTTCTACATCATCGATCTAGAAGTCCTATAATATTCAAGAGAGTGGTCAAACCATGAATCCTCTACAAGTTCAACTGTTATAGATGGCTATAGAACTGCTCTAAAGTAAGAGTTCTTATTTTTCTATAAAAATGGGAAACGTTTTTTCCAGACAGTTTAGAGATAAATTTTGCTGTTTCTACTTCATCGATTTAGAAGTCCTATAATATTCAAGAGAGTGATCAAACCATGAATCCAGTACAAGTTTAACTGTTATAGATGGCTATAGAACTGGTTTAAAGTAAGAGTTCTTATTTTTCTATTAAGATGGGAAACGTTTTTTCCAGATAGTTTAGACAAATTTTGCTGCTGTCTAGATCATTAGTCCACAATTTCTACCATATTCAAGAGAGTGGTCAAACTATGAATCCTCTACAAGTTCAACTGTTATCGACGGCTATAGAGCGGCTCTAAAGTAAGAGTTCTTATTTTTCTATCAAAATGGAAAACGTTTTTTCCAGACAGTTTAGAGATAAATTTTGCTGTTTTCTACATCATCGATCTAGAAGTCCTATAATATTCAAGAGAGTGATCAAACCATGAATCCTCTACAAATTCAACTGTTATAGATGGCTATAGAGCTGCTCTAAAGTAAGAGTTCTTATTTTTCTATAAAAATGGGAAATGTTTTTTCCAGACAGTTTAGAGATAAATTTTGCTGTTGTCTACATACATCATCGCTCTCGAAGTTCTGTAATATTCAAGAGTGTGGTCAAACCATGAATCCTCTACAAGATCAATAATTGTTATAGATGACTACAGTGGTTTAAAGTCAAGAGTTCTTATTTTTCTATCAAAATGCAGACGTTTTTTTCCACACAGTTTAGAGATAAATTTTGCTGCTGTCTAACATAATAATTGGTTTAGAGGTTCTACAGTATTCAAGAGAGTGGTTCAACCATGAATTTCCTACAAACCCTTATAGATGGCTATAGAGCTGAGATCTAAAGTAAGAGTTTTTATTTTTATATCAAAAACAGATGTTTTTCCAGATAGTTTAGAGATAAATTTTGCTCCTGTCGAAGACGAGGAAGTTCTACAATATTTAAGAGGGCGGTCAAACCATGAATCAAACAAGTTCAACTGTTATAGATGGCTATAGAACTGGTTTAAAGTAAGAGTTCATATTTTCTATCAAAATGGAGATGTTTTTTCCAGACAGTTTAGAGATAAATTTTGCTGCTGTCCATAATTGGCTTAGAAGCTCTACAATATTCAAGAGTTTCAACCATCAGAGGTTCAACCATGAATTTCCTACAAGTTCAACCTTTATAGATGGCTATAGAGCTGCTCTAAAGTAAGAGTTCTTATTTTCCTATCAAAATGGGAACCGTTTTTTCCAGCCAGTTTAGAGAGAAATTTTGCTGTTGTCTACATCATTAGTCCAGAATTTCCACGATATTCAAAGAGACTGGAAATCCTTTACAAGTTCAACTGTTATAGATGACTACACAGCTGCTCTAAAGTAAGAGTTCTTATTTTTCTATCAAAATGGAAAACGTTTTTTCCAGACAGTTTAGAGATAAATTTTGCTGTTTTCTACATCATCGATCTAGAAGTCCTATAATATTCAAGAGAGTGATCAAACCATGAATCCTCTACAAATTCAACTGTTATAGATGGCTATAGAGCTGCTCTAAAGTAAGAGTTCTTATTTTTCTATAAAAATGGGAAATGTTTTTTCCAGACAGTTTAGAGATTAATTTTGATGTGGTTTACATCATCGCTCTAGAAGTTCTACAAAATTCAAGAGAGTGGTCAAATCATGAATCCCCTACAAGTTCAACTGTTATTGATGGCTATAGAGCTGCTCTAAAGTAAGAGTTCTTATTTTTCTATCAAAATGGAGCGTTTTTTCCAGACAGTTTCGAGATAATTTTGCTGCTGTCAATCATCATCTGTCTAGAAGTTCTACAGTACTGAAGAGAGTGGTCAAACCATGAATCTTCTACATGTTCAATTCTTATGGATTACATAGAGCTGGTTTAAAGTAAGATAATTTTTCTCAAAGCGGAGATGTTTTTTCCTATAATGATAAGTTTTGTAGTTGTCTGCATCAGCTTTTGAAGAAGGTTTAGAAGATCTACAATATTCAAGAGTTGTCAAACCTTGAATCTTCATCTACTTCAACTGTTCAATCCAGAACGACTGGGAGGGGACGGCCAATCAGGAAAGAAACGGCTCACTGGAGAAAAACATATGTATAGGACTGGGTCCCTAGGAAGAAGGGTAGCGACTGAGAGGGCCACTGGAGAAGTACATGGGCCACAAGAGATGAGACGAGCGGCTGAACAGAGGAAATGGGTAGCCATGAAGAAGAGGTACAAAGCGGACGAAGATTGGAAGAACACGAGCGACTGTAAAGACGAGCAACCTAAGAGAACACCGGCTACCGAGATGAAGATGGGTGACCAGGAAGAAGACTTGCTACTGAAGAGAAAGACCTGGATGAAGAGGAAAATGGAAGAATATCAGTTACCGCGAAGGAGACCGGCCACTGAAGAAGTACATGGGCGACCTGAAAGAAGTCGAGCGGCTGAAGAGAGGAAATGGGTAGCCGTGAAGAAGAGGGATAAAGGAGGGCGCGCACTGCATCGGATCGGACCGACCAGCAAAAGCGACTGCGACCATCGTACATATAGACGGCGCCGGCGTCCACTAAAACATTTCGGCCTGTAGAGGCCAGATTCCTACCTCTACCTCTCTACGATAGTCGAGTCACCGCCTTCGCCGTTTCTCGCCGGACTGGTACCGATTCAGTGCGCGTACACCTTAACGCAGAAGAAGACTTGAAGAACATGGGCCACTTCTATGAAGACGAGCGACTGAAGAGAACACGGACTACTGAGGTGTAAGAGTTCTTATTTTGCTATCAAAATAGAGAGTTTTTTCCAGACAGTTTCGAGATAATTTTGCTGCTGTCAATCATCATCTGTCTAGAAGTTCTACAATACTCAAGAGAGTAGCCAAACCATGAATCTTCTACAAGTTCCATTCTTATGGATGACATAGAGCTGGTTTAAAGTAAGATTTTTTTCTCAAGGCCGAGATGTTTTTTCCTATAATGATAAATTTTGTAGTTGTCTGCATCATCAGCTTTTGAAGATGGTTTAGAAGATCTACAATATTCAAGAGTTGTCAAACCATGAATCTTCATCTAGTCCAACTGTTATAGCGACTGGGAGGGTCAGAAATGGAGGCAATCAAAGGAAACAGCTCCCTGGAGAAGAACATACGTATAGGACTGGGTCCCTAGGAAGAAGGGTAGCGACTGAGAAGGTCATTGGAGAAGTACATGGGCCACAAGAAATGAGACGAGCGGTTGAACAGGGTAGCCATGAAGAAGAGGAAGAAGATTGGAAGAACGTGAGGCAACCGATAACATTGGCTATTGAGATGAAGACCGGTGACCAGGAGAAAAACTTTCTAATGAAGAGAAGACCCTGGATGAGGAGGAAAATGGAAGAATATAAGCTACCACCGAAAACGAGACAGGATACTAGAGAAGTACATGGGCGACCGGAAAGAAGACTGCAATCGGGAAGAAGACGATCAATCGGGAAGACGACGGGCAATCGGGAAGAAGACAACGGTCAATCGGGAAGACGACGGTCAATCGGGAAGAAGACGACGAGCAATCGGGAAGAAGACGACGGGCAATCGGGAAGAAGACGACGAGCAATCGGGAAGAAGACGGGCAATCGGGAAGAAGACGACGATCAATCGGGAAGACGCCGGGCAATCGGGAAGAAGACAACGGTCAATCGGGAAGACGACGGTCAATCGGGAAGAAGACGACGAGCAATCGGGAAGAAGACGACGGGCAATCGGGAAGAAGACGACGAGCAATCGGGAAGAAGACGACGAGCAATCGGGAAGAAGACGGTCAATCGGGAAGACGACGGTCAATCGGGAAGGAGAAGACGGGTAATCGGGAAGAAGAAGACGGGCAATCGGGAAGAAGCCGAGCAATCGAGAAGAAGACGACGAGCAATCGGGAAGAAGACGGGCAATCTGGAAGAAGACGACGATCAATCGGGAAGAAGACAACGGTCAATCGGGAAGACGACGGCCAATCGGGAAGAAGAAGACGAGCAATCGGGAAGAAGAAGACTGGCAATCGGGAAGAAGACGACGAGCAATCGGGAAGAAGACGACGGGCAATCGGGAAGACGACGGTCAATCGGGAAGAAGAAGACGAGCAATCGGGAAGAAGACGACGGGCAATCAGGAAGAAGAAGACGGGCAATCGGGAAGAAGACGACGAGCAATCGGGAAGAAGACGACGGTCAATCGGGAAGAAGACGACGGTCAATCGGGAAGAAGACGACGGGCGACTGGCAAGAAAACAACGGGCGACTGGACACCGGATTGTCATCGGCGTCGACCTAGACTTGTTAGCACTGCACTGAGAAATAAAGGTTTTAGTTTTTGGAACGGTACCGATAGGTACTATTTTTGCATTCATCGTACACAACAGGCGGGCGAACGGCGTTAGTATCTGTCGCGTACCACTTTTCCTGGAACTAAAACGGTTGTTTCTTGGTGTAAGAAACAAGTCCATCGTTGAAGAATATTAGCAGAACACTTGTCTTGAAAAGAAAAGTAATAATTTTGTTTTATTATATAAAATCGTTCATATTTTAATTTATTTTCTTGTTCCAGAGTATACAGCAACATCCATTACTACCATTACTAAGGCGTTCCAAACCATAAGCCTATGATATTATTTTGCCTAGTCAATCTCTGGAGAATATTAGCAGAATGTTTCTTAAACACAAAAGTAATAAATTTTAAATTATAGTATTGTTTATTTATTCCAGAGTGTAGAGCACCTTTAATTATGTATCTAATTATTGTATAATAAATTTATGTTATACTTACCTAAATTTCAATATATTTGTTTCTTAAATTTTTGGAAATATATACTGTTTTATTATAAATTGTTGTTTTATTCATAACGCTGCTTTTATGAGAGAAGAAAAAATGATATTTATATGGCTTAAAAATGCATCTTTTCCACGCTGTTTAAATCATTTAAATAATTTTTCAAGTTAATTTACTGCAAAGACAATTTAAACGTTCCAAGTGATGCTCCACTAACGGGTTTGTAAACTGTATAAACAATTTTAAGTAAAAGAAGTACCAGTGTATTGAAGTATTTTATTTGATTTAAAATAAAAGTCCAAAAGATGCATTTTTATTCTTTATTTTTCTTAAATATTGTACTGTGTGACTGGATAGAAATTCCCCAGTTTCAGAGTAAAAAGAATGATACAGGTATGCCCTTATTCAATCTGATCGAAAAAAAAACGGCGTCCAGTTGGCTTGGAAATAACCGATCGATGAAACTCCCCATAAAATTTTAACGTACAATATGACAGCGATCTTAATTTTCAAGCCATCTCCGACGCCGTTTTTTTCGAACTTATAGTATTTCTTCTGTACATAATTTTTTAGAAGATTCTACTGAATCAGTACAAGAAAATACATTAAAGAGGCCACAAGAATTTGAAAGTACTGTTTCAACAACTCCTCTCAGTAATTCTGAAATTATTAAAGAGAATTTTATAAAGAATACTGTCTTACCTGATAATTCTAAAGATAGTGAGAAGGCTAATGAGGAATTCTCGAAAAACCAGATGCCTCAATTTGCAAATTTATTTAATATGATGAAGGATGAAATTCTAGATGATGCTGACATAACACTTGATGGAAAAATAAATCATTTGGAAAATTTAAGGGATAACATATCTCATGAAATCAGTGAGTATAAGTGACTCGTAAAGCTCCGTCTATACGTAACGTTTTACTTGTCAGTCTTACCTGCTCGGGCAAAACGTATCAAGTAAGATCTTATGTGTCGATAAAACCTTAAGGTTTGAATAGAAGTAGCAAAATAAGCGTTCGGCACTTATAACGTTTTATGTAAAACTTTCTAGGAATTTTTACATAAAAAATGAAGAAGGAAATTAAAGATAAAGGATTATACTATATCCGTATTGTAGCACATTTTTAGACAACTTCTTTATTTTTAAGATTTTGATGGTCAAACATCAATAAAATATTCCTTATGTTTGGACTAAATTTTCTTGAAAATAAAGACATAATTTAAAATTCCGTTACAATACGGAAATAGATTGAAGTTTTGTGATTACAGTGATATATAATTTATATTGTTTCTGTTAATTGCTCCCTATTTTATGGCAAATGCTGAAGCTCTGCAAACCTTAATCAAGCCTTAATCAAAGCACGTGTGTTTGGAATTTTGGGTGTGGCTTAACACGACAGGATCGGGCTAAGCCTTATCCTAAGACTTATTAGGATTATTCAGTTTTACAACAATACTATAGTTTTGTCTACACTAAAAAAAATATAAGTTAGTTCTTTTTAAAATCCTATTTAAGATAAGTACCTATAAGTACTATAGTTTTATTTTTCTTAGAAACAAGAATATCTGAGTTGTGGAAAGAAGATGAAACTTCACAGCAATCAAGAAGCTACAAGGATTACTTAGACTACAACAATAATCATATGGAATTTCCCTCTAATGAAGGCGCCCTAATGACCATAGGCTTTCTGACGTTCTCAGTTTTCTTGATAAAGTTAGTTTTGGTAAGTTTTAAGACACATTTATACTAGTAGTGGGAACTATCGAATGAATAATATCGAAACATTCGATAGTGGCAATTCATTCGAATAATTCGATAGCTAGTAAGAAAACATTCGTTGAAAACTATTCGAAAAAAAAATTATCGAATAAATGCGTCATCTGCCTTGAAATATTGTATTTTAGTAATTCGGCAGCAAAAACCATTCGAAAAATGTGAAAATCTTTATCAATAAAAAAATTACACGATTGCTGAAAATTGCTATGCTCGGAATTGAGTGGGTGTTCGATAGTGGTCGCGCTATTAGAACTCTGAATTCAAAAATCGATATCTCGAAATCTATTACAAATAATAGATTGTAGTTTTTTCAAGAACTTTGTTAATATTTCTGCTGTATTTTCTTTGTAGACAGTATGTGAAAATCTTTATCAATACAAAAATTACACGATTGCTGAAAATTGCTATGCTCTAAAAGTAAATGGATGGATTGTTTACAACTTTTGAATGGAAAAAACAACCTTATCGAATTTTTCTTATGTAAACATATTGTAAAATATCGGATGTTGAAAATAAAAAAAGTTTCAATATCTAAAGTGGTTCTTGATTTATGGCCTGTTATGTGTTAAAAAGTAGAGTTTTTAAATTATCGCGATTACTGACGTTTTCTCGTTATAAAAAAAATGACACCCTAACGATATCCTTATAATTCCATTTCAGATGCTCAGAAACATGTCTACTGATTTTATCTAGTTATCTCTTGAAAAAAAAGTATTTTAAAAATAAGCGGTTTGCGATCGTGATTTTACTTTACTTGATAGGGAAAGGCGTATCGGCAACGCCGCAACAGCACACCGTCGCATTTCTCTCACTCTGACTTAATAAGATCCCTATGCGATTTACTTCCACACATGTAAATGCCGACCCAAAAGTAACAGTTACCAGCACGGTATGTAAGATAACACACTAGTACCATAAATAACTATAATCTTATTATACAGGTTGAGTCTTAAATAAGTACAAATATTTTAGGGGTAGTATATTTCGATCCCAGAAACACGTCTATGAGTTTTTTCGCGAAAAAAAAATTTGAAAATTTGGAATTTTTTGAAAACATTTTTGAAATGTCTCTTAATTTTTAATCAAAAAACATATAATATCCCCAAACAAAGTCGAATCGGGACTATGCGTTGATATAAAAAATAAATCATATTCTTACGCGAGGAATCTTCCCACAAGAGACTGCACATATTTTTTGAAACACCCTGTATACATAGTCGGGATATTTTCTTACTTAAAGTATCTTTTGATTTACAGAAATTGATCTACACGTTGAAATACAAGAACCAGTACCATTTCCCAATGGGTGGTACGACTCCAGCAAGTGTATTTTTAAAAAGGAATCAACGTCAAGTTAATCAAAATCAATTCGATCAATCTACTAGAATTTTGAATTATATTAAAGAACATCCATTAGTTTAAGAATGAATAGTCAAATGAATTTAAGTACTGTATGGTCGAAAAAAAAACGGCGTCACAGACAGCTTGGGAAGGACAATCGATGATAATTTTAGCGAGGTCCAGCCCTATGTCAAGACGTTTTTTTTTCTCGGTGTGGTATTTACGTTATGCTATTTTTATTCTGTCATTTTATTTATTTTTTTAAAATTATATTGTAGCTGAAAGGTGTATATTATGTTGGAGGCAGATACCGAATTCGACCTATGTCCGAAATAATTAGACATATATGGCGATTTGTCCATACTTGCCAGATGCGTGCAACTTCGTGGTTATAAATAGTCTTTACATAACTTCTTTGTGGAGGGGGTTAATATTTTTTTGGTATAATATAACAACAAAAGATTAACACCCTCCGCATATAAGTTGAAACAATTAGAAAGTTGAAACAATTATAATTAAAAGTAAGTTAGTGACTTTTGGCAGCAATGGGACGATATTTTTGTTGAATTTTTTACTAGAAAATAAAACAAGAACTTATTGAAAATAAATAATAGTTTTATTATTAAAAAATATAGGTATCTCTTTTTCGTATATTACAATTGGAATACTGTTTAGTTAAGTACACTTTGAACAATATCTAAAACAACGTTAACTTAAAATTAAATACTTATTTATAATATGTACAGGGGAGGTTTTCGTTTGAAGGTTGGCCATCTTGTCTCATAATCCTAGAACAAAATTTAATTTTTAATAATAATCAAGCAATACCCAGTGGCGTAGCTATCATAAGACAGTTACTAAAAAGTCAAAATAATTTAGCTATACAGGGTGTCAAAAAAACTTTTTGTTTTATTTTTTACTGTAGAATCACCCACAAGAGTTATTAGATACACTATTTTTTTGACAGCTTGTATATTGCTTAAAAAATCATCAAAATCGGCACACAAGAACAAAATATATTAAATTTTAAAATACATATCAAACATTTTAAGGTGCCCATTTTTCGTGCCAATAAATTACTTACCCATTGTTTCTTGTTGTATTTCAACTTTGTAGGTAGGGTTGTCGTAAGCCGATTGGCTTATCCTTGCAGATGGCGGCGTGATGGCTGCTTTGTTCTGGTTGTGCCGCCTCACCAAGATCAGCAACAAGATCAGAGTGCTGAGAATGGCTATGGCGGCCAATATGGCGACGATAACGAGCGGACCGTAGTAATCACTGCGCGCAGTGTCTACGAAGTCTGATCTCAGTTCTTTTTCTGAAAGAAATTTTTAGTTTTCTTTAGACAGTCACGACAGACATAGTCAATAATTTGCTGGCTGCTTGTGAGTGTGATTTGTCCCATACAGCACATCAAATCACATTTACGATGTGTTTACATTATTAGATGTAGATACAGGGTGACACAATTCCCCAGATGTAAATATGCTACGTTTACACATTGTAGTTCAACACGTATGCGCAAAGGTTAAACGTCCGCCTCACAATGTAGCCACAGTATAGCATTTACGTATACACAAAATAAGGGATACACAGTGTGCCGTAGGATACACAGTGCTCGTGTATTACGTTTAAACTCTGTTTACACATTGCAGTTGTGACTACCTCGTGTATACGTATGTATTTTGCTTCGTATATACATCTTGTGCTAGATAAAACTACTTCTTATGAACGAATTTAGGAAATAATACAAGTTTTGATGCCTCACTTTTCGTTCTTTTTAAGAAATATTTATTCAATGATACCAATTATATCTTTTCAGAATGAAAATTAGGAAGGCAAAACTTTGTATTTTCCAAAAGTATCTCGATTGTAAGTTCTAGAGAAGTAGCCTTAAAATTGTTCCATTTTTGTTTTGTATTAAATGTACCATTTTTCTTCCATAAAATGGACTAGGTGGTTAAAAAATAAAATTCTTATATTTCTTTATATCATGGAACGCAATAGCGCAAATAACACAATAATAATAATTATTTACACTGCAGAAATCAGAAGTAAGAAAACACTGTATAACAACATACTAAAATGGTAAACACTGGTATATCGCCACGATTTGGTGGACCTCGTTTAGTCATTTTTTTCTCCTCTTTTCCCTCCAAGCAGTTGGTTTGTTAGCATACTCATTCATCGAGCACTCTGTTGGACTTTGTTGTATTTTATTTCCAGATTAACAATCTCACCCTTAAATTTTATATGAAACTGATTATTGAATATTAAACATATCTGTATATTGATCCATCAATAACTTATCGAATATCAGTGTAAGAAGTTCTTTGAAGTGTTTAAATTTTTCTTTCTCTGGTCCATTTAGACTTTTATTATTTCCAAACTAAAAAAAATTATATTGCAGAGCTAACCTCTTTATCATTATACGAGAATATTTGGAGTTTTCATTCATTGGAATCAAAATTTGGTAAATTGGGTATCGAGCAAGGGAAGAGTTGCTGCTATAATATTAATAATACTTTTAGGAAGGTGTAACAAGGTAATTAAAAACTTGTGCTTACCTTAAAATTTCTTTTAAACTACACACAAACAGAACATTTATATAGAGCTTCCGAATGATAAAACAATAATGGCTGCTAACATATACCACTCCTAGAAAGGAGAAAGGAGAGAGAACACATAAGACACTTAGTCGGTGTGTCTACGCTGAGGCTATCCGCGCGTGCGCACACCTTCATTTCATGCTAGAATGTAGACACAATAGTACACTGTTACAAAGTGTCTATATAGATATTTATACTATGTGTATACGTCACATTTTTACAAGGTTTGTACTATAGGCACAACTATGATACGAAGTATCACACATACATATGACTTATACATTGTATGTCTCATATACCGACGTCACATTTCATCATTTTAATAATTATTTATTACGTTACAAAAAACTCTTTAGAATCTTGAGTGCATACGGTATACAACTAGTAAACACTGTATCACACAATTCTATCAATATAAACTTGCGTGTATCTCATATGTATATGTTAGAACTAGATGAACAGTTAGGTTCACTTTAACATATTTTGTTTCTCATGTGTCTCCCTTGTAGAAACGTAATTTCATTTGGACGTGCTGTATGTGGTGATTTGTAAAATTATTCAATTTCTTACCAACAGACGCACCCAAAGCAGGTGCAGCTCTGGGTTTGGTCACGAACTCTTGGACGTTACTCGTTTTTATCTTGCCATTGGTTAGGTAAACCTCCAACCAAAGCCTATATCTTGTTCCAGGTTTGAGATCAGTGATGATAGTCTTGGTAGGTGAATCTCTTTTGGCTATTTTGAAGGTGTTCTGGTCTTCTTTACCTGAATCACTTTGATAGATGGCCCTGGAAAAGAAAAATAAGTATAGCAATATAAGAAATGATATCTCACAGGAGGTGCGAGCAAAATAATCAAATATTATACCTGTAGATATTGACGTATTTATCTTCAGGATATGGCACTCCACTCCATGATATCTCTACACTGGTAGACTTAATCAGAGGGATCTCCAGTGCTACATTGAAACCATACGTATCCACTTCGTTTGCTGTAGTAAATTGTAGCATGTGCTCTGCCATTAGCTCTGTATGTTGACCTGATCAATAAAATATCAATATTATGAGTCTGATATATCTAATTGTTAGCGGGTTACCGTTTTACCATAGTTTAAGGAAAAGAGTAGTTGCACTCTCGCAAATATTTTCTGCCAGTTTTTGCAATCTGTCGAATATCGGTAGATTGCAAAGCGTTTCAGTTGAATTCCGTCCGTCGAGCTGCGAGGTTCGAGCGTTGAGTCCCAGCACAGAGACGGATTGACAAAAAATGAGTGCCTTACTGTGTGCTGCTATTAATTGTAGTAATAATTCAAAAAATTGTTCTTTGAGTTTTGATTTCCATCGGATGTAAATCGGCAAGCTGATATTAATTATCAATAAACATTTAATTATAATCGTATTTGTTTATTTTAGAAGCTGAGATATTATGTAGTTAATTAAATGTTATTGTTTTTTTTAGCATGTGGGCAGATTTTAAAAATATTTTTTTAGATATACAGGTTGTCTCAAATATGCGCATGAAAATATTTTTTTGGTCAGGTGATTTGCCATAAAATTTTCATTCCAATAATAATTTACGAGATAATTTATATAAATTGTTTTTTTGAAACAATTTTAGAGTAAATATTTTGTAAATTTAAAGCTAAATTATTCATATTTTTTAATTGAAAGAATTTTATAATAGCATAATCTCCTATAAATTTAGTGGACTGTATTTTTTTATGTTTTTTTTTATTTTTTCAAAGCCACCTAATATGATCTTTGTCTGATATTTTATCGTTGAAAATACCATATGTAATGAAATACAGGCAATATTTGCAAAACGGCTAAAAATTTAAGAACACTTTAAATACAAAAAATGTTCACCTTTTAATTCTACATCTGAAAGAATAATAATATACAAGGTGTTACATTTAATAAAAATGAGATACAACACTAAATTTTAAATATTACGATTTTGGTGACGCCATAAAAAATATCCTGTATACGATAAAGTAAATTTTTCTACACGAATTTATTATGGTATCCTTCATGTTTAAGAAAACATAGCTAAGTATTAATAAAGTTATATTCACTCTAGTTTTTTACCGCTTTTCGTATATAGATATAGATAATGTTTTTAACCAAAGTTATACTAAATAAGAAATAGAATGGCAACACCGCAGTGTGCTTTAAATAAAGACAGTGTACTATATGCAGAATTTTATGCCGAATCCAGTTATCTACAGAAAATTAAACTTGTTTTAAATCAAAAAAAAGTTGTAAAAAATCTCTGAAATAGATAATAATATAAAAATATGTCATTATATATTTTTTCCGCATTTCTTCCCATCAGAAGATTTTCAGATACAGAAGAATTGTTACCTACACGAAATGTGAAAATATTCTGTTTTCAAGCAAGTTTTTACTCGATGATCAATTTTTTTTTATTTTATTTTATTGTGAACTCATATCTTGTTTCCTAAATACATATCTGTGAAACTATGGCGAGTGCCACGACTATACTTTGCCTAGTTAATATACCACGATTATACAACTACGGCAGTGGTTACGGGAGGCGAGAACAAGGTCATATAAAGTGGCAGAAAAAGAACAAAGGATTTGACAAGGAGTAAAACTCCTAGTTTCCTTATACTATGGTTTTACTGTAAACTCAGAGCAATTTTATATATATTTTTTTAATTTTTAGATATTTATAAAAAAAATTGTTCACTTATAATACCGTACGATTGAAAAAATCGCTGTCAAAGAATGATCGCCGGCTAGGGAATGACAAAATCTGGGGGATGATAATTTTGCCGAGGTCAAGCCCTAGACGCCATTTAGTTGGCCCGCACTGTTTAAAATTCCAGAAAAAAATAAATTTTTGGAAAGAAATTTGTGTGTCTGGAAACTTTATACTCTCTCTTAATCTTTTTAGTGTTTATTTTTGACAAGTCTTATGTCAATTTTAACTAAATGACGTTTATAGAATGATCCCGCTAAATTTGCTTCGATTGTCATTTCCCAGCCGTCTTTGACGCCGTTTTTTTTTACCTGGGAATGGTATAAAGAAGATTCCAATCTCGTACTTGGTGTTGGGTTTCAAATTTTCCAAAGTGTACATTGTTACAGCCCTGTGTATCAAAGGTGTGGCTGTGTAAATCTTTCCTTCTGTCATTTTGTATCTCAGTTGTACGCCATCAATAAACTAAAAATAACAGTTCACACATAACAGTTTCCATTGAAAAATGTATCTACTAGAGTAGAAAATAGTGCAATAGTGCCTCTTTAGTGGTCAGTTTTGAGTCAATATTTTTTAATTCTCTTTCGTGTCGATTGCTGATTGAATAGGAGCCAGAAATGGCTCAAAACGAAATAAGTAAATTACCAACAGATATTCAGGCTGAGGCAACAAACGCCATATCCAAACTACTTCCATTTAAATTTTAAATCCCGAATAACTTATGAAAAGGAATACAAAAATTTTCAAAAATGAAAGCAATTAAAAAACGTGCGAGAAGAAATAAAGTTTTTAACCTATCCTCGCTGTTAAAGTATCATTTAATCTACCCTTGCGGTTAAAGTACTATTTTATCTACTATTTTTGATAGATATAAGGCAATTTTAACAGATGCTATGGAAAAAAGCTTATTTTTTACCTGTAACTCGTATTCAGTGAATTTCCTCCAAGAAATTGTGACCCAGGTGGAGTTAATGTCAGATATCTCCAGATCAGGCTCAATAGGAATTTGAGGAGGCAGAGTAGTTTGGACTTCTTTGGGAGTTCTGATCTTGTAGATTCTTGATGATGGCGTATTGTGTAGATCTCTGAAATTATATAGATCAAAATTAACTTTTTTTTTTATTTTTGTCCTAAAGTATCAGTGGAAAAATATCAATAAGGCAGGAAAGAACATAGGCTTCAGTTGTCATCTTCATAGACATCCAAGAAGCACTTAAAGTACTCGGTGTCACAGAAGTCAATTCTAGACCAGTATAAGAATTGTGTCGGTGCTCTAAGTACATGAAATAGGAATGTTAGGCTAGCCGGGGCACCGACATGATGTAGAATGTAGTATGTTTAGGAGGGGAGTTAATCACCGCGATCTTATAGATCTATTGTGTGTTCCCCTTTCTTGAATTATAACGAGTTATAACTCATCATACAGTCTTAGGGCTTTAGACAAAGCCAGTAATAACTGGCATGGCTCCACAGAGGCCAGCTCTCCATCCTCGACATCAGCCATACCAAAGTTCATGGCACGAATGGTCGTCGTCTCGGCGCACTCAGTGATAAGGTGTTCTGGTGTTTCCCCATTTTCCCCACAGAATCTGCATTCGCCGTTGTTTCTCAGCTTCAGCCTACTGAGGTGTTCGTTGAGGAGACAGATTAGGCTGTTAGAAACCCCGTGACAATCCGAAGATTGTTTTTACTTAAATCAAGGAAAACCTTTGATTTTTCTCGGTCGTAAGTTCTGAGGAACTTTTTCGAGCGTCTTAGACCGTTGGAGGACACCCATTCCAAGTTACGGATGGAGTCTCCCATATTCTTCAGTTCCGCTTTCAGTTGGTTCCCGTTTGGAAAACAGACCGTTTCTGGTCCAGTTGGAGTGTTCGCTCCTTTCCTAGTTAGATCATTTGCTTTTTCATTGCCATCTATCATCCCTTGGTGAGCAGGCACCTAGAGTAGGAGGACTTTATTTTCTTTGCCTAATTTGTTGAGCTTCTCTAGGCATTCTTTGACCAACTTCGAACTGATGGTTACTGAGTTGATCGCGTTAAGTGCTGCTTGACTATCGGATAGGATGGCAATTTTCGACCGGCATGATGCTCATACCGATAACGAAAAAGCAGATGAAATGGTCAAACAAGGCCCAGGATCATAGGCTTAGAACTTTTTGGCGGCGCTGCAAAAGCAGCTTCAAGAATGATCAAAGCACCTTCAAGAATGAACAAATTTCTAGAATTGTGGAGAAGTTCACCAGGGATAGACAGGCGAACAAATTCGTAGTAGAACATTCGCCAAAATTTACGGCCGATATGCAAATACAGAAAGATTCTTAAAAATGTGGTGTGTCTAGAAATAGGCTTAATCTAAATGCGCAGATTTTGTCAATTTGAAGAAGAATACGCTTTATTTCTATGTGTAGATCAGAAGAGATCAAAATAGGTCGTAGTGGAACAGAAGAAATAGATATTTTATATAATTAATATATTAATATTATATTATTTATATAAAATATAGATATTTATATACAGGGTGGTGCGAACTGTATTCCGGAAACTTGGGCAGCATATTCTGCAGGTAAAAATAAGTAAAAAAGTTTGTATAAATGTATGTTAAATTGCTTAGTTTCGGAGATACAGGGTGTAAAGTTTCATATTTATTTTGATTTTTTTCCAAATAATTTCTGAAGTAACGTCAATATTTGGATGAAAATTGGTGTCTGCGATAGTTTTTTGACATGAGAAATTTGATTTTGATGTCAATATGACTCCTATTTGTAGGGGGCGCCAACTACATGTATTTTAACTGTTTTGAAGTGTAAGAAATTCGGTGATTTTTTACGTAAAAATGTCTTTTGATAAAAATCACTACCAGCAACCGTTCTTAAGATATTGAGAATGAAAATAGTCAATACATGTCATTATTGACAAAAAAACATGTTGAGTAGATAGTTATGTGACTATAATAATAAATTTGGGAACTTTTTATTTTTTTAAATTAATCATAAATTTTTCTTCGCAAAAATTATGATAAAACAGTTTCTGTTGTACTTTTGGCACAAAATCATTTCAAATTTATGATTGCAGTTTAATAACTATTTAGTCAACATGTTTAATTTATGTCAATGATGACAGGTGTTAATAATTTCGATTCCAAATATATCGAGAACCATTACTCGTAGCCATTTCTACCAAGAGACCTTTTACGTAAAAAACACGTCGTAAATGTATTTTTTTTACTCAGTAGTTTTATACAGGTACGGACGAAAAGTTATTACACTTCAAACCAGTTAAAAAATATATATTTGAGACCCTCTACAAGTTGGAGTCATATTGACAACAAAATCAAATTCCTCATGTCAAAAACCTCCCAAACACTAATTCTTATCCAAATATTGACGAAAAATCGAAATAAAAATAAAACTTCTACACCCTGTATCTCCGAAACTATAAGCATTTTAGGGCATACATTTATACGAACTTTTTTATTCATTTTTATCTGCAGAATATGTTGCCGAAGTTTCCGGAATACAGTTCGGACCACCCTGTACACCTGAGCCTGGAGTACCAGGGCAAGATTGTTACAAAGGTAACGAAAATAAATAATATAACAATAATCTAGGTAGCAGATTAATTTTAGAGGAACAAAACCAAAAAAAATAGTGGTTCTGAAAAATGTTTAAGCAAAAATATATATTTTTTAATTTTCAAAATAAAAAACTAAGCAATTTTTGACTTATTATAGAGATCTGTCAGTACATACTTCGAAAATGTGTGCACTTATTTACACTCACCCTGTTTAATTTGACTTATAAATATTGAGGATACTTGCCTTAGAGTGATCGTGATCTTTATCTTATATTCTTTATCCGGTAAAAGATCCAGGAGATCGAATTCTAAAGATGGAGTAGCGATGAGATCATTTGGAGGAGCAAAAACTTGCAGCTCCCAGCTGCTCACGTCGTCATTACTGAAAAAAATATTAATAGACTCACACAAAACTATCTTTAAAAGTAAAACTTACTCTTTGTGAGTGTAGCGCACTTCAACCCTTCCATGTAGGCCTACAATGACAGGAGGTACCATGAAAGCCAGTCTAATTGTGTGTGGATCCACTGCTTCCAAAGAATGGACAGTGATGTCGTCGTGGGGTTGGTTCAAACCGTAGTCATCTGGATAATGGTTGTTGAAGGTTTCTGTGTATATATAATCAAAATTAAATGTTTATTTTCGAAAAAGAAAAACATCAACAATTATTGAGATGTTTTTAAAAACATGTAAAAAATAAAATTTAGATTTTTCAAAATAAGTTAGTCAGTACGTTCAGAAAGTTTAAGACAGATTACCATGGTAATAACGAGGTATTTAATCTAGTATTCATCTATAGTCTATCCAACGAGATGATCCATTATAGTGAGAGTTTTATCTGTCATTTTAATTCAAAGGCAAATTGTATTTTCTCCCATTTTTGAATATGGTTTGTCGAAATATATCCTGATTCGCTGGACAGATTATACCTACTACTGATGTTGTTTTAACAAGTTTAAGTAATTGTTTTTGAAAAAGTAATTCATACCTGAGAGAAATATTAGTTTTTTTTATCTTTATATCGAAGTGGGCCTTGATTTTGTGTTGGCCTATTTGCCTAACTATTTTTTATCACAATTTAATATTTTGTATTATTATTTATCTCCATAATTAACTACTTTTGAGAAGGTAAATTAACATTCTATATTAGATTTAGTAATTACAATTGAAATCTATACAATAACAAAGAACAAAACTAAAAAGTATTTTTTTAGTGACGAATATAGTTTTTTTTTTCTAAAAAAAGTCATTGAAATCGTCAAGAGTTACAACGATTTATTAACGCGCGTCCAGTGTAAAAGTAAGTATAGAAAAAAACTGACTACGCCACTGGATCGTGCATAAAAAAGTGTCTTAAGAACGTTTTTACAGAATTTTATTATTCCGCGAAATACCAAAGTTATGGGCAATTTTCCAAATGGTAAGAAATTCAAAAATACCCCATATCTCAGTTGGTAGTGAAAATATCAACAGGCGGTTTACGCCATTAAAAACCAGTTAAAACAGAGACCAATTTCGACCACCCTGTACGGTTGTATGTATCAAAATTATTAATTCACCAATCCAAGTATAGTTTACTAGTTTACCTTGAGGTCTAACTTTAGTAGTCTTGTTCGTATTTTTACTGCCACTGGTGTCCAAATCTGGTCCCGAATGAGGATGAGAATGTGTATACGAGGGAGGCAAAGAATTTTGTCTGTAAGGATTGATGTTTTTATGGAGTTCCTCCAATATTTCTTCAAGAGATATGTCAGTAGGAACGGCATGAGGGTGATTATGACTTATCGGAGTTGTTTGCAAAGGACTTATAACATCGTTCACATTTATAAATGGATTTTTTGGATGGTCCTGAGGTAAAGAATGAATCTCCACGACAGAACCGTGAGGAAGATTGGATATTTCTGGATGCTCTTGAAGAAAGTGTAACAAATCTGGATCATTTACCTCCATCTGGTGAGGAGGGACAGGAAGATTATTTTGGTTTGGTATAATTGGAACAATAGGTTGATGTGGACGAACAAAGACTTGGTTTTTATTGACTGGTGGAAATTTGGGTTTCTCACGGAATTTGTAGAATGGATTTTCGTGTTGATCTATCACGTTAACCGAGGAATTTTCCTGGTTAGCATATACACTGAGAGGACCAAGAATTTTATTTGGAGTTTTGTCAGCAAATATGTTTTTGTTCGGCTTTGGTATATTATTATTTGTTCTTGTTTGGTTCTGTCGGGTTTTGTCAGTATCAGGTCGTCCAGTTGTGGCTAAAAGAGAATACATTTATATATTTTTTATTTAGATATACCGTGTGATTTAATAACATTGTCTCAGTAGTCCCAAAAATATCACTTTGGATTAAGCTGAGTAGTATTACTCACAGAAATTTCTCAAAATGAAATACATAATATTTGAACACCTACTATGACGTAGTTTTTATTCGATCACACGGTATATGTTTTTTGTGTAATAAAAAAGTAAAAAGTTGAATCCCAATGAACTGGTTACCAAAAGTATATGATCGAAAAAAAAAATCGTCGTCAGAGTTGGCTTGGAGATGCAGCGTCATTTTATATGGTGAAATTTGACGACAAACCAACTTGACGCCGTTTTTTTTTTCAAATATATAGTGTATAAAATGTAAATATCTATTACCTTGATTTTTGGGATCGGGACATACCCAATACATGCAGCAATCGTCATCAGGGATGTGTTGAAGGGATGCCTCCCTTGATGAACAGGCTAAGTTAGGTGGTGGCAGGGCTGTGACAGGAGGACATGTAGGTTGACATTCTACATTACCCATTTCGCAGTAACACCTAGAAATGAAATTATGTCTAATGATAATAAACAAAAAAATAATAAAATAAATTCTCACACAAAAAAAAATACTCAAAAAATAAAACTAACATAATGATAAAACAGAAATATACTAAGAAACTGATTATCTAAAAAAAGAAATTTTGTCTTATAATAAAGAACTAAAAAAACTAAAAGAAATTCATAAAGAAATACTGGCCAGAAGAAATAAAATTCGCTTTAATAAATAAGACAAGAAAATAAAATAAAACTGACGTAATGAAAAATCAAAAGTATAATAAGAGATAGATATATTTTTATAATTATTAAAACATAAGATTAACAAAAAAATATAATTTTTCTAAGATAACGAATAAAAAAAAATAATTTCTCACTAAAAAAAGCCAAAAGAAATAAGATAGGTTTTACTAAATACGAGAAGAAAACAAAAACAAACTAACGTCACGAAAAACCAGTAAAATAACAGAATATTTTTAAAATTAATAAAATAGGGGAACAGAAAAATAATAAGATTATTATAATTATTAGTAAATAAGATTAAAAAAAGTGATTAGGAAATTATGTTTAATGATAAGATGATAATGAACAGAAAATATTTTCACTAAAATAAATGGTCAAAAGAAATGAAATAGGCTTTAATAAATAAGAAAATAAAATTAAACTAACGTGGAACAAAATAACGAAACAATAATAAAACGTGACAATATAACGAAAGACCAGAAAATAATAACAATTAAACATTTTTATAATTAATAAATAAGATTAAGGAAAATTAAATTATGTCTAATGATAAACAACAAAAAAAAATAAAATAGGCTTTAATAAATAAAAGGAGAAAATAAAATAAAACTAACGTATAACGAAAAACCAGAAAAATAATAGGATAATATTTTTATAATTAATAAAAAGCTTAAAAAATTAAATTATGTCTAATGATTGACGATGAACAAAAAAAATATTAAAAACAAAGACCAAAAGAAATGAAATAAGCTTTACAAAAAAAATAAATTAGACAAACAAACAGAAGAAAATTATTTTTATAATTAATAAAATAGGGGAAGATCGCTTCACCCGAACCAGGCAGCGAGAAAGTAAGCTGCCAGTCCAATGGGACGACCTGTTCCCCTTCAAAAATTCGGGCTAGGTTAGCTAGCATGTAAGCCAAGCATTACCAGGGCTCTTATATTTTCCTTACTCATAAGTTTAAGGCACGAATTCCGAAATCTTCAAATTTATCATAACTTTTAGCGTTTCAGTATAAATATTCATAGTTGTAGATCATACTGACATCTCTCGGTATAGTTGGATAATTAGGTGACGTTTGGCGGGAAAGAAAAATGTAATACACCGTCTGTGGCGACATCTATTTAAAGTTTCAGTAGTTAAAAGAGATTATGCTGCCCTCTGTTATCGATAGTCGAAAGTAGGTTAGTTTAAATGCTTGTAGTTGTAGAAAGATGTATTCTCTGAAATTGGGCGGGGCTTAAAAATACATCAAAGTATACCAGGGCGCTTCAAAAATTAATTTTACTTTTTGTAATTTAAAATTATAGTAAATTATGATATAAATTTTTAATAACAGAAAAATAAAATTTATTATTTTATTAAAACATTAATGAGCTAGAGTAAAAATAATAAGAAATATACAGGGCAATAAGATATTACAAAAATTAAAAGAATGCAAAAAATTAATATGTACCTACCGTTTTTCACATCCTGTGACATTTATAGGCAATTGTTCCCAGTTCTTGTATAATTTGTCTTCGTGTAAGCAGGATCCGTTGTTTTTACACCTGATTTGCTCTGGACAGCAATTTGGAGCAGATGGTTGGAAATTTGGCGGTACTGTCTCCCATTCAATACATCCAGGATCTACAAGCATTTTAATATTAAATAAAACATCAATGCTACACAAAAAGAAGACGGGCTATGGTCTAAGTTGCGACGGTCTATACAGGGCGAGCCTTAAATAAATAGTCTAAGAAAGTCTTCCAAAATAATATTTTGAAAATATGGCAACATAGGTAGTAGATTAAATTTACAAGCAAGAAAACCCAGAAAAAATCCAGTGGTTCTCAAAATTTAAGCAAACATTTTTTTTATTTTTAAAGTAAAATAACTCGGTTGTTTTGGACTTATTTGAAAAAACGGTAAAGAGAAAATATGTTTCTTTTATCGAGGTCTACCAGCCCTAAAAATATTTGCACTTATTTAAGACTCACCCTGTACAATTTAGCCATGGCAACAAAAAATTGAAAAGTTATCATAAAACACATCATTCTCCTCAGCAAAATATGCAAATTTTGTCAATAATAATTATATTGTTAATACCGTATTTTTAATTTAATTAAAAATGCTAAAATTAAATGCTATTTCTTGCGGAATTTGTCATATTCTAATAAAGATTTTATTGCTGTCTTTTATTTTTTTCCCTTTTTATTACTAAGTAAATCATTAAAATGTAATAATAGGCGGTTGAAGCGTAGTACTAGCCACATTACCTTCCTTGTATACCGAACGGCTCTAGTATGGCAAGCTGTACCTTGCTACTCCCAAGGCGTTAAACGCTATATACGGGAGCTATTATTATATTAAATCATTAAAACAAGTATTACATCCATTAAAATGTAAACGCTTTTAAGATAATGCATATAAAGATGCAAATTAACTTAATGCAATGACTATAAATATTCTGGATATATAGCACCAATCTTTTGATAAAATGTAATTATATGACCTACTTTAATGCATTAATAAAAATATTTATATTATTTTGTATCTATTTTAATTAAAATAAGTATGAGAATAATGCTTTACTTAGCGTTTTTTTTTCACAATAAGTATATCCAAAAATATAAATAGTGGGGTGCCCAGAGACTTTTACCTCGGAATTCAACTACTGTGAATGTATTAATATGAAGCCTTCTGTATTGTGTTTTATAGATAAAATACACTAAAATGTTTACCCATATTTTTTCGTTGCTTTTAATTTTTTTTTAGTAAATTCTTAGTTATTTTCTTCTCAATTTTTATATATTTTTTAATTGTTTTTCTAAGTAAATTTATTGAAATAAATGAATCTAACGTATAAGCTATACATATTATTAGCTATATATTTTTTTTCGTAATTTTTACAACAGATCGAGTAAGTTCTGCTTCATTTAGTCTTCTTCAATTCATTATAAATTTGAAAACCTGGCAAACGGCGGTTTCTTAGCGATAAACTTATAATAAATCGATCGTCTCGATTAGAAGTTCTCATACGAAGGTTCCTGGACATCTAGATTGACATCCTCAGGGACGTGGTCATAATTCAAAAACCACTCAGTATACTCTATGGTATTAAGGTATTTTTGGAATCGGAATTGTATAGCAAATTCACTGCACAAATATAAAGCAGTTCGTTTGAAAAACTAAATCTTATGTTTAAAAATATATTTGACTCACCTTTTATATCTATAAAAATATTTGTGAAATGTGAACTACCATTAAACACATATTTTGTAAAAGGTTTGGAGTGAAAATCTCAAATAGGAATCCTGATACAGAGCTTTTTCGGAACACGGAGCCATCTTGTATGCATTTGTATATATATGTGTGTTTATTTAAATACTAAAGTGAAAGCAACGAATTTAAATGGGTAAACTTTGTAATATATTATATTAACAATACAATGCAAAAAGTTTTATAAAAATTCGTTCACAGTAAATGAATTCCGAGGTTTGTATCCCCTAAAGGCTTAAGGTACTCCACTAAAAAGTTATAGCCATTTTAATATCTAAGTACAAAACAACTCACCCAACACATCCACGCCAAAATAAGTTGGACACTCCAGTTTCAAACAGTTCATTTCACCATCACGACACATACACAACGATTCACAATTGTCATTGTACGTTTCTTGGTCAGCAAATTTCTTCCCCTTGTAAGTACAACCTTTTGTACTTTTATTTGGTACCACTGTTGTAGTTGTCGATGTCGTTGATGATATTGTCGTTATCATCGAATGCTCGTCCTTTTTTGTTGTAGATTCAGTTGTTAATGAATTGCTTTCAGTACTGTTATCTGTTTGTCTCTTGACTAGGACTATGTCGTCAGAGTTTTCCAATCTGATGTACTTGTAGTGTTCTTTGACGTATAGTCTACCTTCAGGGAAGAGCTGGTAGTATTCCCACGATTCCTTGTTATTGCTAACCTCTGAAAAAATAAATAAAAGCAATGTTATGATCAAACTAGAATATCAATTATAAAGAAGTCCAAGAAACATATTATTATCTCTCTGATAAAAACGCAGTTGCAACAAGAGCATCAAAATAAATAAATGTAAATATAATATGAATAGGAGATAATAGTCACATCTAAGAACACGCCCTGTATAGACTGACTAATTTTTATCACCGTTAATAAAATTAAAATAAAATTGATAAATTATTTATTTAATCTATTTTATTATTAAATTTTATTAATGTTTGTTCTGATATCCAGTGATAACTACAGAAAATTCCAAAAAAAAATAATGGTACATGAGATAATTAGAAAAAAACTATTTTTAAAAAGTTTTAACATCCTGTAACTTTAACACTATGCATTTTTGCACCTATGCTTATAGGAACTTTTTTTCATATTTTTAAGAGTAATCATTGAGTAAAACTTTCGCAAGTTAATGATATTATTTTTTTTAAAGGTTGCTATTATTAGACTTGAATTAAGACAAATTAATAAAATTGCGTTTATCTCATCAAGGAGACTGAAATCGACAAAATATCAAGAGACAACTTTTAATCGGCATAAACTGCTTACACTATTTCACTAACTGGAAAAAAAAAGTCAGTGGCGTACATGCTTTTTTAGAAAAATATTGCAGTGATAACCAATATGCACGTCCCTGGTTAATATGTCGATACTTTTTTAGCATTAAAATTTAATCGCCATAAACTGCTTACACTATTTCACTAACTGGAAAAAAAAGTCAGTGGCGTACATGCTTTTTTAGAAAAATATTGCAGTGATAACCAATATGCACGTCCCTGGTTAATATGTCGATACTTTTTTAGCATTAAAATATGTCGCATTTTTACCCTCGAAATTTCATTCGAATCGCTAAAAGCACTTGAAAGAAAATTATAATAAATCGAAAAAAGCAGAATCAGATCTAGTATGTTGATATAAAAATAATTCTTATTTTTACATAAGAAATCTCCCCACGAGAGATGGCACATGATTTTCGAAACACTCTGTATAAGAATTTACACACTGACTTTTTTTAGACAGTTATTTTTTTCTTTTGTAATTAAAAGTCTGTCAAATGACTCAGGGAAAATTTGGACAGACGACATCCAAAATATGACAGACAATATAATTTACCTCTGTTAATTAAAATAACAGCAGCAACTGTCACTCTCACGTATTCTTTCTTTGGACAGACTATACAAGGATTCATTTACAGTAACTTTCTTTATTAACCTCGAGTAGCTAAATTATTCTTACTCTAGATTTTGCTGACAGTTATTATCAATTTATAATCATAACAAGCGTTTAAGCTAATTGATATAAACATTTTGTTTTAATAAAAAAACTGATAAAAAAGTATGGTAATGTTAATTTCACATGTAATTTACTTTTAATTAAGCTTTAAGCATCTGCTGAAATAGATTAGAAAATTAAATAACGACTAACACTCTAGATTTAATTTAATATACTGTTTTTTTAGATAAAATAGATGTTTACGTTATAAGTGATTAATAGTTATTTTTTATACAAGACGATAAAATGGTATTTTGTCGTCGACCGAAAAGATTTAAATTTAATAATTAATTAATTTCGGGAGACGATAATGCAATTTTATCGTCGTGTATAAAACAATATTTTTCCATAGCGAGTTACGTTTTAAAAAATATTCAGAAACTATTATTTCAAGGAATTTATTACGAGTAGAAAAAATATTGTGCTGGGTTGGCTTTGGTTTCTATGTAATTTGACAAATAAATGAAGCTGTCTCTTTAGTTGTCAGTTTTGAGTCAATATTTTTTGATTCTCTTTCGTGTCCATTGTTGTGAATTGGAGCCAGAAATGGGTCAAAATGAAATAAGTAAATTACCAACTGATATTCGGGCTGAGGCGACAAACGCCATATCCAAACTACTTCCATTTAAATCCTGAATAACTTATGAAAAGGAATACAAAAATGTTCAAAAATGGAGGCAATTATAAAAAGGTGCATGAAGAAATAAAGTTTCTAACCTATCCTCGCTGTTAAAGTATCATTTAATCTACCCTTGCGGTTAAAGTACTATTTTATCTATTATTTTTGATAGATATAAGTCAATTTTAACAGTTGATATGAAAAACCTTTCTTACCTACAACAGGGAGATTGGAGTTGTCCTGATACTTGGGCTCGACGTCCAGGAAAATCACAGTATTATTCAGCTGTCTAGCGTCAGTTATCTTATGATGATCTCCAGCGACGATTTCATCCTTTTCCTGATCTTGATGATCATCCAGGGTGACGTCACAAAGTACTTTTTTACAGCAGGGATCCTGAGAATCGGGAATTTCCACACAGCTTTCTGAAGTTTTGTGAGTTACAGGACACCTGAAATAGACAACAGATTTTGTTTAGACTATACAGGGTGGTCGGAACTGTATTCTGGAAACTTCGGCTGCATATTCCGCATATAAAAATAAGTAAAAGTATGTATGTAACATCAATATTTGGAACAGTTTCTGTTGAAACAGTTTCTGTTGAAACAGTTTCTGTTGAACTTGTGGTACAAAAAAAAACTCAAATTTATTATTTCAGTATAATATAACTATAATAACTATTTAGTTAACACATTTAATTCATGTCAATGATGACAGGTATTGATAATTTGGATTCCAAATATCTCGAGAACCATTACTCGTAGCGATTTTTACCGAGAGATTTTTTACGTAAAAAACGTCGTAAATGTATATTTTTTTACTCTGTAGTTTTGTACAGGTACGAACGAAAAGTTATTACTCTTCAAACCAGTTAAAAAATATGTAGGTGGCGCACTTTACAAGTAGGAGTCATACTGACATCAAAATCAAATTTTTCATGCAAAAAAACTCCCAGACACCAATTTTCATCCATATATAGACGTTACTTCAGAAATTATTTTGAAAAAATCGAAATGAAAAGGAAACTCCTGCACCCTGTATCCCCGAAACTAAGCTTTTTTTAGTTATTTTTATCTGTAGAATATGTCGCCGAAGTTTTCAGTTCGGACCACCCTGTATATTTCTATAAATAGGATATACCTATATAGATAGGATTTGATTTTTATACAAAACTGTATTTACTGTATTTTTTTTTAATAAAACTAAAAAATAAAATCAAGAATGGCTGTACCGATTTTAATGATCAAATATGTAAATTTACAGAAACAGTGTAAATTTACGGAAAAAGTTTAAATTAACGGATAAAACAAAAATTTGCAGAAAAAGTGTAAATTTACAAAAAAAGTGCAAATTAACAAAAATGTGTAAATTTACAGAAAAAGTGTAAATTTTCATGAAAAGTGTAAATTTACGGAAAAAGTGTAAATTTACAGAAAAAGTGTAAATGTACAAAAAAAAGTGGTGAATTACAAAAATGTGTAAAAAGTGCAAATTTACAAAAATAAGTGTAAAATTACAGAAAAAGTGTAAATTTACTTAAAAAGTGTAAATTTACAGAGAAAGTGTAAAATTATAAATTAAACTGAAAATATTTTGCGAAGTTGGCATGGCAGCTCTACGCTTTCGTACCATCCACCAAAAGGTATCAACTCATCTAGGAAAATTCCCGCTTGCAATGCAAATAAAACAACCAAAACCAAAACCGATCAGTCTAATTTAAATACCGGTCTAGCTTTATTAAAAGCGTCTCAGCTTTCTCTCCCATGCATAAAAACGATCTCTTAAATAGGCAAATTAGCCATAAATTAACACCGACACGTTCTCTAGCCACTGAAAACTACTCCGACCGTAAACGAATCGTTCATTATTTGCTTTAGTTACTTTGCTTGATTTGATTTTCGATTGCCAGCAATCAAACTAGCTCCGCTTTGGTTGTAACATTTTTGGAAACAGTAGCGGCTCGTTTTTGAGGATGAGAGGTACAATTTTTAGCCGAGCATACCAATAGGTATGGTAGGCTATTAAGATTGGCAAAAAAAGTTTTTTTAATTTCACGCAAAATGAGTTATTTGGGTCATAAATGACATAAATACAAAATATTTTCATAGTGTCTGTCTGTCTGTCTGTCCGTCTGTAACACGATAACTCAAAAACCGCTTTTTTTTAAATTTAATTTTCCTGAAATGTTTAAATTTTAGGAAAGCGTTTATAAGCTCAAGAAATTGGTCAGCAATTTGCAAATAATAATGAGTTTATCACTGAAAAGCACTCTTATTTATTCAGATGATACGCCTCGTAACAACAGCCGCTACTGTTTAATTACTTTTCATTCAATATCTACGCAAAATTCTCAATATCCGTTCGGCAAATATCGCAATTTGTTTTTAATTCTCGTGCGACTTTCTACCCACTCTCGCTTTTTTTCTCTGACGCTCTTGAGTGAAATGCAATTCAAGAACGTTTTGCGCAAAATGTTTGTCAGAATAACGGCGGTTTCCTAGATGTGTAATATCCCAAAGCCTTAAAGAGAGCTTGAGGAACTCCCACCTGCTAAATATATTACTCCTACAAGTTGTACCATATGTGTATGTTTTACAGCAAAATGGGCGCTTTCAAAGTTAAAATATAAAATTTTGTACAGGGTTGTTCACCACATACGACACGGAGTATTGTAGCTAAACGATTAGATTTTTACAAATTGTAAGTTTTGGGTTCGTCAAAGGACTATTAGAGCTACAATTTAAAAATACTTTTACAAGATACAGAGTGTCCCAAATAAGTAAAAAATATTATAGTTGTATTTTTTTAAATATAACACCCTGTATATTATTCTATTTTTGGATTCTACGATTGAAATAAAGGTAAATTTGATTAAGGTTTATTACACTTAAACCTTACCGGTTTTGAAATATTTTCAATTTAATGAAATTGCAGTAAAAAATATAAGGCTTTATTTCTCCAAGGGTATCAAAGTTTTTAATACTAAATATTTACTGAAGGTTATTTATTGATCAGATATTGTGTTGCAATAAAAAAAATTTTACTACCTTATACAGAGTGTCCAAAAATTTATATTAAATAATTACTAGCTTAGCGTCTGGAGCGAAGTAGGTCGCCGCCGAGGCCGAGCGTCTATGCCCAGTTACAGCAGTTACTTCTGTTCGCGACAGGGAACTAAAACTCTAGGAGCGCGACGGCTGGAGCGAACACGTCCCGATCGAGATCGCGCGGCACTACGGACATACCAGTTCCAGATACTACTGTTGGCGACCGACGAAATCGCGACGGCTGGAGCTAAACACGTCGCTATGAGGCTTACTACGGTTCGAGCTAACTTCAAGTACGATTATAAATAATTTATTTGCAAATTATATATAATTTATAATTTTGTCGTCATTATGATCGTTGTTCTTCAGTAACAGGTTCCTGATTCGTTGTGGAGTGCGACACGACGTTACAAAAAAATACCGCTCCAAAATCGCGTTACTCAAATACCGACACATCACTACTATAAAAAAAAAAGAAAGTAAGTGTAGTGAGTGTAGTAGTAATCTACTTTAAAATTTTCAAGCAATTTGTAGCTACTTTATCTGACTTTTTAGTATCTCTTTCTAAATTAAAAATGAAAGTTTCCATCTGTCAATTGTACGAGGGAAAACAAAATGTTGATATATTGGAGGAAGTTTGAAACACCCTGTGGAATATGTTAACAAAGCAAGGAATTTAAAAATTATTTTATCATCTAGGTACGTCCTTTCTCGATAGTTTGTTTTTTGATTCATCTCAATAGGTTTAGTTTTATTGGAGATATTCGCTTTTGATTAAGACCGTAAAGATTTAGAGCTTTTTTAGCATTGACTTTCGATCCTCATCAACACAATTATAAAATAGTGTTTATTGTTTTTGTAATGTCACTGTCATTAAAAAATCATATTATTATTCTTTATTGACGTTTACTCGTAGTTGAGATGGTTTTAAGTTCTGAAGAATCGGCTATATTGCTGCTTTAATTGATCATGGTAGAGATCAACTTTTGGACTTAAAACCATACCTGCTAGAGTAATTGCCCAACAGATAATAATATATGATTTTTTCAAAGACAGTGACATTATACCGGGTGTTGCATCGTCGAGCGCGACATAGGAAATCCCATGTAAATTTTAATGGGGTCAATTATTGGCTTCCCTAATTATTTTAGAGAATAATTCTATTTAGGTTTATTGAAGAGCACTAAAACCCGCATTCAAAAGAATAACTTTAGATATTTTTGATTAGCCCGTTTACCAATTATCGTCGATTTCTTTTTAAATATTTCTCCTTTCTTATGGCCCTGCATTTACCTACTTATGAGCACCAGTCAAGGTAAAAGATAACTGTCAAATGAAGTTGTCATTTCAGAAATTTATCTATTTAGTGCTTTATTATTATTATTAAAAACTTATACCTACATCGAAAATATTAGCAATGAATTACACTACCGAAGAAAAAGTATTGATGATTAAATGGTATTATCAAGGAAATAGTTATCAAAAGGTGTCGGACATGTTTGCTGCTCTGTATCCGAATAGACCGATACCTGGAAAATCTACAATCGCAAGGAATATCCAGAGATTTGAGACCAAAGGTACCCTAATAAATTACTGCATATGTGAAGCAAGGCAGGAACAAAGAGAAGATGCAAGAAATGATACAGGCTTGGAAGTTTTATTGTGCGTGGAAGAGAACGATGGAAAGATCAGCACAAAGAAACTTGAGGATGAAAAAGGAATAGATCACACTACAGCGTTTCGAATTTTGAAACGACATAAATACTATTCGTTCAAATATGAAAAGCACCAAGAGCTACGAGATGGGGACGAAATACGGCGGCAGGCGTTTTGTTTTGATATGATGGAAAGAGCAAACAGGGATAGGGAATTTTTAAAAAATATGTTTCACTGACGATTGCACGTTTACCTTAAATAATGAATCCAAAATTATCGATATTGGAACAAAGAAAACCAACACAGGTTTGTCGAAACAAGGACGCAATATCCACAGAAAGTAAATGTTTGGGCAGGGATACTCGGACACAATATAATCGGGCCATTATTTCTTACGCGAAATTTAAATGCAGAATATTATTTGGAACTACTCGAAAATCATATTTTACCTGCTTTACATGATGCCGCTAGGGAAAATCAGGATGTTTGGTACCAAATGGATGGCAATAGTTTTAACGGAAACGTTATTGGCCTAAATCATACAGCCAGTAAGGTCTCCTGATATTTCGCCAAATGATTTCTTTCTCTGGGGCCATTTAAAAAACAGGATATACAAGGATAAAAAATACCCAAATCTAGACGAGTTAAAAAATGCTATTTCTGCCGAATGCAATAGAATTTCAGTTAACCAACTAGCGAATGTAAGAAGAGAATTTTATGATCGCCTGGGTTATTGTCTAGTAGTCGATGGAGGAATATTTGAACATCTTCTTAAATCCTAAAGTTCTAACAATTTAATAGTACCTAAATTAATAAGTTATTGAATATTGTAATAATACTATAATTAACCTTTTAATTGATTACTTCATTTTACTTTAATTCATGTTAATTTGTATTTATAAATACATCTTCAAGATTTCCGATGTAGGAATGAATTTTCAATAATAATAAAGCACTAAATAGGTAAATTTCTGAAATGACAACTTCATTTGACAGTTATCTTTTACCTTGACTGGTGCTCATAAGTAAATACAGGGCCATAAAAAAGGAGAAATATTTAAAAAGAAATCGGCGATAACTCGTAAACGAGCTAATCAAAAATATCTAAAGTTATTCTTTTGAATGTGGGTGTTAGTGCTCTTCAATATACCTAAATAGAATAATTATTCTCTAAAATAATTAGGGAAGCCAATAATTGACCCCATTAAAATTTACATGGCATGTTACTATGTCCCGTCCGACGATGCAACACCCGTTATAAATCATAAACACTATTTTATAAGTGTGTTGACTAGGATCAAAGGCAAAGGCATAATTTTAATGTAAAAAATACGAAAAAAATTTAGGTCTTCTTTAAAAGCGAATATCTCCAATAAAAATAATGCTATTGAGATGAATCAAAAAACAAAATATCGAGGAAAGATACATCTAGATGATAAAATGATTCATATATACCTTGCTTTCTTAACGTACTCCACAGGGTGTTTCAAACTTTCACCAAAATATCAACGTTTTGTTTTCCCTCGTATAATTGACAGATGGCAACTTTCATTTTTAATTTAGAAAGAGGCACTAAAAAATCAAATAATTTAGCTACAAATTGCCTGAAAAATGATCAAAATTGGTCCACTAAAACACAATATATAAAACTTTAAAATACATGAAAATTTTAAGGTGCCCGTTTCAAACAACAAAAAATAGACGTCTACTATTATGATATTTTTTCCTCTTTTTTGCCAAATTATTCCAAATGCACGTTAAACCATAAAAATGCAAAGCAAATGGAATAGTGCTTTGTTAATTCATGTTAGAATCGAATCTAAATTTTAAATGCTTTCGTTTGAATTGAATAATTGAACTTTCCTTTGTCACAGAGTGCGCAGAAAGTGAAAGCAACTGTCAATTCCCAAAGGAAAATGAGATAACATTGTTTCCCGAAACGGGTTTTCTTAAAATATTGTAATTTTTCGTATTTACCTAGGTTTACAGTGTATCTTTCCTGCTATTTCACAAGTGCACACCTCAGAGCAGTTCTTGTGAAATATGTCTCCTCTGTTGTAGGTTTTGTTCTCGTACGTGCACATCTCCAAAGGTTCAGTTTCTGAAAATAAAGAGATTTTAAAATATCAAAATTTGCCACATGTTATGTCATTCTATTCAGAGTGTCATTTTCTATCGATTAAAGCTTTGAATAAGAAGACTAAGGAAAGAGCATATTAAAAATCTTAGGTACACCGCGATGGGCCTCAAATATGGCCGACTTAAATTCCGGTTTATCAGTGTCGTTCTAATTTTATTTAAAAAATGTAAAACTATCATGTGGGGTAGACGTGGGGTAGACTCAATCATTTGTTGTTTTATTTTACGTTGTGAATAAATGTTGGTAGTTATTAAAATTGTTATAAAAATATATAATTCTAATAAAAATAGATAAGTTATAATATGTATTTATTAACACAAACATCCGATACGCTACTGAAGCAGGTAAGTCAAATTAACGTATCTAAATTCTTTGACATCTAATCTTTGACAAGTAATAAATAAAAACTTAAATGCAAGAAAAATATATAATTTAGTTAATTTAAGTGAATTTCATAAATGATCGGTTTACTACACGTATGTATATTATATAGTCACTTACTAGCGAAAAGTTGTTCCATTATTTCACTCAATTTTTGCCGAGATCTACCGCACGCTACACAACCAACTATTTTAGAGTCTTTTCCGATAAATCGCGATAGTGTCACTGTTAATTTAAGTTCTGCCACAATTTCCATCTAGATTTACTAGCTTTATTCAACTATCAGTAGTAGAATAAATAATCAATAACATAAAATAAGCTCCGTAAAGACTGACAAATCCACAAAATTTCAAATCAAATTCAAATGTGTCAAATGAATCGTCAAACAGAACTGTCAAGGATCCCCACCCTAGAGAGCTTTTATGGTGACTTTTCCGCCCACCATGCATGAATACATGCATAGCATTATGCTCCTTCCTTAGTCTTCTTATTCAAAGATTAAAGTAAAAAAATACCGAGGGTGTCATTATTAACAAAGCAAATCACGTTTTTTTTATCTGAAAAAATAACAAGTTATAGGGGTGAGTAACTTTTGAGACGCATTCGGTATGATGTAAAAGAAACAAGTTAAAATACCAAAAATAACGCTAAATTGAAACGCTTCGTATATCCCCGTATCGCCCTGTAGACATCAAAGTATTTTTTCTACTTGTTTTATCTGTATTTGGCCGTAAAATGTCTCACAATGTGGCCGCCATAACCATAAATATATCGGAATAATTGACAGCCAGTTTGTTTTTGACGAAGTACTTAGATAGTTAAAATAGGAACTGCCTTCTGCTATTATGGTATAGTGTGTTGCAAGAGTAGATAAAAGTTTAACAGATTTTATAGATCTAGTTATATTTTTTTATTATTTTGTTTTATAGTATTTCTAGTGTGACTTTTTTTCATTAGTGAGTAGAACTCAGAGAAATAAGTATACTTAGAGAAGTTCTTAAATATTTATCAATACAATAATAGTCCTATTTTGGCATATCTTGCAATAGGTTTGTATGTAATTTTATGTTACTTTTTAATATTTGATAATAATAATATTGGATATTAATGAATATTAATGAATATTATAATTATTAGATAATTATAAAGTAACATAAAATTCAGAAAGATATTAAGAAAAGTATAGTATACACATATGTTAATCGCAAAACAATTTCCGATACACGTGAACAACTTTGAATGACAAGCGATGGCGACAGCGCTGCCAGATTGTGATGGATTTATGAGACCTAATATTGAGAACTAATATTTTAGTGATTAATTGATTTATTTGTTTTATAGCTTATTTTACTGATTACATATTGGCAAAAACTAGTCTATTATGAAGATTATTATAAGCGTTATTATGGGTTATTTATTTATTGATGTACATCTTACAACGCCATCAGTGGTAATAACAAGTAAGAGGGTGCTATTAATGTATAAACTAATAATCACAGAATTTAATAAAAACTAACTTTGAAAGTGGTATAATGTGCTTATCAATCAAACTTACTTTTCTGACTGCAGTCAAGGGTAATAAAGGAAGGACCTTTATTGTGGCGTTCTCCTTCAGAATAGTTAAAAAAAACAGGGAAGCTATAAGCTCTTTGCTTCGACTGTTTAAATGCTTTGGCATATTTTCAACATACAATTTCAAGAAATGCAATACAAAAACTCGAAAATTTTGGTGCTTAAAAGTGCAATTTAAAAAAAAGAGTATGAAAATAGGCAAAGAAACGAGAATTACTCACAAAGATTCAAGAACATCACGATATTATACAAAATAATGACGGACACTAGGATAATTGTCGAAAAATAAAGGACAACATTGCTGAACACGACACAATATGACCAACATGGCGATCATAGAATTCGGTTTAAACTAATTTTTGCAGCTTTAATCTAAATAAAATATCTGTTACAATCATTTGCTCTATAAAGTAAAATGCAGAGCTGCTCGGTTTCTTAAATTATACAACAAATTTAAACATTTTTGCCAAAATTTCATTTAGTCAGGTTTATAGGCTTTAGTGTCAATGTCGATATGATTGATGACGTGCAACGGAAACTGTTTTGCGATTACTATACCTGTATCTCCTGCGCAAAGCATTACTGCACAGCAGGGATCTTCTGCGTCCTTTGCAGAACACAGGGGATCTTCAATCTTCTTTCCGCGTCTGAAGAACGGTCCCGTGCACCTATCTTCGCAGTCCATTTTGCCATTTTTGCACGTGCAAATTGAGTCGCAGTTGATCTCTAGCTTTTCACCGTTTTCGTAGGTTAGACCACCTTTTTGACAGAAGCCTGCAACAAGTAAAAACAATATTAATAATAATAGCTCCCGTATATAGCGTTTAACCTTTGGTTTAACGCCTTGGGAGTAGCAAGGTACAGCTTGCCATACTAGAGCCGTTCAGTACACAAGGAAGGTAATGTGGCTAGCATTTTACGCTTCAACCGCCTATTATTACCTCAGGATTGTGAATCCCAAATACTCATTTAAGGCTGAGTCGACTTAGGTACTCACACTATTTTTATTTTAATAAAAATAGTCGGCTGATGAAATGCCGCGTGTGGGATCGAACCCATTACATTGAGATTGGACGAGATTAGTACCTCTACACCACCGGGCACCAAAAAAAAAACAATATTAATAATTCAAATACTTTGAATAAAAATATTATGGGAGGAGCATATCAAAAATCCTAGATCGAACGCGGCGGTGTCCTAAAATGGCCGACTTAAATTTAGGTTTATCAGTGCCGTTCTAGTTTTATTCAAAACGTGTAAAAATATGATGTAGGGTAGATATGGGGTAGACTCAATAATTTGTTGTTTTATTTTACGTTATCAATAAATGTTGGAAGATATTGAAATTGTTATAAAAATATACAATTCTAATAAAAATAGATAAGTTATAATAATTATTTATTAGGGAGTTTTCGTTGCTTTAAAAAAATTCAACGGTACGGTTAACGGATACGTAACCATAACCGCTATTTTGACAGATAAAAAAACAGTTTTCGGACTTTCGGTTCATCGGTTCGGAGCCGACATACGATACGATAACCAAAAACTGACAGCTGAGCACAGCCCGTAGGGTAGTGTTATGATTTTTGGTTTTTGTATTGTTGTTTGATTTGAAAGTGCTTTATATGACTTTATTGGGTATCGCTATATAGGATGGACAATTTAATTTTATTGGACTCTAGTGATGAATTGGATTTGGAGGATGCTATGCTGTTGGAAGGGTTTGAAAACAACATCGAATATCGAGCAGAACTTTATGGGGAGTTCAACCAAGAAATATTATCTGACCAAGAGTGCAAAGCTAACTTCCGCTTTGAAAAAAAAGATATTCCTCGATTAGTTGAAGCACTAAGAATTCCCAACGAATTTAACACAGATAAAATAAATAATCAAAACATAAACAAAATAGAATGAGGTTAGGTTAGATCTGTATTTTTCAATGTTGTGTTTCTACTGCGCTAGTGCGCATGCGTACCGCTATGTTAACGGCTTTGGTTAACGTCCGTAAAATATCGGCAGCTAGCGCTTACGATATACGATAATCGAAATTGAAATGTCAAAGTTGTCAATTAGCGTTAACCGGCATTGCAATTTGTAAGCAACGAAAACTCCCTATTAACACAAACATATCCGATACGCTACTGAAGCCGGTAAGTCAAATTGACGTATCTAAATTCTTTGACATCTAATCTTTGACAAGTAGTAAATAAAAGCAAAAATGCAAGAAAAAATACATAATTTAGTTAATTTTAAGTGAATTTCATAAATAATCGGTTTACTACACGTATGTATATTATATAGTCACTTACTAGCCAAAAGTTATTCCATTATTTCCCTCGATTTTTGACCGAGATATACCGTACGCTACACAACCAACTATTTTACAGTCTTTTTCGATAAATCGCAATAGTGTCATTGTTAATTTAAGTTCTGCTACAATTTCCATCTAGATTTACTACCTTTAAGCAACTATCAGTGGAAGAAGAAATAATAAATAACATAAAATAAGCTCAGTAAAGACTGACAAATCCACAAAATTTCAAATCAAATTCAAATGTGTCAAATGAATCGTCAAACAGAACTGTCAAGGAACCTAACCATCCTAGGGCCCTTTTTCTGCCTTGCCTGAATCAAAAGATTAAGTAAGGAGTATAATGTTATCCACGTAGATTCAAAACTTAATTATAAATAATTCTACTAATCTATTAATTTTCGTTAAAGTATGGTGAGGAAAAAAAATATTTTTCTGTAATTACGGTCGTGCTTCTCATTCATACAAAAGCCAACCTTAAAAATAATAGCTCACAGGAGTGCCAACGTGTACATTTTCATTCAATTACTGGGTATGTCGTAAAATCTACTAAATTTGGGAGCAAGAGATCTGTTGCGCAGTCACTTTAGATTGTTCCCAAGATCTTTGAATGCAACGCGGTGTCGCAAGCTAAGTAGATAGATACGTATCATTTAATGAAATTTAAATTAATAATAGGAACTTATTCTTTACTTAGAAGGATTAAAGCTTTGAATTTTTAAATATACACGGTGTTATACCGGGTGTTGCATCGTCGAGCGGGACATAGGAAATCCCATGTAAATTTTAATGGGGTCAATTATTGGCTTCCCTAATTATTTTAGAGAATAATTCTATTATTGAAGAGCACTAAAACCCACATTCAAAAAAATAACTTTAGATATTTTTGATTAGTTTACGAGTTATCGCCTATTTCTTTTTAAATATTTCTCCTTTCTTATGGCCCTGTATTTACTTATGAGTACCAGTCAAGGTAAAAGATAACTGTCAAATAAAGTTGTCATTTCAGAAATTTATCTATTTAGTGCTTTATTATTATTATTAAAAACTCATACCTACATCGAAAATATTAGCCATGAATTACACTACCGAAGAAAAAGTATTGATGATTATATGGTATTATCAAGGAAATAGTTATCAAAAGGTGTCGGACATGTTTGCTGCTCTGTATCCAAATAGACCGACACCTGGAAAATCTACAATCGCAAGGAATATCCAGAGATTTGAGATCAAAGGTACCCTAATAAATAACTGCAGATGTGAAGCAAGGCAGGAACAAAGAGAAGATGCAAGAAATGATACCGACTTGGAAGTTTTATTGTGCGTGGAAGAGAACGATGGAAAGATCAGCACAAGGAAACTTGAGGATGAAATAGGAATAGATCACACTACAGTGTTTCAAATTTTGAAACGACATAAATACTATTCCTTCAAATATGAAAAGCACCAAGAGCTACGAGATGAGGACAAAATACGGGGGCAGGCGTTTTGTTTTGATATGATGGAAAGAGCAAACACGGATAGGGGATTTTTAAAAAACATATGTTTCAATGACGAATGCACGTTTACCTTAAATAATGAACCCAATGTTCAAAATTATCGATATTGGAACAAAGAAAACCAACACAGGTTTGTCGAAACAAGGACGCAATATCCACAGAAAGTAAATGTTTGGGCAGGGATATTCGGACACAATATTATCGGGCCATTATTTCTTACGCGAAATTTAAATGCAGAATATTATTTGGAACTAATGGAAAATCATATTTTACCTGCTTTACACGATGCCGCTAGGGAAAATCAGGAAGTTTGGTACCAAATGGATGGCTGCCCGGCACATAGTACTCTGGCTGTTCGGGAATATTTAGACAATAGTTTTAACGGAAACGTTATTGGCCTAAATCATACAGTAAATTGGCCAGCAAGGTCTCCTGATATCTCGCCAAATGATTTCTTTCTCTGGGGTCATTTAAAAAACAGGATATACAAGGATAAAAAATACCCAAATCTAGACGAGTTAAAAAATGCTATTTCTGCCGAATGCAATAGAATAGAATTTCAGTTTACCAACTAGCGAATGTAAGAAGAGAATTTTATGATCGCCTGGGTTATTGTCTAGCAGTCGATGGAGGAATATTTGAACATCTTCTTAAATCCTAAAGTTCTAACAATTTAATAGTACTTAAATTAATAAGTTATTGAATATTGTAATAATACTATAATTAACCTTGTAATTGATTACTTTATTTTACTTTAATTCATATTAATTTGTATTTATAAATACATCTTTAAGGTTTCCGATGTAGGAATGAGTTTTCGATAATAATAAAGCACTAAATAGGTAAATTTCTGAAATGACAACTTTATTTGACAGTTATCTTTTACCTTGACTGATGCTCATAAGTAAATACAGGGCCATACGAAAGGAGAAACATTGAAAAAGAAATCGGCGATAACTCGTAAACGAACTAATCAAAAATATCTAAAGTTATTCTTTTGAATGTGGGTTTTAGTGCTCTTCAATAAACCTAAATAGAATTATTCTCTAAAATAATTAGGGAAGCGAATAATTGACCCCATTAAAATTTACATGGGATTTCCTATGTCCCGTCCGACGATGCAACACCCGGTATATATACATAGGTAAAAGGATGCACACTTTCTCTAAAATAAAAGGGGTTTCTGGTCTAATCGGCTGTTGATGTCTCCACGTAAAATTCATTTAGCATACGGGAAAAAATAATTCAGTTATATCATATATCTTTTAATAATAATGTTTAATACTTTCCTTTGTTATGGAACATTTTGGTTGAATTGCCCCTACATAAAATAAATTTCAATTTTAAGTCAATTACTAATATATTTTTCCATTTATTGCAAATAATTTGATCGTTACTGTATCTTTAATGTATGATTAGAAATATTGTGGTTTTGAAGTAATTTGAAATATACAGGGTGAGTCTTAAATAATCTTAAATAAGTGCAAATATTTTCAGGTCTGGTAGATCTCGATAAATATAGAAAATTAAGATTGAAAATTTCCAGAAAAAAATCCTTTACTTAAATGTTGGACCACTGGATCTTTTCTGGGTTTCCTTTCTTGTAAATTGAATTTACAACATATTACATATATAAAGAAATTGTGTTTTTAACTAAAAACCAAAAAAAAATTGAATTTTTTTTTAAAAAATTCTAAATTTTTAAAAATATAACTATTTTTTCCAAAATAACTCATAATCGTCTTTCTGGGGTCAAAATATACTATCCCTAAAAAACTGCACTTCTTTGAGATTCACTCTGTATATATATATAGGGTGCTCAGAAATAAGTACAGATAGTTTAACTGGTAGTATATTTAAATCCCAGAAACACGTCTATGAGTTTTTTTTCGAGAATTTTTTTTTAATTTGGATTTTTTTGAACAAATTTGGAAATTTTTTTAGTTTTAAGTTACAAAACATTGTTTCTTGATGGCAACATAGGTAGTTAACCTGTAGTGATAATATGGCAACATACAAGAAAGAAGATCCAGAAAAGATCCAGTGATTCTCAAAGTTTAACCAAAAAATTATTTTTTTTTGGAATTATTGAAAGTAAAATAACTCGGTTATTTTGGACCTATTTGACAAACGGTAAAAAAAAGATGTTTCTTATATCGAGCTCTACCACCCCTTAAAATATCTGTACTTATTTCTGGGACACCCTGTATATTATGTTTATTTTCTAGCTAAGTACTCTTATGATTTTTGTTGATTTTGATTAATTTTTTTTATTACACCCATGGACTAGTATAATTTTGCCTATGTCTATGTAATATTATTTAAAAATAAGTATAAAATAACAGTAGAGAAAATTTCCCTTTTCAGATAAATTTTCCAAGATCGATCACTCTTTTCTTTATCTGCTGTTTCTATAATGACATACCTGCTTTTTTTTAAGCTTTCACTTGAAAATTCATATAAATTATACCAGATGGCTCAAAATTAGTACAAAAAATATTATCAGGCAATAAAAAAACTGACTTTTTTATTGTCTTACTTTAACCAACCAAGAATAAACTGAAAAATTTCTCGACTTACCTGTTGAGACATTTTGCAATGCATGAATTTCTTTGCTCGGAGTTAAAATTCTAGGATGCAGCATTTCGTCCAGTCGACTCGTCGGTTCCTCGTCATCATCAGTAATGGTGACGTCACTAAGGTCAAATTCGTCGTTGGAGGAATTGGATAGTTTGTTATGGTTTTCATCGATAGTGAAATTCAAGGCTCTACCTTTGGGTTCAAGTGTGGTATTGCTCGGTGTAATTTGTGGAGTTGTAGATGATAGGGTCCTGTTTGTAGTTGTTCTAGGGATAAATACAATATTGTTTGAAACGACAAATCTCTGAGAATTTACGATATACTACAAGAAAAACGCTATTTAAAAATACTAATAGAACTGTATTTAAGAAAAAATAAGAATTAAGATAATAGTTATTTTTTATAAAAGAAGATAAAATGGTATAATTAATTTCGGGAAACAATAATGCAATTTTATCGTCGTGTATGAAACAATATTTTTTCCATAGCGAGTTACGTTTTAAAAAATATTCAGAAATTATTATTTCAAGGAATTTATTATAAGTAGAAAAAATATTTTCCTGGGTGGGCGTTGGTTTCTATGTAATTTGACAAATAAATAAAGCTGTCTCTTTAGTTGTCAGTTTTGAGACAATAATTTTTAATTCTCTTTCGTGTCGGTTGCTGATTGAATTGGAGCCAGAAATGGCTCAAAACGAAATAAGTAAATTACCAACAGATATTCAGGATGAGGTGACAAACGCCATATCCAAACTACTTCCATTTAAATCCCCAATAACTTTTGAAAAGGAATACAAAATTTTTCAAAAATGAAAGTAATTAAAAAACGTGCGAGAATAAGAAATAAATAGAAATAAAGTTTTTAACCTATCCTCTCTGTTAAAGTATCATTTAATCTACCCTTGCGGTTAAAGTACCGTATGATCGAAAAAAAAACGGTGTCCAATTGGCTGGGAAATGACGACCGATGACATTTTCCATATAAATTTACATATAAAATGACAGCGATTTTCATCTCATAGCCATCGCTGACGCCGTTTTTTCTCAATCATACGGTACTATTTTATCTACTCTTTTTGATAGATATAAGGCAATTTTAACAGTTGCTATGAAAAAAAGTAATTTTTCTTACGTTGGTAAAATTGTTGTTGAATCTATCGTGGTTTGAGTGATACTGTCTGCCTCATCCTTGTCTTCCGTTATCATGCTGAATACTTTGGGTTTTTCTACTGGCTCAGATTCGTGCAGTGCGACTACTTGCAACTCATCGTTTTCTGAAAGCAAAAACTAAAATTAATGTTCTTAATAATAATATGCAAATAAATAAAGTAATGAATTTAATAAAATTATCTTCAAGGTTCATTTTTACTCGATTGTTTGTTTTATTATTCATCTCAATAGCTTTGTTTTTATTGGAGATATTCGCTTTTGAAGAAGACAGTAAAAATATACCGCAATATACAGTACATCTGTTCGACGTATAAAATATAGTGCGGTTTATTTAAATGTTTTTTGCCCGCATTCCTTTCCAAGACACAGATCCAGTAAACGTACTTTATATTATGGTACAGTACGTCTGCTGGATCTATGTCTATGAAAGGAATGCGGACAAAAAACATTTAAATAAACAGCAATATATTTTATACGTCGACTAAACGAGTACGTCACCGCAAATCGCTCCGCCCACTCATTTTATTGGCTACTTGCAAATTTGTCGAATTTTTATTGATGGGACGCGTCGTCTAATTTTTTACGAAAAAGATCGAGAGAATATCGTTCCCCTCTCACGGATACCTTGTAGCTACAGAACGGACAGACGTACTGTATTTAGTAAAGAATGACGTCACGTTACGTGACTTCTTGTAAAGCTGATGCGAATTAAGTAATCGGTTGAAAACTTAGAGGAAAGACGAAGAAAATTTTAACTGACTAATTAGTTTTTTGAACAGGTGAGTCTCAGAGTGTGGGCGATTAGTGTTTTTATAATTTAAGCATAACTATATTATGTTAATTAAGTTTATGTTAGTTAGCAGTGTGCTATATTTTTGGAAAGGTAATTTTAAGTTCTTTTTAGTTAATTAAAAATATACAGGGTATCCCAAATAAAAAATCAGTTTTTCTGTTGATAACTCTTAAATTATTAATTATAAAAAAATTATAATTAAACCATTAAATTCTACGTAAAAAGGTGCTTTGGAAATATTTTCATAGAAATACACCAAACCTAAACACCTCGTAACTATGAAACGGTAACAGATATCGATATGCGGTTTTCACCATCATGTTTTTGACAAAAATTGAGCTCAAACGCCGATATTAGTTTTCGTCTATCTCCTATAGAAAAGGGTGTTTTCCTTTAAAAACGTCTAATTTGACCCACCCTGTACATATTTACAAAACACACACACTCAGTGAAATCTAATATTTATTTCGGCAAAGGAGAAAACCCAGACGCGAGAACGAAACTCAAATCCCGCGGCGGCTAGCGTTCCTTCTTTGTGTTTCTTCTTTTTCCTTCCTTTTTCTACTTCTTCTTCTTATTTCTTCTCTTCGGTTTTTTGTTCTTGTGCGCGTCCCCGACGCGGGCAATCTTTGGCCTCGAAAGCGTCTCGGAATCTCGGCCGAACACTTTTCTACCTGCCGATGATGTACAGGTGCTAAAGAAAACATTAGAGAGGAGAGACACCGCGGCTTGGGTATGTGTGCGGATGCTTATCGGAAATGCATGGCATTTTTAAAGCAATCTGAGTCATGTAGGTTTACCTGAATTATGTAAATTTTATTTATTTTCAATCACTTATACTTATGGTGTTCTTTCATTTTTGTGGCTTCTGTTTCTTCTGTGATTTTTTTATGTTCTAATGTGGGGTACCGATATTTGGTTTGGTTTGGTCTTCGTTATCGTCACTTTCTGACAGAATTTTAGCTTTCTTTTTTACACAAACTCGAAGGAAAAATTCAAAACGAGAAATTCAAAAGTAACAAAAGTCATTTTATTCAATTTGAAGGTTAGGATGCCATCCATAACCTTTGAAAGATTAAAGAAGGTGCATGGGGCTACGTCGAAACACCAGTTCTCCAGTTGCAATGCAAGATCAAGATCGAGACTCCCTTGATCTTGGTCTTGGTGTTGTAGTCTAATATTAAGTAGTACTTATTATAATAAGCAGTAATTTTTGCAAGTCCTATCCGCGTTCCCACTTTATCGCCACAATCTCATTTATCATAAAAAATAGCTCCCAAATCTATACTAATATATAAAATCCTTAAGTGACTGACATACTGATTAATCACGATCCTGCTCAAACCACTCAACGTAAGAAGCTCAATTTTGGCATGCAGGTTGATTCTAGGGTGTAGAGGTTCGATAAGAAGGGATTTTTCGAAATTCCAGTTCCAAGAGGGTGAAACCACCCCTCAAATATTACAATCTTTTTTATTTAACAAACGGTCAAGTTTTCGAAAAAATGCTTAAATACGTATATTTTATTTTATTTTTTTACATATTTTAAGATTTTTTACGAAAAATCTGGTCATTGATTAATCACGATCCTGCTTAAAGCGCTTGACGTAAAAGGCTGATTTTTGGAAAACAGATTGAATTTAGGGTGTAGAGGTTCGATAAGAATGGATTTTTGGAAACGCGAATTCTAGGGGGTGAAACTATCCCTCAAATATTAAAATATTTTTTATTTAAAAACCGGTGAGTTTTTCGGAAAACTCTTAAACACGTATATTTTATTTTGTTGTTTTACGTATTTTAAGATTTTTTATAAATTTATACAGGGTGTTTCATAAAATATGACCATTGAGTAATCACGATTCTGCTTAAACTGCTTGACATTTAAAGCTGATTTTTGGCAACCGGATTCACTGTGGGGTGTAGAGGCTCGATAAGGAGGGGTTTCTCGAATCTCAAATCCCAAGGGGGTGAAAACGCCCCTCAAATATTACAATATTTTGTTATTTAAAAAACGGTTAGTCTTTCGGGAAAACGCTTGTACAAGCATAATTTATTTGGTTTTTTACATATTTTGAAATTTTTTAAAAATCATACAGGGTGTTCCAAAAAGTTGGGTAATTTCTTAACCACGATTCTGCTTAAACTGCTTGACGTAAAAAGCTTATTTTTGGCAAACGGATTTTTCGAAAATCAAATTCAAACGAGATGAAACTACCCCTCAAATATTACCAAGTTATATAATAATATAATTTTTATTGTTGTCGATCCAATAATATATAATGTGTTCTTTTTTTATAAATTGGATTAGGATCGAAAGAAATCAACAGAAGTCCTTTGTTTTAAATTTGTCGACGTTTCGCAAAATTTATTTGCATCTTCAGGACACTACAAAGTTAAGAGAGCAAAAATACAATCAAAGTTTTCCAAAAATTTAACACACAAAAAACTACCTAATGTTAACAATTAAATAAAATATATGTATATGTTACTCACATTTAAATCTGGACTTTCTTAGTCATATCCATTAATACACGGATGGTATAGGGGAGTGGTATATATCCCTTTTTCCTTTTAAAACACATAACACACTTACATAAAAAAAATAAAACATATAATATATATAGAGAAATATCACGAAAATCTTTTCTTTCACAGACAAGCAGTGCAGATGTACCTACGTTGACCGTATACAGAGAGCAACTAATTCTAGTTGATAAAATACTAATATAATTTTTACCTGGAGATAAAGAACAGTTGAAAAAAGAAAAATATAAAAATATTATTTGGATTTAAACCATTATTTTGAAGTTATATTATTTAATTTTTGAAAGAATATTAAAATATGCTGTACTCAGGTTTTCTACGTCTGAGTACAGCATATTTTAATATTCTTTCAAAAATTAAATAATATAACTTCAAAATAATGGTTTAAATCCAAATAATATTTTTATATGTTTCTTTTTTCAACTGTTCTTTATCTCCAGGTAAAAATTATATTAGTATTTTATCAACTAGAATTAGTTGCTCTCTGTATACGGTCAACGTAGGTACATCTGCACTGCTTGTCTGTGAAAGGAAAAGATTTTCGTGATATTTCTCTATACATAATTGTGTTATATGTTTTTTTTTATGTAAGTGTGTTATGTGTTTTAAAAGGAAAAAAGGGATATATACCACTCCCCTCTATACCATCCGTGTATTAATGGATATGACTAAGAAAGTCCAGATTTAAATGTGAGTAACATATACATATATTTTATTTAATTGTTAACATTAGGGTAGTTTTACCAATTGTATATGTGTGGAATTCCACTGATATGTATTTTAAGTTGTTTGTTAAATTTTTGGAAAAACTTTTATTTGATTGTATTTTTGCTCTCTTAACTTTGTAGTGTCCTGAAGATGCAAATAAATTTTGCGAAACGTCGACAAATTTAAAACAAAGGACTTCTGTTGATTTCTTTCGATCCTAATCCGATTTATAAAAAAAGAACACATTATATAATAATATCGCCATACTGTTTTTTCTCATGCTGACATAAATGTGAGAAAATTTTATCCAGTTTGTATGTTAATGGAAATTATTGCTTTGCTTTATCATCACCATTACAAATGATTAATTCGACGCGAACGAAGTCGCTGGTACATGCTAGTATTCATATAAAACTTCATATAAATATATGTCCTAAATATCTTAACTTTTTAGTTACAGGGTGGTAAAATTTTCTACTTTTTTTTCAAAAGATCAGCCATCAAAATGCTTATTTTTATATCCAAAAAAATAGTTTTATTTCTTAATTTTCTTTCAACCGATGTAGAATGGATTTCCACACAACAGTTACCGCACCAGATTTCCAGCAATTTGGGCCTGAAGTAAACTGGCTTTAATTTTTTTAGCAAGAACTAGGTCTGCGTCGAACGAAAAAAATCAAGGGACAAAAAATGTTTAGAAAAGTCAGTGGTGTACCACTTTTTTTTTTCAAAAATATTTATTGTAAAACCCGTATGGACGGCACTGGTTGAAATAAATAAAATTCTTTGTACACCAAAATAGGTACTTTGATACATAGAAAACGTGTATCAAGTTTTATAAAGATATCTACAGGGTTGTCCACCACATACGACACGGAATATTGTAGCTAAACGATTAGATTTTTACAAATTGTAAGTTTTGTGTTCGTTGAAGGTGTATTGGAGCTACAATTTAAAAATATTTTTACAAGATACAGAGTGTCCCAAATAAGTAAAAAATATTATAGTCTTATTTTTTTAAATGGAACACCTTGTATATTATTCTATTTTTACATTCTA